CCCTACAATTAAATTATTTTATTGAAATTTAAAATTATATTCATACCGTAGTCATCAACTAAATAAACTAAATATGATTAATGTATTATGAGCATAATTATAAAATAAAATACTTTTTACAATAATATTTTATATGAATTTATATAATAAAAATCAAAATATAGTATTTATTATTAATTTTTGTCTTTGATATGTATACATTAATAATGTATTTATTAATACAATAAAATTTATATTCATTTACTTTGATAGCTGCTTCATGTAATGGTGTATAATTCCAATTATCTCTAGTATTAGGATTAGCCCCAGCTTCTAATAAAAGTCGAACAACATCTGAGTGACCAAAAGAACAAGCATTATGAAGAGGATGTAATCCCCCATCATCACGAGCTTGAATCGATGCTCCAGCTATAAGTAGGTATTCAACAACATCTCGGCGTCCATAACCTAAAAAGAATGTTTTTTATTTAAACATACATCAATGTAAATGATGTTGACGTTTTACATACAATTAAATAATTTCTAAGATAATTGCATTAATATATGCACCAACAAACAATTAAATCAACGTATAGAATTAGAAAAGAAAAGGCAAAAATATAGTACAAAATAAATAGTGTACTAATTATTGAACTAGTTATTTTTAAATTATTCATAACTTTAATATTTATATAATATAATTTAGTATGTTATTAGTGTCCGTCAAAAATAATACCAACCAGCTGCAAAGTGCAAAGGAGTGGACTTGCGTCCAGCTGTATCGCGAGCGTTGACAGTCTTCGAAGAAACGAGCTTTTTAACACGAGACAGGTCACCGGTCTTGCAAGCTTCAAAGAGTTCACGTAGAGGGTCAGCGTTGCCATTGTGACTCAAAATACCCGCGGCAAGAGACTCAGCATTTGTTAATACCGAACGACGTCCTGCCATTTCACACCGACATTTTTACACAACTGATTTACAACTTATCACGGTGAAGCACCAGAGAAAGTAGAAAACCAATCAAGGAACGTAGATATTGCACATTTCGAGGCATGCGTTATGAAGGTCTATGCTAATAACTCTTATAACCCCGCGCAATTTTTATACGAAATACTAGGAGTGCTTAAACTAATTGCAATAATAGTGAAAAAATATTGATGTATATATATAAATTTGTATATATATATATATATAATTGATGTATATATAAAATAAAAATAATTTACTATTCTAAGTTTTAAATTGAAATGGATATTTTAAAATTGCATTATTTTCATAAATTTGTTGTTGAAAATTGAATTAAAATTATATATTTGCATGTATCAACTAGTTTTATTTATTTATTTTATCATATTACTTTTATATATATATATATATAATTTTGTTTATCTATTTGTTTATTTATTATTAAAATTTTAATGTAATTAATATATTAATTCGTTGTTAAATAATTTTAATGATAGACTTTTATTTTATAATAAATCAAATGCAAATATTTCAAATATTTTACATAAAATATCGTTATGCTATTATATGTATTTTATAACGTACATTATATAATTCGTAGCTGATTCCTAAAGTAAATGAATATAAATTGCAAATAGTGTTATATATAAATATAAATATAGTGTAAAATATAGTGTTTACACATACCATATATATATATATATATAATTATATTTCATAATCCCTACTAACTAAAATATGGGCAGCTAATGTGTTAAGACCGTAAATGCTTCATGAAATCCATAAAAAAATGTAATTGAATCTATTCAATCATGCATAGTTATTATCTTTCACTAATATACAATTTCAAATAAGAAAAAAATTCATTAAAATATCAATTACAATCTTTTTATAAATGTATGATACATTTTTTGTACTTAAAACTTAATTTATGTAAATTTCCTATTTTAAATTCTTTATTAACCAAATAAGAAATTCAAATAAATAGCGACAAAATATTTTTATAAAATATTGCCAATATTATGAGTATGTTATTTAAAAGGAACGATTGTTTTATTCCAACAACTATTAAAATAATTATTTTTAAATAATATTTATATATTAATATAGAAAAACAATAACATTTGCGTTGCGTATTTGATCGCATATAGAAAGAGTAAAATTTAAAATAAAAAAAATTCTGAAAACATTTTAATTTACTGAAATTAATATATTTCTACTAAAATTAAATTAAAATATTTAGTAGTCACTCTGAAAGAAGACAAACTCAGCGACGACATGAAGAACAAAAAGTAAGAAAACAAAAGTTTTTTCGATCTTACTATGTTTACGACCACGTTCGTAAAATATAATTATCTACTTTCATAAAATGTAATAAATAATGAGATATATTCATAGAATAGTAAATAGTAAATGTAAATAGCAACAAAACTTTAAAATTACTTCAGCGAGTCATATAATGTTACAAGTTCGATGTTTTAAAAGATACAACTTAATATTTTGCTGCTACTCAGCAAAAGCAATTGGTATTCTTAAAATAAGTGAAAATCGATAATAGTAGATGAAAAAACTGAAAATACAACCCAGATATGAGTGCAAAGGTACAAATAATAGAAGAAAATATGTAGTAATAGTTTTTCATATAATTATAAATATTTACATTTATTTCATTTTTAAAGCTAAAAAAGTAAATTATTTTAATAATAAAACTTATTCGATTATAAAGTTGAATTTATAATTTTTCTAGCTTTTTTCCAATTAAACATAAAACAAAATTGTATCTATATTTATATACGCATTATTCTATAAATATTTAAAGTAATTTAAAATTTGCATTCATTTTTAAAATAAAATTGCAGAAAACTATATTTTATTAAAACTATATATTATTCATTAGTTATTATTTATTAATATAGATTTATGTACTACGTTATACTAATAACATCATGATTTGACATAACTGATAAAATGCTTCAGTAAGTCACATCTTTACTTTATTTATAATACATCACTAAGATAATTAATGTTGATAAACAGAGGATGTAAAATATGAGTCTAAATAACTCTTAGCCATAAAACTAACACTAGAGTATATACATAATATTCATTGGATACATGACAATCAAAGATTCATTTCGTTCTCTGGATATGCTCAAAAAGAGGGTGTATCAGAAATTGCTGTTTTTGTTGACATTTTTGCAAAGTGCAAATAATTATTCAAGAAAGTGCCATCATTCTATAAAAAAATTTCAATTAAAAATTTTTAATTTTGTTAGAATTGAACATTGAAACTTTCTGATTTGTATACTGCATATATATTATACAATATTAAATTGTATGTATTAAAATAATTTATTATTAATTTATAATTAAGTAATGATTAACCAATGCATTGTTTTAAAAGATTATATATTTGTTTATTATTTGGATGTATGGCTAATATTTTTGTTTTAGAGTTATATGTAATTTATTATTTACAATATCAACAATATCAAATTATAATGATTTTCAAAAAATGATACTACAAAAATATAATAAATAAATTTAATATTTGTATTAAAAAATCAGTTATTTTTTTAAATTTTATATTTAAAAAATTATACAGGCATTTTGTAGTTCTAGTCTGCCTGATTTTTATTTTATATTCATCACGTTTTTGCATATCTTGTTATAAATTGTTGATTTTATTACATATTACAATTTTCATTTTCATCAATTATTGATTCTTCACCTTCAATAGATGAAATCTCATGGAGAATTCTTCGTTCCATTATTGACTCCTGAATTATTGTCTCACATTCATTTAAATCATTTTCTTTTTCTTCCTCATTCTCTTTTTTTTTATATTCTGCACATTCTAATAATTGAGATTCAGCTTCAAATTCATTGTCTTGAGTAGATTCAGGGGTATCCTTATGTAATTCATCAGTTTTCTTTTTATGACAAATGTGATTGTTTGGCAAAAACATCTTAAATTTCTGAGGTATGTCTGTGTCATCATAAATTCTATGCAAATAATTAAATAAAAGTAATTAAATAATATAATTTCATAATTAAATTCTTATTTATCTATATTTTATATATAATAAAAACAGCTGAAAGATAATTTATATTATGAATTAATAATAAATTGACATAACAAATATAAATTGAATTAAACAAGTTCATGTTATAATAAATTATTTTAAAATGTAATGTATTTTTGTGTATCTTGATTAATCAATTTTATATATTTTTATTATGGTATGGTGTATTCAGTTATTTTTAATATTATTTTTTCATACTTATCACAAAAATAAATCACTCGAATTCTACAATTTGCATGGATCTGTAATTTAGTTGTTTCCACATAATTTGTTTTATATGCTCTTCTAGTTAAATCATCAAGATCAAAGTACATTTCATTCCAACCAGCATTTAAACACAAGGGCATGGATGTTGAGAAATGATGGATTCGATTTATTTTCTGAAAATTGCTCATTCGAAATCTTCTATGCATATTACAATCATCAAGTATCTAATAATAAGAAATTAAAAAAATTAAGAGAAATATTGAAAATTATTTTTATAAAATATTTATTTAATATTTGAATTGCTATTTTCTCATAGTAGTATGTTATTCACAAAGGAATTGGTTTATTCAAACAAATTTTTTTTATTCAATAATTATTTTTAATTCAAATAATTATTTTAAAATAATTATTTTTAAATTTTGTACACAATATAGATATAATGTTGATATAGACAGGTAATATTATATTAACATTAATATAATAATCATACATTTGATGAAATAAAATTATAAAAATTAATTTATAAAAATTAATTTATTTAAATTGAAAAAAAATCTGTTAGTGGAAATAGATAATCATAAAGTAAGTAATATAAAAATATAATAAAAAAACATTATAAATAAAAAATTTTAAATATACATGAAATAAAACTTGTAATATAATATTTATTTAAATTTGATATTTAAGAAGTATATAAAGCTATTTGAATCATTCTTTTGAAATGTATATAAGAATAATTATAAAGAAGAATATTGAAATAATATAATACATTTTTACTTTAAATATACTTATGTTAATAATGAATTATATCTAAATTTTTTATAAATAATTATTTCAGATTACAATTTATCTTAATCAAAAACAATTTTTTTAAATGTATTTATTTTTGTTATAATTTTATTCCAGTATTATATAAATAGGGAAATAAATGAAATTGACAGAATATATTAATGTATTCTTATTATTCAGTTAGTTTACAATAATATTTATGAAATTTAATTATTATAAACATATTATAAACTGTTCATGTATAATTATTGTAAAGCAATCATTATTCTTTATAAAATACATATTCTTAATTTTAACTTTAATGATTAAAAAATATAATCATAATATAAGCTTATAAAAACAATATGCAAATTTATATACTTGATTAATGTTTCTTTAATTTCAATTAAAAACTCATGAATTATTGAAAAATACCGTAATTTCAAAGGTAAAATATTTCTTCATGCCCTTAATTATCATGACAAGAAATGGCATATGGATTCCAAGTGAAATTTTTTGATCTTTTGGGCAGAAGATATAACATGTGGAGACATTTGTACTTGAAATTTCAAGAGCCAGTGCTCGTACTTGCTCATCCGTAATTCGACGTAAACTGCCATTCTGCACCTGCACATTAATATTATATTTAGTTTAAATTGTTTAACTTGATAAAATTAATAAAATAAATAAATAAAACATTAGTAATTACAGTGTTGTAATATGTAATTGTATTTTACTATGAATTTAGAATAATTACATATACTTTATTTATTTTAAAATATACAGATTAATCTTAAAATAAAAATGGTCTCAGTTAAATTTTAAAAATAAAAAATTAACCAACCAACATAATAAAAAAACATTTGTTTATACAAGATATGCTTTTATGACTATAATTGTTGTATTAAAAATATAAAATTATTTATATATAAATTGAACTGTATAATAAATAACTATATATTTTATATAATCAGAATAGTATAATAGGATTGCATTACTTTTCCAAGCGTTGATAATTATTTGTTAAAAAATATTGTTTATAACTATTAAAATTCGTTTACAGTTTTTGAATAAAAATTTTATTTAAAAAATTACTTAAATATAATTTTTTAAATCTACAATTAATTTATTAAAAAATAAGTATAATAATACTGTTAACTATGTAAAATAATTTTTATATTATTTTTGGAATCTATACTTTTATTGGTATATTTTATTGACAGATTATATTGTTTTACAATTAACCAACTTTCGTGTTCCATAATTCCAGAGGAGAAGCACTATAACTTTGAAGTACGGGAATGAAACCGCGTTGTCGTGCACCACGAAACATTTTTTTATATCATTTGAGTTATTTACATTTTTAATTAATGAACAACGATTCTGCACTAGTGTAAGTTGCTAACGTCACATTCTATTCGATATTTAATACTGCATCTTTGTTTTTATTCACTTATTATACTCACTGAATATTTATTTTGAATAAAACTCTTAAAATATATATAAATTTAATTTATCGAAAAAGCATTAAATATTTTTGAAAAAATATAATTTGAATATAATTAATAAAAATTTTTTAATTATATCTTTACTAAAGAATATTTTGTTTTAATCAATTAAATATTAACTCAAATTGAATTTTTAATATTCAAATGCTACCATAGTAAAAAATTTATGAATACAAATATATAAATAAAATATTTATAAATATATTTTAATCTATTAAAATTACTAATAATTACAAATAATAATTATTATTTTAATGTCAGATAAATACATTCTTTAAGATAATAAATTTATTAATTTTTTAATAAAATTTTCAATTTATTAGAATGAATATTTAATTATAATAAGTTTTTAATTATATAATATGTATTAATTATCCATTATTTATTTTTGTTAATATTAATTTGCAGTCAAAAATAGTTAAAAATATATTAATAATATATATTTAGTTAGCATAAGGATATGGAAAATTAATTTTTTTCAAAAATATTTTTATATTACAAGTAATTGATAGTCTTGATTTTAATTTGAGTACTTGATTTTTTGATGATTAGATCTAATATAAATATTATGTCAATAGATAAAAATAAAATACTTTTTAAATGGCAGAAAAAATTAAAAGTTCAAGTCATGTTAAACATGTTCCAAAAGATGCACAGGTTATTGTATCAATCATGAAAGATATGGGAATAAAAGATTATGAACCTAAAGTAATAAATCAGCTACTAGAATTTACATACCGTATGTATTATAAAATATGTTATTATATAATTTTACAGAATAATTTAGATACATCGTTTGATGTTGTTAATACATATTACCTTTACAGGATATGTCACTTGTATCTTAGATGATAGCAAGATTTATGCTAATCATAGTAAGAAGAAATTTATTGATTTAGAGGATGTTCGACTTGCTGTTAAAATGCAATTGGAAAAATCATTTACAAATCCACCACCAAGAGAAGTTCTGTTAACTGTTGCTAAAGTAAAAAATAATATTCCATTACCATTTGTGAAACCAAGTTATGGATTGCGATTACCTCCTGACCGTTATTGTTTAAATGGTACTAACTATAAGTTCAAGTCATCTCGTAAAAAATCTAGCAAAATGAATTTCGGAAATTTGAATATTACTAGTAACTTAGGAAGAATAAATTCACAAGGTTTTTCTATTGTAAAAAGACCTGGAACAATAACTACTATGTCAAGAACGCAAACAATTTCTATATCAAAGCCAGTTTTTAAGGTTTCTACAAGTAAGAGTACTTAAATAAAAAAATTGCTTTTTAAAATATTTATAAAGTTTATTTTATGAATTTTATAAAAACTAAAAACTTTATGTGATTTATAAATAAGAAATAATTTCAATAGTGTCTATGAAACAATATATTTAATAATTCAATAACAAAGTTTTCGCATCATCTAGATAACTCAAGTTTAATTAAGTCTCATACACAAATAAAAACAAAGATGCCACTTACATCAGAATCAGGACAAATATCTTTACCATTAGTTAAATCAGAACTTGAAGAATCTAGTAAAAGAAAGCGAGAAGATGATGATTATGATGTTCCTTAATTTGTAAAATCGAAATTATTTAATAAAATTTAGTATCAAGTTTTGTAAGTAACAAGAAATCTTATTACAGAAGTATTTTTTAATATTCATATACAATAGATTAATTTGATTAAAAAGAATATTTTTTATTAAATTGTTCTTTTTTTTCATAAAAAATTATATTTTTATTTTTAAATTAAAGACTGCCATACAGTTATTATTATAAACTTGATATGTAAACATCTTATACGACAAAAACAATACAAATGAAAAACAGTATGAATATTTGTAGAACAATTAAATAGTATTGTTTGTGAAAGCAAAAGGTCTTGGATGCCATTCAGTACGATGTAGTCATCTATGTTTTTCTGTAAACCTTTCTAAAAAATTGTTAGTGTGGCAAGCAATAATATTGATATATATTTACCAATTAAAATATATTTTTCCATTATTCTTGAAAATTATTTTTCAAATTGTTAATTAAAAAGTATTTGTGTTTTTTACAGTACAGAAAGAAAAATTCATATTCATATTTTTTTTAATACTGTCATTTGATATGTATAAATATTAATTTATCTATTTGAAAAGAAAAAAAGATTGAATTCAATGGTATGATTCATATGTATTTTCACAACACAAATAAATTTGTAATCTTACATTTTTTCTTTTTCTACTTTAAATGATGACGACAATTATGAAACTTAAATAAAAAAAATTAATTTATTAATATTTTTTGTCTTGCTATAATTAATTCAATTATTTTATTATGTTCATTTCTTCAGTATGTTGTAAAATTATACTATAATTACTATTCTTTTAACAAAAGGTATTTGGTATTTTTAAATATTTTTAATTGAATATATTATTTATGTGTAATATTATTTTTAAAGTTCTATAAATGCATATATTTTTAGAATTTTAAAATGTTTCTTAAAATATATTTTTTTAAATATAATTTAGTTTGATAATTTTAATTATTTGTTACAGTGTTTACCATTGTTAAAAATATTACTATTATAATTTACTAAATTTATAGTTTTTAAATTCTTAAATACGTTGTTTGTATTCATTTTTATTTCATGATTTTTTTTCATATTTCAAATTAAAGTACTACGTGAATACATTATTCACTATATATAATAGTATTACTTTTTTAATTTGCATATCTATAGTTCAGAAAATAAATGAGAGGTAGTAAATACAAAACAAATTACAAATTGCAAGTTGTACATATGTAGGCTTATGCATTTAATGAAAGAGTAATATATAATTTATATTTATCGACTTTTGTATATTTAAGTTTGGTCATTTAATTCAATAGGAATTATGAAAAATCAAATTATATTGTAGTTAAATGAACTTATGATATATATTTGCTTGTTTTTTCAACCTATTTATTGCTCGATGATAACTAACTATGAAAAATTCAATAAAAACATATAATTATGATTTATTTATAAATTAAATAAATCGATAGTATATAATTAAGTATACATTATAAATTCTTTTTTAAGCATTAAAAACATTTATTATCTGTATAATTTTTTTAATAGGTTGATTATTATACAATAACGTGTAATAATTTAATAATCCAAGAGCTGTTTATTTTTAAATAATATTTATTAAAACAAATGGTAAAATAGGAATAATAATATTCCTTTATTATTTTATAATGTTTTTATGCATCTTGTTAATAATCCAAATTGTTTTTTTTTAATAAAGTAAGGAAAATAATTTATTGGTATAAAAATGTTATTCAGAGAAGTAAAAATATAAGCTATCTATATTTTACGCTTCCAGTAATATAAATGTAATAAGAAGTTCAATTATATATTTTTAGAAAGGACATTTGTATTAAAGTATCAAATAGAAAGTAGTTCAGTTTACCTCTTTTTTGCAAGTACAGAATAAAAATTATATATAATATATACTTTTAAACATATATGATCTTGCAATTAAGATTTTTTACCTAATTTTAATACTTTTAAACATTTTAAACAAATTTTTTATATTAAAATAAAGATTTCAGTAACATTTAAATAATCTTATAAGAGTTTGGAATATTAAAATAGATACAAATTTTTAAAGGTTAACGTTTACAAAATTTATAATTGATTTAGAATTTAATTCCATATTTTATTACATAACTTTTAAGGCCTTCACTGTAATTTCATTATCATAATTATTAATGTTTGATATTTAAGAATTTACATTATTTATTTTGTTATATGAACTTAAAAATTTATAATTTTATTTTTACAAATTACATTAGGATTATGTACATATACTTATTATACATATAGTTTATCAGTGAATTCTTATGCATCATGAAAAGTCTAAAATAATACACTGATAGTACTTAGATAATACTTTACAATAAGTGTGTAATAAAATTTGGTAAATAAATATTAAATATATATATATTAATTTATCCAAAATAAATAATGTCTAATTAATTGAATCCAGATATTATCGACATAATAATCAAAATGATACAGTATAGTAAGTTGCTATAACTAGTTAGGAGTGTAGTTCAGGTACAGTATTGATCCTACACTGCATAATGTTGTTATTGATTAGCTGCAAAGGAACACTTTAGTTAAAGTTCCCGAATATGTTAATATGTACATCCAAATAAACATAATATATTATGTATATAGTACATTATATAATATACAGTATAACACAGTATTCTGTAGTCTTCTATATTTTTATAGATTGAAAATATCAGCTTATCTTTTACTCATGCATTGACATGTAATATAAGAAGTATGGAAAGTGAATAATGTATTCATACACATAAATACTTTAAACTTATATTTATTAATATTAAGTGTTATTAGATTACTTCTTTTATTAATCTCTCTTTATTATATAATTACATAGAAGTTTAATAAACTTAGTTTCATTGTTGCCACATGTCAGTAATTTTATACAAAATATTATAATTCACTATTTATTATTTGTTTAATTTCTTACTATTTTTTTATTCAGAACCCAGTAAAAAATTGACTTTTTATTATTACTTTACTTACAAATAAAATACGCAAATTTATTCTACAATATTTTAAATTATGTAGTATATAATAGTATCAATCTTCATAATGAAATTAAAATAAAAATAGCTGTATTGAATAATTTAAAAATTCTACTTGTCAATTATAAAATTGAATATAGTATGGAATATCAAATATTCAGTAATAAAATCAATTATTTAAGTTTGTATATTTTTTTACAAACAAAAAACAATATTCGGAAATTCTGTACAAAAACTTTATAATATCTAGGAAGATCCAAAAGATCTTAATTGTTAAAAGAAAAATTCTATGTTAGAAAGTAAGAAAGTGAAACAAAATTATTTCAAGTTTTAATGTAACTTTTTTTTTATATCATGCTATTTATTGACTCAATCATTGTAATTACACATTGAAGACCTTGAAATTAAGTAGAAGTGCTGTATTCCATGCGCAAACATATATTTATTGACTTCCATTTTCTGCGCATTGGTCGTATGCTCATATTTATTGACGTACTGAACTTGTTAACTGGCGTGATACGCTACTATCTACGCCATCAGTTCAATTCCAGTTAATCGTAATCTACGATCGGTGACGTTTTCAATATTCGGTATGTTCATATTTAGAACTCTTTGATGAAGTTGTTCAGAACTCTTTTGAACGTAAATTTCAAGGATTCCTTTCACTCTGATATATCCTTCATGAAAAATCATCTACGTCAAAAAATTTCAGAAATATAATACAAGTAAGCCCCCTTCATAATAAAAATTAATCTCAACGTATTTTCATTTATTTCAATTTAATCTGAATTGCTTTGAAATACAAAATATATCTACTCAAAATTAATTGCAACTAATGATGCCAGAAAATTAAAATAATTCTGTTAAAACTAGTACTTTCTTCTTTATTTTTAAATATTTTTAATTATTGATAATATTACTCATCATTTTATGTAATAAATTATGTAATATAATAAAAAACTACAATTATAAATATTTTTGCTTTATTTTATGGAAAAAAGTTATGAAAGAATATGAATACATTAATCATTAACATTGTTATAATAACATTATTTTAAAATATAAAGCCAAATAAAATAATTACATTTTGAACGTAATAATCATAGATTTTTTCAAAAAATATTTTAATTAACAATTAAACTTCATATGCAAAATTTAGTATCAAACGGAACACATTTCAAATTCTATTTAACATATACAAAATATTTCCAAATTGAAACATCATATGCAAATAATCATATGAATTAGTCTTAAAGTATTAAACAGAAAATTCTCAAACAGGATATTGAAACTAATTATTAGTTTTATTAATCAGGATTCTTAATTTAATGTATTTAGAAATTGTTGATATAGTACAGAATACTTCTAAATTTATTTCAATTAACTTTACTGAATAAATTAATCCATTTCAATTAGTGATTGAGTAATTATCATTTTTGATAAATACATTTTAAAAAACTTAATTTTTTGGCTTATATTTTTAAAAATATCAGTCTGAGTAAAACTTGTATATATTATCACGTATATAAAATTAACAATACTATCCTTATTAAAAGTATTGCAACAAATTCAAACAATGATTTTATTTAAATTTTTAGTATCCCCTAATTATAACAGATTCATTTATTTTTCGTTTTTTCATTTATAAATTTATAAACAACAAAAAAGAATTGGAAATTTTGAACTTATTATTATAATTTGCTTATGTTATTAATATCAATATTTTAGGTCAAATTCTATTTGAATTTTTTTTTATTTTAATAATAATTTAATTATAATATAAACATTTATAATTGGAATGCCAAAAATAGTAATTTAATCGTACAAGGAATTTTGATACAAACATAATGATAATAAATTAATTATTTTAGAGAATTTTTAAATCTTGCTTAGTAGAAATTCTGTTCAGTGATACGTCTATATAAAAATTCGTATAAATACAAATTCTGTACAACAAATGTATTGAGATTAATGATAAATAAAACAATTGGTATATGTAAAACAGTATTTGTACGCTCGATAGTAATATATGTTAATAATTAATATAATATATATATATAATAAACTGCAAATGATAAGGTCTATGATAGATTATGTAGATTTAAAAAATTTAAGTTCATATAATCACATTGACGAATTGTATTTCGAAAAACTAACTTATATTTGAATTTATTACTAAATTGTTTTTGAAATCCATAATGACTGAGGATATAATCAAATTTCGACGATTAATATTTTAATGAATTCGTTTATTTTCAACTGAATAGTAATAAAGTTTCTTTCTAATATTTATACGTGATCGATTCTAAAATATTATATAATGAATAGCAATTATGTGAATTTCGAAAATTGAAAAATTTTGTAATATTAAATAATTACATGATTGAATAATATTTGACAAGTTAAGATTATAAATATTTACATCAATACTTCAATAGAATGTGTAATACTTTCATTATTATTTTGTAAATAATCATCTTTACAACAATCTCAAAAACTACTTCCATATGGTTCTTCATAAATTAGTTTGAATTCTTTAAAAATCATTAATACTGGCTCTTTTAGCCATGATATTTTGATGTTCACTTATTATTAATGTAGATCTAACTTAAATAGATATCTCTTAAAATGTATAGTTAAATTTTTCAAGTTTTTTCTTCTAACTTTTTCTTAGTAATTTTTCTAATTAAAATTAATTCAAAACAAAATATTAAAATTTTTAATAGAATAATTATTTCCAAGGATGACCAATATATGAACAATATTTATTTCATTAATAAATTTATCAATTAATTGTCTTTGAATTAACAAATTTTTTCATTTAAAAGGCGAATATTCATTCTTCTTTTTACATGTTATGTGAATAATTACATAATATTTAAATTGATAAATTTATAAATATAAAACTAGAAATATCGAATTTATACATAAAAATAGTTTCTAAAAATACGTTATGTGTACTTCTATCAAATAAATAATTACTAATAATATTTTATATTTTATTAATTTCATAATTTCAATCTATTAAAATATTTACTTCTAATATATATAATTACAGTGTAATTTATACAATAATTAATAAAATTTTTGCACATAAAGAAATATGTATATTTAGTTAAAGTTCGTGGCAAGATTTAACTATCTATAATCACGAATTTTTAGATAGATTTATGAAGTTAACAAATTTATAATTACTTTCTTCATAAATAATACTGCCCTTTAACATATTATTTACAGTTTTCGATATCCTAAAAAAATCGATATCAGTTTTCTCTGTCTTTTATGCAGAAGCAAGAATAAGAACAGTATCAACAATATTAACAGCAATAGTAAGAATAGTGGAACGAGTAATTCAGCTGATTTACTAAAGTACTTCTTTCAATTTCGACAGGAATCCAAAGTCGACAACGACGACAACCACAATTTGAAGTCAAATATAATAGTAATATGGCCGCAAACACTGTTCATAGGTTTGTTGCTTCCATCAAATATTCCATACTTTTTATCTATCTCTAATACCGTTTAAATCTCCTTTTTGCAAAATGGGTAAAAATTATTTTTTCATCATGGTTTAAGTTTAAAGTTATGTCATGAGAAAATATAATTATGATGGAATCAAATCAGAAATAGATATTGAATTTGAAAAATGTTGCAATGTTTCATTTTTCTTTCATGTTAGTTAAGAAAATTAAAATTCAAATTCTATTAGAAAAAAGAACTTATATTTTAATTTTAAAAACGCATAATATAATGATATATGTGATACGTTCTTTTTATTGTATTTTGTTAACTTAATGGTAATATTCTATTATATGATAACGATATATTTTTTAGTGGATTGGTAAGTTTTAATTTTTAAAGTTTATTGGGGTCATTAAAGTTCGTTATCAAAATTGAATTAAACAGTTAAATATATGTTGATGAGGTTAATTATATCTATAGTTATTTTGAAAAAATTTTATTTTGGAAATATAAAATTAACTACTCAAATTTTAATATAATTTAATATAAATATTCAGAATTAAAAAAGAATAATACCATTAATATTAATTTTAAAGAATTCAATTAATATAGCTAAAAATTTGAATGAAAAAAATATATTGAGTAAAATTTTAAATAAGAATTTTATGAACAATATTATATAATTATAAATAAAGTACTTTTTAAATATAATCTTTGGTCATTTTTCTTTAAGTTAAAGTTTGGTAGCAAATAGTGTTAAAGAATTTATAAATTATAAAATATATATTTAAATAATAACATATTACTTAAATAAATTACTTAGAATTAATAGATTTTTTATCTCTTAGGAACTCTGAGTGAATGTCAATACACTATTGTTTATGAATTACATATTCAAAAAACAAAAAGTTCAATACTAAAAATTATTGTAACCTTAAAAATGCAATAATAATATAATATAAATATAGTTTTTGTTCTGTTATACAACAGTAATGGAAGTACTATATCAATTAATAAAATTTATTTAGTGGACTTGTATGCATGTATAGTCAATACTAATAATATTTTATCATTCTCTCAATAAAAAATAAAATGTTATAATTTCAAAGGCCTAAGATAAATATTATTTTTAGGGATATGTATGAGAAATCGTATTTTTCGAAAATGGTTATTTATCTGTATTCAAATAATTAAGTATGCATTATCCCTAAGTAATAAAAATAATTGAATAACATGAGAAGTATTAAAAAATGTTTTTAATGGACCTTAAGTATTAATATTTTTATTAGTCACTCATATTATTAGCAGCACAGTGACTCTTTTTTTAATTGCTTCTGGTTATTTATCTTGAGACATAATGAATTGTAAAGGAAAAGTAGTAGTAGTAGGTCTCAGTTAGTATGAATCACTTTGTGAATCTTTTAATTTTATATTTTAAATTGCTTTCTAATATCACACTTATTTTTTCTAAAATAAATACATTCTTCATTGTTATGATAAATAATCATTTTTTATACATGTATATTGAAAATCAAATTTAGATATACAACAATTATATCTATAATATTTATTATTTAATTCCGTATATTGAAGAACAAATACACAGAAATAACTATTACTATGTATTAAATTCATGAATTTGATTTTATGAAACAAAGATAAAATATATTTTAGATTACTTTTATTCTCATATTTATAATATAATATAACATAATATTAGGAAAAGAGCTAATGGCTTGACTCTATTTTATAATAACAAAGTACTAACTTTTTTTTAAATTTTATGTACAAAGATAGATTCTCGTGTATTTATAACAAAGGTACATAAATATTTTATATTCCCTTTGTTTTCATTGCACTTATATTTAACATATTATATTAAAAAAACAAATTAAGAGAATACTTAACTTTATGAATTTATAACAAAAATTTAAATAAGTATTCATGTTCAATATGTACTGTTTAAAAATAATTATAATTAGAAAGTTATTTATACAAATAATCATTTAAAATTATCTATTTTAATTAAATATTAAAAAAGAAATACCAAGTTTAAAATAAGATTGAAATATAATGTGTTTATAAAAATTATTATTTATAAAATTATTTAATATAATTTTAAAAATTTGCTAGGTTAAATTTTTTTATGAAATAACATAACACTAGAATTATATTGAAATCAAATACAATATTTTATATTAATATAGTGAATTTTTAAGATTTAAGTGTAGCTATTTAATTTTTCTCTATCATGTTTTCTTCTACTTAATCGGATATTTTTATAATTTATTTATATCTACGGAATTGCATCCATTTAAGTTTTATAAAATTATTCTTATTAAAATTTTATGTTATATATTTAATATATAAATTCTGTAATTGATGTTTATTATTTAATTTAAATACTCTAATGTAATTTTCAGAACGTCATTACCAGTGCCAGGGCATTCAGAGGTGAACATCGGCTCATTATTATCATTGGGTAAAGATTTCAGTAAGATTACGACGCCAGTCATTTTTAACGAGCCGCTCTCTTTCCTTCAGCGCATTGCCGAATATATGGAATATGCCAAACTTTTAAGATTAGCTTCACTTGAAACATGTCCAATTGCTCGATTACAGGTAAAATTTGTTTATTAGCTTATTTATTTATTAATCTATACTTATTTATGAATACATTGCACTTACCCAGTTTTATTAACGATTTTAAATACAATCTATACTTTTGTAAATAAATTATATAAAAAATATACAAAATTGTAAGTTATAAATATAAATATATTTTAAACTAATTAATTTTTCATTATTAAAAATATCTTTTTATTTCTTTATAATGCAATTTGTAAATATTAAAATAAAAATAATTTAAGCTTTTAAAATTAAGTATATACCTTTGTTTCGTATTAGTATAATAAATAATAATTAGTATAATATATAATGATAAGTGTTTATCAATGAACGTAACTAACCACTTGAATTCTACTTATTTATAAAAAAGAATATTGTTTAATTTACCTCTTAATTAAATTGAGTTGCTTAATATTTATAGTTATTTGAAGCGTCTATAACCTTTGTTTGGCCATATAAAAAATAAATCTGAATAAACGAAACATTTTTTTAACTTATATTCCGATATGCACAGCCAACATTACTTTATATCTATTATTTCACTTAAATGAGAATTGATTAGCCAGTATTTGAACAATAAGGCCTTAATAACGAGAGGTATTTTCCGTAAAATAATTTTAAATATTTTAAATAAATATAATAAACAATTTAATATACTAAAATTATATTTTATAAACTAAAATAATTTATAAAATTATTCTTGTTCAATTCAAAATTTTCTTTTTTATTATATTTTATTTTTACATTTGTATTCATTATCATGAAAAATATAAACATATTTAGTAAAAATTATTTTAATTTTTACATATTAAAGTATTGATTAATTAAATTATGCATACCATTTTTCAGAAACTTCTAATAAAAATAAGATGTAATAAATATAAATAAACTGTTAAGTTTATATTTTATATATTAATATATATAAAAATAGTAAATAATTTTTATTATTAGTACTTTATATATATTTCGTTACTTGCATTTCATTAACGATATCAGACTATTGTTTTTCAACTAATTACATAAGATTACAAATACAATTTTAAAAATAATTGTACAGTAATATATAGGATTAAAGATTCCATTTTATTAGAAAAAGATTTGTGAAATATATTTATGAATTAAAAGATAAAGGAATAAAAATATTAAAATTTTACACGTATCTGAAAAAAATTGTATATCTAAATTCATCACTACATAAACTTAATTATTGATGCTATTAACAATAAATGAATAACTAAAATTTTGTTTTTCTTCTTCTTTTTCTTATAATTCTTCTTAATTATTTTTATCATTATATTAAAGGATGCATGGTACATTTAAAAAGAATTATGGTTTGTGAAGGAAATTTTATATTCTAAGCTATTGATTTGTTGGACTCTGATGCTCAGAATTGCTATTTGAAAGGTTTCATTTTGAATTATTCATTTCATTCAATATTTAAATATTTATGTCAATCAATATTACAATTTCAACAAAATTCTATCTAAAATATGATAAATATGAGAACATTGAATTATATCTACATGAAGTAAATAGTCGTGAGCAATACTAATTGCATATATGTGTGTAATTTATTAAATACATTTAGTGGTTTCAAATTTCATTTATTTATTAAAAAATTCGATTCATTTAATTTAATAAATAATTCGATTAGAACATGCAGTTATAAAATTAAAAGCATGAAATTTTCTTATTATTTTGATTATTAATCGTGACATAAAAATAATATATACTAAGATTGAAATATATCATATTAATTAATGACATGGAAAAATGATATGTTGTAAGATTGAGTTATCTCTATAAAAGCTCCTTTTTTACTCGAATCCTGTTTGGTACTACACTCTATTTTGTCGCATTCTTTCTCGTAAGTGATAATAATCATCTCCAAATAAGTCTGTGTACCACCTCATAATCGTTGTGATACAATTGAATGGTTTCTTTATATTTTGGCTAATTCTTAACATATTTTCTCATTTTAGGTAAATCTTTAAACGATCAGAAGTCTTTAGGAGTAAATATTATCAGTATACTTCTAAAGTGATTTTAAATATAATAAAATGTATTTGCTTATTAAAGATAATTCAAGTATTATATTCTTTAAAAATGACATATAAATTTAATTTAATATATTTTGAATAATAAAATAAAATTGTCAGATGGCTGTAAATATATATAACGTTTAATTCTTTGATTAAAACGCCAAATTATGATACGTATTATTAAATTAATTTTTCTTTAGTATATCTCAGCATTTGCTGTAAGTGGCTTGGCATCTAATTGGAAACGCTTTGGAAAGCCCTTTAATCCTTTACTTGGAGAAACCTACGAACTTCAACGTAATGATTTTCGGTAAAATCTGCTAAGAATAATTCATTTCTTAAGATAAATTTTGTATAAAAATTACATTTTTGTATTTGTCATTCAAAATGTTTAAATTTGAAGAATATCAATAGATTTTGAATTTTTTATTATAGTGTAAGTAAAATATTTTAAATCATTATACACTATACTGTATGAGAACATATAGCATAGATAATGTTGTTTTTTTCTAGATATTGATTCATTTATATTTCACTGTTCTTTAACTTTATGCAAGTTCTTATAATTTATAGTTTTTATGTTTAAATGTACATATTACAAATTTTATTTTATCTTATACAATCACACATTATAATGATCATATTTAATATTTATAAATGTGCGATATATTTACCCTGAGTAGTATTGCAAAATGATAATCCTTAAAGCTATACGTTTCAAAGAATAACATATAATAACTAGATAAACAAAATTAAGTTTTCAAAAAATTAATCAGATTTAAAATAATAAGCTCTGAGCATTTTACTGTATGTAATATAAAATATATTTTTATTTATTTAAAATAATAATTAAATTGAATTTTTAAGTTTTAATGTTAATAAAAATTGTACATTTAATTTATATTTATATATTTTATATTTATATTTATATATTTTATATTTATATTTATATATTTTATATTTATATTTTTATATTTATATATTTATATATTTTATATTTATATTTATATATTTTATATTTATATTTATATATTTATATGCTTTAATAATAGTATAATTTGTGAGCAAGTATCACATCATCCACCAATTTCTGCCTTTCATGCTGAAAACGAGGATTATGTTTTTCATGGTAATATACATCCTAAACTCAAGTTCTGTGGAAAAACAATAGAAATTCATCCAAAGGGAATGGTTACCGTCATATTGTTAAAGTATGTAACAATTTCTAAAAAATTACTTATGCTTCTTTCATTGCATTTTTACACACGAAGAATTTTTTATTTAAATATAAAATAAAGTAATATCTTATTAAAAATATAATATTTTCTTAATGAATAAAAGTATAATCAATAAAATTATAAATTAATCTTTTCCCTTTTTTTTATTATAAATTTTCATTCATGATTATATAATTTAATGGAAAAAAATTATTAATAAAATTATAAATACTTATTATAACATTCATAAAAGAAAACAGTAGTTTTACAATCGTTATTGCTAATTAAAATTTTATATAAGATTTTATCTGAATATCCTAAAAAACTTATAATTTTAAATAAATGCATAATTATAATCATAATTAGTAGCCCATACATTATTATTTTCGGGAATTGATAATAAAAAAAAAGTGGGAATAATTTAAAAAATCAAATAAAGATAACAATACATAATTTTATACTTTCTGGAAAAAATGTAGCAAGTAGAAGAATGTCAAACTTGCATTGGAAAAACTCGGGCAAGTCATTGTTTGCCCTCGTATGATTAAAGATGGAACGAGACATACACTTGGCAGAACGTCAATTGTATATTACACAATTTCCTCGTGGGACAAATTTGGATGGAGCAGCAGGGAATATTGGAGATTAAACAACATGGTGGTATCAATCTAAAAGCAGAACTTTGCTTAAAAACTGCCGGTTGGAATAATAAAGATCTACACAGAGTGGAGGGCTTTATCGTAGATCAAAAGTATGTTTCTATTATTTAATTGTATAATTTTGTTATAACAACTATTTGAAAAATAATATTATTATAGGTGTAATAAATTTTAATCGTAAAACAATATTTACAACATAGTACTTAAATAAAATATTGAATATTAAAAAAAAATGTAATCAATGTTATTAAGGTAATTGTTTATTAAATTCGTCTCATTAATACATTTTAGCGACATATTTTCGTTTAACATTTTTAAATATATATATAAATATATTTATATATATATATATACATATATAATAGGCGTATGTACTGTGCTTTTATTTTAATAAATTATTTTTTTCTGAAAATATAAATTTATATCTTAAATTTGTAGATCTTTTTATTAATATTTGTAGCTTACAATTGATGAACTAAAATAATTGTTTTATTTCAAGATTTTCTGCCTGGCTAATTTTTACCCAAATCTCATTAGCAATAAATATTTTAATAACAAAAGTGAATTTTTTATATATATGATACTCCTACAGCACATCATATTTCGTATATGAAATTGGATATGTTATAACTTATAACAATAAATTAGAATATTTACTATATAATTATGAAACCTCTTAAAATATAAGAATAATAAATATTACTATAAATTTTCATCAATTTTCAAGTAATTTTAATTTTAAATATTTATTTTTTATAATATATTTTAAATATTGAAACTTTTTTGTAGTTATTGTAGTTGTCGCTATCAGAGATAGATGAATTTTCTTTTTTTCTTCTGAAACGCGTATTTCTCTTTAACTTAGTTATTGATTTATCTGAGTTTTAGATTTTCTTTATTGAACATAGAAAAGTTCGGTTTATACAAAACTCTTATTTGTTTTTTTCTAAAAATTTTTTAGGCCAATATATTTCTAATTGGTTTTATATAACGTATTTATTTCGATAATAAATTTCAGTTAATATTTAAGAAAATATAATACAGTGAAAATGACATGCTTTTTGCATGGATTGTTTTATAATCATAAATTATTAAAATTTTATCATGATATTGATTTTCACTAACAGATTATATTTTTAAAGCAGTATATAAACTTTCTGCCTGATAATATTTAGACTCTATACTTGCGACTACAAAATTATATTCCTCTACATATTTTAAATATTTTCTAAATTAAATTATTGTATTATCGTATTATGATGTTTATTCTATTTTATTATTAGTAGATGAAAAAATATTCATATACATACTAAAAAACAAGTGTAAATTTTTTGGATATATTTAGTGAGCATAACACAATAAACTTTGAATTATAATACAATATAAATATATTATGGTAACAGAATCATAAATAAATTCCAATCTAAATTTATTATAAAAACCAGCATCGAAGAAAAAAATACATAAATTATTAAAAACACATTTAATTATTGAAATATTCTTTTAATAGTGCATTATAATTATTATATTTTAAATTAATTACAGTTAGGTAAAACATTTATAAAAAAATGTATTTGAAAATTTGATAGGACATTTATTTTCACAATAAGTTCTTTAAATATATATATATATGATATATTGGGCTTAGTACACTTTGATATAAAGAAGGAAAGAAACGTCTGCATTGGAAATATGCTATTATTATTCCTACATCGAAAAAGTGATTAAATTTAAAATATCAGTTTTTAATATAAAAGAAATATATTCAGAATATATTCATTTCTTTAATTACGTTTACATGTACTCAAATATTATCATCACGCACTTATATTTTTACTCACTTATAAAACTGTGTCCTTGTAATTATTTATATTCCTATGATCATGTATTGAAAAAAAGGAATGTTTTAATTGATTACACTCCTGAAAAATGGTAAATATAATGTAAGGATATATTAGGAATAATATTGAATAAGATTTATCTCCTTCTGACTCAATTTCTCTTTTAATTTCGAAATTTTATGCGCAAAAACAAAAAATAAAAATATTAAAGTAATAATTTTTTTTGAAAAAACAATAAAAGTATAATTATTCAACAGTGGAAAACAACTGTCGTACCTATATGGCAAATGGACTGAGTACCTTAGAGCCTCCACAGCGTCTCTGTATGAAGAGATGATCGAAAGGACAAAACAAAAATCAAAGAGTTCTCAAAACAGTTTAGGGCATAAAAAAGTCTTAGCTAAGCTTAATAGTCTTAAGGTTGGAACATTCAAACCTTTACATCAAATTGCAGTTGACGAATCAGATGATTACCATTGCATGAAAGAGTGCACAACCGATGATTTATTTGAGTCCATGATTCTATGGGAAGTTACACCTAGACCTTCCAACTGTGCAGAAGTAAGAATTTTCTTTAATTTTTTCTTTAATTCATCGATCTGAATATAATCTACGATATATTTACTGAATTGTCTTAACCACCATAACAGCTTTCCCATCAAAGTAGTATAATTAACGATAAAACAAATTCTCAATTTAATAAATTAGGAACCTCTTAATTTTTTTTCACAACGTTGATTGCAAAGATAAAAAATGTATTCTCAAATTTAATTCAAGAAATAAGGATTCATTTCATTCTGAATTATTTTATTCAGTGGAACAGATTGAAAAATATTATTAAACTGCCTATAAAATCATTAAAGAATTTAAATGTTATTATCTGAGAATAATATATTCCCTTTCCTGTTGAAAAAAACTATATTTTGACGAATATATCATTTGTAACATTGTAACGTACAATCTGATTGCTTATGTACTTTTTTCAATTATATATAAAATAATTTTTATAAATAATATTAACCTTATTAATTATTAACACAATATTTTATGCATTGTAAATAATACAACAAATCTACACATATACATTCAATCCGTTTATAAATGACAAATTAATATTCTAAAATATAAGAACTACTTATAACTTTTAAATATAAAACTTTTAATAATAATCATTATAAAAATAACACTATAACCATAGATATAAATTAGGTATTAATAAAAACTATAATATTTTTACAAATATTAATTTATTTTGTTTAGTATTTTCAATTTACGGCATTTGCCATGACATTGAATGAAATAGAACAAGGAATGAAGGAAAACTTATGTCCAACGGATTCACGATTGAGGCCCGATATTCGAAAACTAGAAAATGGAGATCAGGATGGAGCCGCTACTCGAAAAGTTAGATTAGAAGAAAAGCAAAGAGATAGATGTAAAATAAGAAACAAAAAAAAAGTTTCTTCTGAATGGATTCCAAGGTAAAAAATTAATTAAACAATAAATAAATACAAAATATACTAATGATTAGATTGTAATTAATAATAAGTAATAATCGTAAACAATTAATAATAACAATGACGATTTAAAAGGTAAACTTTTATATAACAAAAACCTCAATGATATTAAAAATTGTTTTATTTATTAACCAATATATATTGGCATATTAGTAGAAAATAATATACTGTTTTACGTTTTTTATTATTTTAACATTTCATATAAAAATATTAAATCTATTAATGAATTATACATAAATACGTTTTGTTGTCAGAAAATAGTAAAAGTTAAAAATTGCAATTCTATTGATATAGGTAATATATTAAAATACATATTAATTAAAATAGATATTAAAAGATAATGTTAAAAAAAATTATATTTTTTTTAAAATAAGTATTTATATATTTTTATTGCATTTAATTTGAAATAATATAATTTTATTTTTATATATTAATAAACTTTTAATTTGTTTGATATTTACATTGCCATACATTAAGGGGTATTCGATTTATTTTTAATTTTCACAATGTATAGATAATGGGTATTGAATAAAAATATATAAATAAAATAAACAAAAATTTAAATAACGTGTACAAACTGAATAATTAAAAGCGTTAGATTAAAAAAATAAAGTTCGGATGCGATCTTAATTTAGTTACGGGAAACAATTATACGTTATTATATCATTCTATATATATATATTTATTTATTTATATTAAATTAATTAATTTATATTAAAGACATATTTAGTCAATTAATTACTAATGATGAAGAACTATCAATTTTTAATTTCATAATACAATGACTAATAGTTCAAACATAAATAAAGAAAATAAATCAGCAAAATTAATTAACAAAGTTCGCCCTCGAACTATATATATTATCTGTATAAATGTAGAAATTGTGATAAATTTAAATTAATAAGTAAATAATTGTGCGTTGTATTCGCTTTGTCTATAAAATTATTAAAAAATTTCTTTAACAAACATTAATTTCCATTATATAATTGTAAAATTATTTAGATAATTAATTAGGTGAATTCAAAAATTTAGTTGAGTATAAAAGTTATTGAAGGTGATAGGAAAATAGATTTTTGAAAGATAGTACAATAATATAATTTTTATCTGTCACATTAACGAATTTTTTCATTTTAATTTTATATTCTTATAAATTTACGAAATATATTATATATTATAATTTTATTAATAAAATTACCTTTCAATGTTCTATTCAGCTATAACTATAGCATGTCTATATGTTATCTTATTTATTGAATGTACATCTTTAATATATATATATATATATATATATATATATATATATATATATGCATGTATAAATATACACAGGCTTTATTTTGTTTTATTAAAGAATTATACGTAATGTCATATTAGATGGTTCGAGAAAAGAGTAAATCTCTACACGGGTTTCAATAATTGGACATACCTAGGTAACTATTGGGATCGCAACTATGATGGTATCGAGGATATATTTTAATTCCAAATGATGTAGGAGAGAAAAAAATTCAAGAAATTGCAGTAATATCTTACTGTCATTTTAAATTCACTGATAAATTAATGAATGGAAAACCTATGTCACTAAAATAAAATTAGAATTAAAATATAATACATAAAATAGAAACCTACCCACCAACTCAAGTATTTTATTGTGTTAAAAAAGAAGTGTAATGATAAAATTTACTTGGAATACAGAAAACTGTTTCAGAAAGTAACATAGTTGTTGTGCAGTCAATATTTGCGGAATAATAGATTTTGTGACTACTATCAAGCTACACATGTTCAAGTTGTTAGATGATTTTTTTCAAGAGACAGATTATCATTGTTTGAATCCGAAAACATGTATGAAGTATTAATATTAAATCTATTTACATAATAATTAATGTTAAATTATTTATATTGTCAAATATTTATTTCCTTACACTTCTCTACTATTGTTATAATTTCATCTCATAAGAATTTTTTTTATATTAAAAATTAAAATTGTAAAAACTCATATATTAAATTCTAAACCGATTATGAAAGAAATATTTTGAAATTCTGTAATACACAATCATAGGTAAACTAATGAATAAATACTGTTAATCTCCTGACATATTAATGAGTTTCGTATAAAACCATGGATAAGTAAATTAAAACTGTTAATATTAAAAATGTATTATTTTTCATAACTAATTTAGGTAACATAATTTTATTATATAAAATCAAATACCACACAATTTAATTATACTAAAATATTATAAAATTTGTTGAAATAATATATTCAATAAACTATTTATTAAAATTATGACATTGAACAAAAATCTTGCTCTTTTGTAATTATATCAATAATCACTCTTGCCAAAATTTTAAGTTTTAAATACTATATTCAATATATGTACTTTAAATGAAACATTACTTTAAATATTCAAAATAAATGAATAAACTAAAATTAAAATTAAATACAACAATATATTTATTGTATTAATTAGAATGTAAGAAAATAAACTAATAATGTTACTACCATATATAATGGTATACAAACACATTTGTTAACTAAAAATATAAATAAAAAATATGAATTTTATTTCTTATTTTTTTACTTGAGAATCAAGAACAAATATACATCTATATAAAAGAATAAGAATTATTAATATGTACAAGTAATTTAAAAAATAATCTCTGCTTATAATCTATAAATAAGATTAATAAAAAGGAATAAAAGTAAATTTAATATATTGGAATTAATGTATAACTCACTATAAGCTAATATAAAAAAAAATATTGCAATTCTATTATCTATTACCAAAATGATGAATAAATATTCTGTTTCTATTAATTCAACTAAACATGTTTTAATAAATAAATGTAATTGTAATAAATGCATAATTATTTTTAAGTTGAATATAAATTTATTTGAAATTTTATTTCTATGTATAATATTTAATAAAAACAAATTTGAAATATATTTATAACAAAGTTAAAGCTTGTTTAGTAAATTTACCATTATTTGATTAATAATTGCATTTAAAAAATGATATATAACTGTTATTCAAGATTCCGAGAATCTCTCGAATATTATCATTTCTGAAAAAACTCCAACTGTTATAATTACTGGGAAATCCTCCAATGGTCGTTTGAGGCCTGGACAAACAAGTTCCAATCGCAACCATTGATTCTTGCACTACAATCGCCTCCTTATTGTCAGCTAATAAAGCTGCCACATGGATATTTTAGACAATCGCACATTCTCAGCAGAGCTGTTACGGAAGGCCTATTAAAAGTTTCATACGAAGTAGAATCTCGTATACAGTGCCCCGAGCACGAAGCTGTTGCAGGTCTTTTTCATACATCATGTCCTCCCTCTCAGAACTCTCTCGTACTAATGGCACACTCTCAAGCGGTCGGTTCCATAAGTCAGAGCAAGCAACACAATTTGACGCCGCATCAAGGTATCGAACTATTTTTTCACCCTTCTACACTACAAGAAAGCTTGGAGGAGATCAGCAATCAAGTTAACACCACGTGGTACTACACGAAGAAGTGACAAGAGATTTACGACCACTCACTTCTTAGTGTAGTACTTCACACCAAGCGTACTGCATCAAGAGAATCCAGAGATTCACGACCCCTAACTACTAAAAGTAGTGCGTGCTGATACCATATGGCAACAACAAAGGAACGGCAAGATCTTAGCGATTCTTATCATCAACGTAGAACCATTATATTGTAGTTATAAAATAAACACAATAACAAGCACGAAAAGCAAATGTATTAAATACTGAATTGAAGCGTTACTCCTTCCATTTACCCACACTTTTCTTCCACCAGGAAACTGGTGGCCATAGTCATGGATAGTCATAGCCACAGGAAACCATGGCTATAAACAACTGTAAAAAGATTTCACGTGGAAAGCAAAGAAACAATATAATATTAAATTATTAATGAGTATAATACTATTTTTTTATTTTAAAATAAATGGTCATTTTTATGATTTTTATAAAATGTAACATGCTAAAATTGTTTTTAATGTGTGATTTAAAATAATCTGAGTTTTAATTAAAATATTTGTTTGTATAATTATAATTTGAATTTAACTTCATTAATATTAATTTCTAAGACAAATTAGACAACTGATAATACAATTTGTTTACAAATATTATTTTATATATAGTTGAAAAGTAATTATATGTTAATGAGATTTTAATCAGAATATAATATAATAATTACAATCTACTTTCACAAATAAATTTAAATTTAATACGAAAATTGTTTTCGAATTTTAATAATTGGTTTTCACTTCAATTTATATAGCTTAATTCATTATGGAATAGTTACTAATCAATCTTACAATTGATAATTGGCATATTATTAAAGGATATATTTTCCATAATCAATATATTGTATTCGATTAACGGAATTTACAATATTTACATATCTTTATACACTACGTTACAATTCTATTCAAATTCTATACAATAATAAAATATATAATATTTACTGGAAGTTGTTTCGGTACTAAAATGTATAAAAAAATGAAAATTGTTACGGATTGCAGTAATTTCTAAGCAAAATAAAAAGTGGGAGAGGTATGAGCGCGCGAGCAATTGTTTTGTAAAAACTAACTAACGAATTCAAAGAATACTATAACAGAAAAAATCGAATATACTACTATAATTACAAAAATAATAACAAATGAACTCTACGAGGCTATGCCCTTTTTACGTCACGACAAATATCGGCATAGCAACGATCACCTATACAATTTCAAAGCAGCTTGTTTATACAAGAATATTTAAGGAGCTGCACATGACGGTCTCATACACTTACTAGTTCAATCAAGCAATCATCAAGATCAAATTATTGTTTTACAAGTCAACGCCATTTACACAGAGATCGTCTTAAATTCACACAAATCGTTTTCTTACAAGTCAAATACCACTTATATAGAGGTCACATCCAATACACAACGATCTATCTCCACACAAGTAAGCTACGCTATTACACACGTCCTTACGTATCATCAATACAACTGAAATCGACTTCACACACATAAACTATGCTATTACACACGTTCTTACGAATCACTAACACATGACTCCGTGAACTAAGTAAACAGCAATACCAAAACCACGGCATCATTGCTATTCATCAGTGACGTCATACACCAGCACACCACTCAAGCCTCTCCAACTCATCGGTAGCGGCAACGGCGACATCAATTCTCTTCAACAGTGACGTCATACACCAGCGCCCCACTCAAACCTCTCCAGCTCATCGGTAGCGGCAACGGCGGCATCAATTCTTCTTACCAGTGACGTTACATACCAACGCCACCACCCAGGTCTCTCCAGTGTATCGGTAGCGGCAATCGGTGGCGTCAATCACGCACCATACCACAAAAATACACTTATAAGATTATCATCACTCATATTACCTGAAGAAACTGTCACTTATTTATTCTATCATACACTCATTCGATATTCATAGTATTAACTATTCATTATTTATTATATTCAATAAAAGGGAAAATCAACTCGTATAAAGGCAGTATTGAATTATTGCATTGTCAATTCCAATAGCCAGCAAGCCTCCCTTCACAATCTCAGGGAAGCATTTTTAGTCTGATCTCAGACAAAAATATTTTAAACTATTTTAAAGGAATTCAATCTGTTATTTATATAAAGTATGTATATATATATATATATATATATATATATATATATATATATATATATACATATTTAATCTATTAGTTTCTCAAATTTTTTTAAAAATAACATAACATTCTTTATTACTGATTATTAAATTTAAGTATTTTACACAATATTATAATGTAATAGTACTATTACTTTATTAATATATTACAACAATTTTTCGTACAACAATAAGCACTTACATGTGTAAAATATAAAACCGAAATGTTATTAAAAATATATAGCAATTTATTGATTTATATTGAATTATTATTATATTATATCTATAGTATAGTATTATATATTATATATTATATATAGTATAGTATTATATATAGTATAGAATTCTATTCATCCGACTCGAAGAACCAAAATTTTTAGAATTAGACTATGGGCTCCAGTTTCCTGGTGGGAGAAAAAGTGCGGGAAAGTGGAAAGGATAGCAATTACTTCAATATTTAACATATTTGCTTTTCGAGCTGTTTATTGCGTTTTACTTTACAAACTACACAATTATGATTTTTAGTTGGTGATGAAAATCGTTGAGATCTTGCAGTTCCGTGGTGGTTGCAACGTGGTATTAGCATGTACTACATACAGAGGTAGGAGATCGTAAATCTCCGGATCTGCTTGACGTAGTGTGCTTCGTGGTAAATTATTACACCGAGAAGTAAGAGGTTGTAAATCTCTCGACTCTTCTTTTCGCGTAGTGCCACGTGATGGTAACTTGTTGTGGTTTCCTCATTGGAAGGGCCTGAGACGGCCTTGTGTTAGACACATTACGGAACAGGCCAGAGACGGCTTTAGGCTAGACGCACTGCTATTAGAAAGGCTCTTGTTGGCCTTATGCTGGACGTACTATTATTGGAAGGGCCTTAGACGGCCTTTGTGTTACTTCCGTATGAGATGCTATTGTTACTCACAGCGATACAGTTACCTTGCCTGATCCTATGATGAATAGTTATTTGTGTACCCTTGACTGTTGTTCTTCAAATAGTCGACTATAACCTCATAATATCAAGCCCTTTCGTACTCGAAGGTATGTTATTTATTGTTCTTGCGTATGACTAGCTCTCTAATACTCCCATACTGCCCTTGGAGTATGGTCGATTTTACATGATAACTACCACAGAGACATTAACATGCTTCCCATATTGAGCATGATTAATTTTCCCTGTTAAGCACTGCTAACTGCCATTACCATCTTCTTATGCTCATTGATGAGCTTGGTCAACTGCTCGTGCTGATCTTTACAACGTCAGCATAGACCCAATAATCAACATTCATTGCAATTTCAATAACATCAACGACATCGATACCATTCCGAAGAAGTAACCTCACCATTGAAATAGAATAATTTTCTCTCTCTCTCTCTTACTAGAAGTAATCATCGAACTGCAATATTGTAATTATTAATAAACCAGAATAAACGATGTGTTAAATCAAAGGTACATACTGTACATGTCTTCTGCCCTTCCACATATGTTTTCCTTACGAATCTCTACGACGAGAGACTAACACACTCAACTATTGAACTGGCAGTTCGAGCCACAAAATAAATCCTCAATTTCGAACAATGAATATACTTTTAATGAAGCATTTTATTGGATTTATTATCAGTAAGTTTCTTTTACAGTTCATACAAATTTTAATATATCAATAAAATACCTGTGAAATTTTTTTGTATATAAAATTTTTTTAAATTTCTAATATAAATATCATTAATACAATCTATACCGTAATCTCACTCGTTACTTTCAGAGGATCAGGAATTTCAGCACCCTCTGGTTCTCCAATAGAAGTTTACAACAACGCCACATCATTATTGAGAAACATAAAGGTTCATTTATAACTTCATCAAGATTAATAATCCCTAAATTGGAAGCACATTGAAAAGTAAATGGAATAAACAGCAATCAGAATTACATGTGTAAATTATTGAATCAGTGCATTAACCCCTCCACTTGCCCACACGTTCTCCCACACAACATAGAGTGGTTTTTCTTAGTTAATTCTGAACATTTGCTTCTTCGAGCCGGATTAGTGGAATTAGTTCTAAACACTACTATATATTATTTACAAAACAGGTTAAATAATTTATTATCATAAAAAATTACATACCTTTACATTATTGAGACTAGCCGTAATTTGATATATATTTTCAACTCATTATGGTATTAAGTATTCATTGTATCTTAAATTTATGTATTTAAAAGTATTTTAATATAATAATTTATATTAATTTATTATTTAATTTAAGTAAATCTAAATTTAAATGTTTCTATAGCTGCTGAATTAAAACTATAGTTGTTAAAAAATATATAAAATATGATATTACTTTTAATAAGTGTTCGAAAGTTTAGTTTCTGGCTCGAACTGCCAAGTTCAATTTTCAACGTTGTACAGGTCAGTAAGAAGAGTCGACCATACTTATAAGGTAAGCATGGGAATGTCTATGTAGTAGTTAGCAAGTAGAGTCAGCCATACTGATAGGAGTATGAGAATGTCCCTGTGGCACTTATTCTCAAAAAAGACAGATGATATATCTTCGAGTATAGAAGGGTCCAATACCATGCTTTGTGTTGTCGACTATTCTCTCGAATGGTAGTCAGCCTTTGACGGATTGTTAACCGTGCGCACTGGAGAAGTGAACGAGCGTTCTTTGCAATAGCTGCACTGAGAGAGCGTGTGTTGTGTAACCTTCTTGTTGTAGGCTCTGTGTGATGGCGTGGCTCGGGCATAGATGACTGACTAGGACGAGTGACTGATTGTGAAGAATATCTGACACTATGCACTGAATGACTACCAACACTACGTACTGAATGACTGCTTTATGTTAACTACGTGGAGTCTTGACTTGCTTTCTTAAGTATAAGGCAGCAACTAACACTAGCTCGAAAAAAAGCTTTCAACTATTCGAGAATTCGGGGAAAGCAAATGTGACCGTTCGAGGCTAAGCATCCTTCGGGAAAGATCGAGAATCCAAGCTTTCGGCTATATGAGAATCCTACGAAAGCGAAGCCTTGAAAGATTCGAGAATTCAATCGACGTTGTTACGCGAAGGCTAAGTAGCCTTGTAGAATGTTCGAGAATTCTAAGCTATTGACTAGTCGGGAATTCGGCGTAAGAAAATGTAAACTTTCCGAGAACCGAAGGCCTTGAATAATAGCTCCAATTCTGAACATTATACTTTTTTACACTATACTATAGTATAATATTACAATAACATTATAATTTTACTGTAATTAATTTATACTTTTAGTTCTGATTCCTTTTTATATTTTAATGTATCTGTGTAATCTTAAATATTTTTTTGTTCATACGAAAATGTACTTATGGAATAAGAACAAGCAAGGAAAGGAGTTCAGTCATTCAAAAATACACTACGTGGATTTAAGCTTATTGGCACATAGAAATGTGCTCAAGAGAAACGCGGCATTATATAAAATATATAAAATCATATAATATAAATAAATTCAATAGTATTTATAAGTATCTATATATGATGTATTTCAATAATATTGTGATGAATATTTTTGAATATAATTAAATAGACTTTAATGAATCTTATATTTTAATAAAAATGTTACATCTATTTTTTTTATTTTTATTTTAAAAATTTAAATATTTAAGCAATTAATGAACATCATTGTCCATAGCATAAAATTGAAGAAATTAGTCTTTGCAACCAAATGTATTTAACATTATTTTTGTTGTTCAAATCGTAAATAGAACAGGTCCTTTTGATTGTTGAGATAACATTATTTGGGAAATTAAAATACAGAAAAAGAAAACAATAATAGTATCAAAAGAAATTTTAAATGTGAACATATGCGGTTAAAATTATAGTAATAACATTAATTACAATAATATATGTTAACAATATTAGCATTTGATGTATAGTCTGTATAGACTGAATAAATTAAAAAAATTTTGTTATGTAATGCAAGCTTCAAATGTTTTTATGCAATTTAATTAAATAAATAAATAATAATAAATAAATCGTGAAATCGCTTGAAGCATGCCAGTAGTGGTATAAATTTATTAACTTAATATATTACTCCTATAATTAATACTTAATTATTAAAATTACTTAATACATTTTAGAAAACTATACATAAAATTGATATCATTATAATTAAGATATTCACTATTTTAACATTTGGATGAAAAATATAAAAATACATAGGAAGAAGATTAAAATTATTTATAAAACAAATTTTAATAAAAGTAAAAAAACAATTTTTTATTTTACTAAAATTAATAAAATTAAAAAAACAATGTTTTATTGGTATAATAATAATGCTGTAATTAATAAATGTAAAAAGTTCTATTTTTTTGCTAGTGTTATATTGTTATTATTAATTTTTATTTGAACAGCCATGTGAAGCTCCATATTCAAATTATGAGTATTTATAAAAGATATCGAGCATGCGTAAAATGGATCACTATACATTCTACCGTTATACTCTAGTTTCAATGCTACGACATAACTAGATATAATCATGTTTAAGTACCATTTTATATTCTTTATAGCCTAAGATTTTTTTCGAATTTAACATTATAAATTTTTTTGTACTATATTATCTTATTTGATTATATAAGTTGTAATTTTTATAAAAGTTTTTATAAAGTTATTACACAGGTAAATTTATTAAATTTTACTAATAAATATTTAGTCAAAATGTATAAATTGTATTCTTCAAAGCCTATAATTGTAGTGTATTTCTTTTTATTTAGTTGCATATAAGGAATTTAATTTTTTGTAATTTAATTCTTCTAGATACATTTCTAATAAAAATGTCATGGAATAATACTGCTAAATTAAACCAAAATACTCACAAAGAACGTCATCAACCACAATTTCGTAATCATTTAGGTTTTTTAGAAAAGAAACAAGATTATATTATAAGAGCAAAAGATTATAATAAAAAATACAATGCTTTAAAATTATTAAAAAAAAGAGTTCTCAATAAGAATCCTGATGAATTCTATTTTCATATGATAAATTCTAAAAAGGAAAATAGTATAACTTCTGTAAATGAAGGAGATGAAAAATATTCTGATGAGCAAATTAAATTAATTCAAACACAAGATATAAAATATGTTAATTATAAATGTATATTGGATACTAGAAAAATTGATAATCTCCATAATAATTTACATATAATTGATGCAGTAAATAAAACTAAAAATAAACATATTTTTTTTATTGATAAAAATGAATTAAGGAATTTTAATGTAATTACAAAACTCAATACACATTCTACTTTATTGAATAGAAGAATAAATAGACCAAAGCTGGATAATTTAGAGATAATGAAATTATCTGATTTTAATGATTACACACTTAAAATAATTGAACAACAAAAACATATGGCTTACAAAACATTATCTAAACGGGTAGATCGTGAACAAAAATTAAATATTGTACAACAAACATTAGAAGTAAGAAATGCTTTAAAAAATACAAAAACAAGAAAACCAAAAAAAATATCTTCTGGATCTAAAAATTGTGCTCCAATTTACAAATGGATATTTGAAAGAAAAAAATAATTGCGTTAATATTTTAAATTAAATATAAATTGTAATGTTGAATATTGTGTGAAATATTTTTGTATAAATTAACAAACCCAATGCATATAATGCATTATATAATAAAGATTGAAAATATTTGCAACTGATTTCATAAAAATAAATATATAAATTTTATTTACTTTCTTTTATTTCAAAACTTATTTATGACATTGTTTAAGTAGAAATTTTATAAATAAAATATTAAATATTTTATAAAATAAAATTGTAATGAATATAATTGTGTTCAATCAATTATTAATTTAAATAACTGAACTATTTCTTTAATTAACTTTGCTATTTTCTACAATTTAATCTTCTAATTAGAAGTATATGAAATGAGTAACTAGGAAATTGATGTTATTATATTTAATATTTGTAGAACATATTCTGTTACACAATTTAGTTTAGAGAATAATTTTTAATTATCAAAAACTGGTAAAACTATTATTTAAAATATTTTTATTAGATTAAAACTTAATTTCTCGTTAATAAATGTCAATACGTAATAGTTTTATATAATAAATTAATATATTTTTTAATTATTCTGGTAATTAGTTAAAATAAAGCTAGTGCTGGGCAAATTATTATCCTTTTTTTCTAATTGTTTTTACTTTGAAAGATGTGTGAATCAGAAGTATTATAGTAAGAAAAGGAAAAAAAAATTGGTTTAATATCTGTAATTACAAATCAATATTTTTTAATTAAATATTTAATTAATTTATATATTTTTTTTAATATTATTTGATTTCAATATAATATTATAACTTCTTGTTTTCATAATTGCATAAATCAAAATTTATTATAAGTAAATTTATTCATATTCAATACATACATTGAGTATAATTAGAAATAAGCAAGATATTTTTATTTTTTAACTTATTTTTATATTCATTATCTTTGTTTAAAATAGTCTGTCCAAAAGGATGTTTTATTTTTGCTCATAGATTATTTTTACATATTGTTTTAAAATTTGAGAAATACATATTGATTTATGGTGATAATTTTATATATATGTATGTACACACAGCTATATAATATAATAGAATTTAATAGAATAAAACATACTATATAGACATTTTCAATATTTAAACTACAAAGATCAATTAAATTGGAGTTTTATTTTATGTATATAAATATGAATCTTTATTCAATACATATAATACTTAAATGTATGATTATATATAATTATTTATATAAACTCAATATATTATTAGATATTAAATAAAAGATTTTCATATATTTATGATATATATCTGTATGTAGAATTTAAGTATCAGATAATATTCTATTAGTTCTATACATCATTATTTTCTTTCTGGGGACCATTCTTATAGTTGTAATAGATAAGACATTCGATATGCTGCTATACACACAAAAACATTAATGTTCTATTTTTATGAACACCTCAAAGTGTAAATATTCTATAATACGTTTATTATAAATCATAATAGTTATATAAAATAAATAGATATTAGATGTGTCATGTAAGGGCTAAGTTTTAAATCTATATATACATAAATTAATACATCATTTAAGTGTACAGATTATGTATTACATAAAAGGTAAATAAATAACTAATTTTGAAATACTGCCTTACATATGTTTCTAAAGTATAATCTTCAAAATTACAATGGATATACAGAGATGTTATACAATAGTTATAACACTACATATTGATATGAAAAGCTAGATAGATTTTAAATAAAGTGATAAATATTGATTAAGGAGTTTAAAGATGTAAAACCCTACCATACAAATTAGAATTAATATTTCCTATATTTACATAAATTCTTTAATTAGGAAAAAATACAAATGATGGAGAATTGTATAACATTATTTTTCCAATTACTTGTTTATTTCGAAGATTTACGGGTCATTTAATAATTGAATATGTACCATTGTTCGGGATTGGAGCAATTTCCAAGAATTTAAAAATGGGAAATGTACAAGCTCTCTGACGCTTATGTTTGTAAACATTGATTTTGCGAATTCTCGAATAATCTACGCCTTATTTTCTAGTGTCCTACAATGTTTCCGCATAGCAACATCGATTAATTCTCGAATCTTCCAAGGCAGTGTCCTTCTAGAGCTTAGTTTCTGATGTCATCAAAACTTTCGGCCTATCAATAAGCCCATGCATTATTACCAGCGTTGTAAGCTTCCACGCGAATATTCAAGAGTAGTTCGCCACGCGAATATTCAAGAGTAGCTCACCATGCTTCTGTGCTCACTGTAATTTTCTCAATCAATCAGTCATCAGTTATTGCTCATACAGCCACTAAACTCCGCTATATACCAGTCAATCAGTTTTACTAATACACACACATAATTCAGCCAGACTCTGCAAGAATAAGATCGTAAGCCAATATTAGCCAAATTATTTATAACTAATTTAAGTGCGCCACAGTTAAGCAGTCAAGAGTGCTGATTGCATTTCAAGAGTGAATATTAAATACGAAGCGTACCACCTACGCACTCGTTACATACGTGGGTTAGACATTAAAACTTCTGTATTAAACGTCGCTGTATTCGGGTCTGTTCCCTGGATTCAATCACTAAGCCGTCACTGATCGGAGCTGTATTCCTGATTAAAGGTCATACATGGCACTATACAAGGAGTGTCAAGGATTTATGCCCTTGCATTTCTCAGTTTAGTAAATGCAGCAAGCGTACTGCATCGAGAGGACCCGGAGCTTTACAACTTCCAACCTCGACTTGCAGTATACGCTATTTCCACGTGAAAACCACAAAGGAACGGAAAATCTAACAGATTCTCAACACCATCTTAGAATCATATTTATTGTATAGTTTATAAATAAATAAAGAAAAAAAAACAAGATACGCAATGTGTTAAATATTGAATAAATACGCCATCCCCTTCCATACTTCGAACTGCCACTGTTTCGATTGCTTTATTAATTTGCCGCCCGCTCTAGCAGATGCTTAAATAGGAGTCAAGTGGAAGGGTTGTATAGAGTTGTATTATGGGCAAACTTCTGTAACATATAATTTATTAGCAATTACATTTACAATATGTAATATTGTTCTATGTAATATTGTTATTGTGTAATATTGTCGTGATATTGTTGCTATTATTGATGTTAGCAAAAGATGTTGAATGTTGGGTGTGTGCTGATGTTGTAAGGATCTGCATCAGTAGTCAACCATGCTCATGAGATAAGCATGGGAAGATGGTAACGGTAATTAGTAGTGCTTAGCAGGAAGAGTAAACTATACTCAAACTTTAGAGGATCCTAAGGTCTCTGTGGTAGTTATCACGTAATAAATCATGCCTCTAGTGAGGATGGGAGTAGTTGAAAGCTAGTCACACGCAGAAACAATAAATGATAAGCCTCCTAGTTCGGAAGGACTTGATAAAATGTAGTTATAGTCGATTATTTGGTAAACTATAGTCTGGCATTGACAATGTAATTTAATGTATTGGGTGCTTATTAGCCTGCGAGAGCATATTGCGTCACTTTTGTCGACTGTAAGGGGGTGGACGTAAGTTCTCCGGCTTGTTAGCCTAAGAAAACGTATTGCGTCATCTGTCGACTATTTCGACAGACTTTATATGAAACGTAATTCGCGTGTGGGTGACTAGTTTGTACAGATAATAAAATGTATGTACCTTATGAACTACGGATAGGGCATGCTGAATGACTACTAGGCTGACGCATTTTATTGATTACAATTTTGATAGCTTCACTGTTTCTTGTTCCCCTTTTCTTTTCTAGCACTGCTGAGAGTGTATGTTTTATTTGCACTACTGGTGGGACAATTCACGTATTAGGCTGATTTGCTAAAATTAGTAGTCGTAGGTTAAACTGATACTAGATGGATTTGAAAATGCACTGGTGCTAATAACACATGACCGATAGATACAGAATGAGATTGTAAGCCTGTTGAATACGCGCATGAAAACCGAAGTCTTGATCGTTCCGTGGCGGCTCTGTTGAAAATTACCGATCGTTTCATGGCGGTCCTGCTGATGGCAAGCGGAGACCAGTGTCATGGCTTCCTGTCATAGAGGGTTCTCTGTTAGATCGGTTCGCTGTGGTTGGTTCCCTACGGTCGGGTCACGGAAAGAGGTTCGCAGCAATAAAAGTTCAGCAAGAGATATATATCCACGCGGCGGCTTATTCAGCTGGCAATAAGGCATCGTTGTTGCTGCACTGGAATATTACATGAGGCGCAGAAAGAAAAATCTAGAAGTTTCGAGAATTCGACGGAAGAAAACAAGGCATAATAACTTGAGAGAATTTCGGGCGATGTTATTACTCGAAGACATATAAACATTGCGAGCCATTTGAAACCAAAACATAACAAATATATGAAAATTCTTTTCCAAAGTGTTTACAGAAATCTAAGATCTAAAAAGCCGGCGATGCCGACAATCAGCGGTTTTAGAAATTGCTTCAATCCTTTTTAGTTAGAGTTTAGAGTTTAGAGTTTTTTAGTCTAACTTAGACAATCATTTTATATATATATATATTTACAATAGTTTGCGAAATTTGCTTTCTTTTTTATTTGCAGCTTTCAAATTACATATCAATTTTTTGAATAGTTCAACAATTTGGATTAGTAATTCATAATTTTTATATACATTATTAATAAGTAATATAATAGAAAATATATTTATATTTAGGAATTATTACAAATATTCAACGGAAGTTTATGTAATTGAATAAAAAGCATATTTTTTATTAGAAATAAAATGATGTGTACTATACTTAATATTATTATGAATATTTAAATTAAAAAATTGTATATCAAATTACTATCTAATAAAAAATACGAAAAAAAAATCGAAAACCAAAACATGCAAACTTTGTTCTTTTAATAATTAAAAATATTATCTTCATCTGTATTATTGTTATAATAGTCATCATAATCGACATTATCATTTACTTCGCCATTTGTATTGTCAAGAAGAAATTCTACTTCATGTAATCCACCACCATCTTCTGGTTTTACAAGTGCTATCCCATTAAATCCGAATCTCAAGCATTCCATTCCAACCTAATGGTTGAAATTGATTTTTTAATATTAATATTAAAATAATTAATAATGATATTAAAATAGTATTAATATCCAGATTTTTCTTATTATATTTACAAAGTAATTAGAAAATATAACTTGCAAAGTATAATTATAAATTAATTCGAAATAATTTTTAAATACTTTAAATTTTTTGAATACTCAATACTATATTAATGAATTTAAATTTTACTATTTTTATATAAACAAATATAAAAAAGTTATTTATGAATATGTTAAAAAATTAAAATTTCTAAGAAATAATCTAATACGATATTTACAAGCTCCAAACTTGAATTCTTTATATTATATTTATAGAATTTAATTTAATAGCATATACTAAAAACATTTCGTTGTTTATTCTATTGTACTTTTAAAAATATTTTTCTTTAATTTATCTATATTTTATTTATATTTTTAAAATCTAAGTACTTAAATTAGAATCGGATAAAATTTTATTAAATTAAACACTCGTGTATATCTCAAATTAAATAGTAGAGAGCAAGAATACCAATTGATGTAACCAAAGAAACTATTGTAAATTTTAGAAAATTGACAGGCTACTTTACATTTATAAATTTATAGGGTAACTTACTTTGAACAGAGTTATATCTTGATATTTACCCACAATATTAATACAAGCATGAATATTTTTTCCTTGAAAATATATATTATAAAATTGTATACAAGCTCGAATCACTGGTATTCTTGGAACAAATATACATATAGGTCTAGGATTTTTACCTGGAACAATTTAGTAAAATATATTTACAATATTTAAATATATTATTTTCCTACATTGTAAAATAAAAGTATATTTTATAAACATATTTTCTTTTTATTTGAATTAATAACTGATTAACAGTCTTATAATTCTTTTTAAAATTTTATTTAATTTAAAGTTACAAAAAAATTAAAAAAAAAATATTTTATTTAAATTATAGTATGTTTTATATATTTTTCTTATCCATATATTGTATATGGAAATATTTATCTGAAGTATGCATATATGTAGATATTTAAGATTCTCTTCATGAATCAATTTTTGTAGAGTATAAAATTTATAGTATAAATAAAATATTTATTAAATACGTAAGTTTATAGTTTAAAAATTTATTGACTTCTAAATCTTAAAGTCGCAATTATCCCAGTGTTCGAATGTTTATGTATTTGATCCAGTTCGAAGGATCAAATGTATTTAATTTTGTGGCTCTAACTGCCAAGTTCAATAGTTCAGTTTATTTGTTGCCCACCTTAACGATGCTTAGGAAAGGACATAATAAGTGGAAGGGATGTAAGTATTTACAGGGTATAACTTCGTTTAGAACATCCTTTATTTTGTTTTATTAACAATTACATTATTGTAGTTCTATGTTATGGGAGAGGGGGGAATTCTTCTATTACAATGATGTAGTTGCTCCTTGATGATGGTGAAGGTGTCGTCGATGACGTTATGAGGATAGCAATGGATATTGTATGTTCCTTGAAGGGGAATATGGCTTGGTATCTTAGCATAGACCTCAACTATGCTAACGCTGTAAAGGTTAGCAAGAAGAGCCGACCATACTCATAAAAGGGAGTATGGTAATGTAGTCTGTGCCAAAGTTGGAAGATTCGAGAATTTAATCGACGTTGCTATATGAAGGCTATGCAGCCTTGCAGACGTTCGGGAATCTAAGCTTTGAATTAATCGAGAATTCTGCTTGTTAAATGTTTATAAGAATTCAAGGGATAGAAGGCTTGGTGAATTTCCGAGAATTGAAGGACTCCAAAAAATGCTTCAATTCCGAACCCCAGTGTTAAAATTATTCATAAACTAAAAATTCATATTCGGTAATTGATTTTAAAATGTTAAATTAAAATTAAAATGTTAAAATAAAATTAAAATGTTAAATTAAAACTAAAATGTTAAATTAAAATTAAAATGTTAAATTAAAATTAAAATGTTAAATTAAAATGTTAAATGTTAAATTATCAAAAGATAACTATTTACGAATGTATATAGATACCTTTATCAATATGAATGTATGATTTTTTTTAAGTCATACGATCATATTATCAATACGATTATTAAACCTGTTTAAATAAATAACCTATCGAGAAATAAAAACATTTGGTTTTATTTTTTTATATTTTTTTAAATAAAATTACTATTATTTACGAAAATTAAAATTAATAAATATTATGTTAATTAAATTATAAATATTTTGTTCAGTTAATTGATGTAATTTTATGAGTTTCATAGAAATGCTATTGTAACACATGATTTTTTAAAGTTAATGTCATTTATAAAAAATATTAATTGTAAAAATACCAGAGATAGTCCGCATATACAAGAGTTGGTCATTAATCATTACTTTAGCAGTGAATTCGAATTCGTCTGGATTATAACTAATATTGGTGCAAACTTTATGTTGTACAAAATTGAATCGTATATGTAAGCAGCAATAACATAGGCCACGACTGCAGGAGCAAAGCTTTGGTGTAGTTGCAGATACTATGATCCTATCAGCTTTAGCTACACTGGTAATTTGACTAATCATCTGGTGCAATTTTCTCCATGATTCTTGTTTCAGTGGAAGATTTTTATTCTGTCTTTTATTCTTTTTCATAGGTTTAGAGAGTACAATACAGGTTATTAATGCTATGATTACTATCATTCTAATTTGAATTTTCATATCTTGAATAAACCCTTTTAGGCAGTAATTATTGGAAGCCTCTAAATTAGAAAACATAATTTTAGGATTATGTATATTCCTAATTAAGTGATTAAGCACAGACACGCAGTTCATCATTTATCCATATTTGTCGTCAAAAAAATCATATACATACAATTACAGTTACATTTTTATTTATTTTTTCATTTTTATATTAATATATTTAAAAAACAATTAATAGTAATTTGTGTTATTGAATGTAATAATATAAATCAATTAAATAAGTATGAAATACATCATCTTATAGTCAAAAAGAAGTACATGGTTATTAAAAATCTGAAAAAAATATTTATCTAGCTCTAATGTAAGAGAACTAATTGAAATTTAATAATAGTTTTAGTAATACAAAGTAAATACAATATTTTAGATTAAAAAAAAATTTTTTTCTTTGAAAAATTGATTTTTATGTTAAGTTAGTTATAAAGAGCATTATGAAATTAAATTATTTTAACAGTAAAGAAAAAAACGTATATTATAATAACATATACAGTCAGATGTCTTATAATGAAATTGATTAATGTTATAGTTTTTAAATATATAATCTTAAAAATATTATCTGACATTTTTAAGAAAATGTGAAAAAAATTGAAAAATATAGGCCGAATTTTAGAAATAATCAGACTTAGCATTATTATTACTTTAAGAAGTTTCTATGATTTTTTTCTATAAATAATTATAGTACTTATATCTATGTATATATATGTATATTTGTTATATCCTATTTACATTAACAGTAGCTTCTTCATATTATTTTTATTAATTAATTTTCTACTTAAATATTTATAAAATTCTAAAAATAATTTTAAAGAAGCATTATTTAATTCTTATCATACGTGATGTAAACATTTATAAAACTCAGTCTTACAAGAAAAAATAATGAAATTAATAAGTCCTGTGAATTTTAAATAATCAAGAAATATAGTTTTGGTAATGGTAAAGATATATTTAACATGTGCAAATCTTGCAATGTATTTTTATGAAAGATAGTTTTATATTTTAAAAACATGTAGTATTGCATTTAAAAATATATGAATCCAAATAATTTTTATTATAACTTTAACAAAAGTTTTAGAAGCCCATGGATGAATTTTAAACGAAAATATATTCTATTCAATAACAAATCACAATTGTACTCCAGCATTATTAGAATCTAGTTCATTAGAAAGCTTATTTAATAACTTTAAAATAAATTACATACTGTTTTATAATTGAATATATTTTAATAATGTAGCATCAATATAATATTATGCGTTCTTAAGGTAGTGCACTGATTATTATAGTTGATCAGTAAAATACTTGATATTGTTATTATATAAAATGAATAGACAAAGGCTTTAATTATTAAATTTAAAAAAATTGCATTATACATATTTAGTATATGTATCTTAATGTGTCAGTGTTTTTTGAGTTAGAAATATTACTTGTCCATTACAAACATTAAAAAATAATATATAAATGATGTTAAATTATGATACTTCGGGTAGGAGTCGGGACGAAAATGCTGCAAATTCATTTAAGGAATTTGGAAGTTAAATTGTGTGAGTTAATCTACCGAATCTGATCGAACTCAGTTAATTTCATAAATATAAATTGTAAATTAATTTAAGTTAAAACATAATTAAAATTCAGTCATCCTATATGTGCTTCATATATTTTATCAAATCGAACTCATTATTAATGGATTGATAGAAAAAATTAATTATGTAATATTGTAAAAGAATGATACTTATATTTTATATATTTTATACTAATTTGTCAGTAGTTTTCGCAAAGATTATATGATACTTATTAAGTAAAATCTACCAAGTTATAATATTAATATAAATGAAACATCATGAGATTAATATTTTTAGACAAACTAATAAAAACTCAGGAATACGAGTAAAAAGGTTTACGAATCTTCGATCTTGGTCTGATGTATAAATAGCCGAATTTCAATAATTTACTCTAGATTGTAATACATTAAAAATAGACTATTTAAGATAATATTAAATTTAAGTATTTGCTAAAATAAAAATTAAAAAAATTTAATATTATTATTATTGTTATTCAAAATTTCTTTAATACGCAGAATAATTTTATCTACTAAGTAATTCATAAATTAAGAATATAGATTTCTATAATGAATTCAATTATATAAGTAACTAATATTCATTTTTATAAGTAATTGGTATAATATTACTATTTTAATCTACTAAAATAAAAAAATATATACTTTTTTAAAAATAGTTATTTTAATTAAAAATTATTTTTAAGTACATCCTTTTGTAAAATTATAGCCAAAATTTTATGCAATTTATAAACTAAACATTCATTAACCATAATTATTTAGGATAAAATTTTTGATACATTTTTAACTTCAAACATTATTGTTAGTTTTAGAAAGTTTAATGTGAGATGATAAATATTGTTTATCAATTATCATATTGAATCAACGAAATTTTAATAAAATGAATATTGTATTTATTGTTGTAAATTCTAAAATGAATATTGTATTTATTATTGTACATTTTAAAATGAATATTATCTTTAATTATAAAATAAAAATTAGGGACAAGTAATACACATTTAATAAACAATATGATTCAGCCAAATAGTTTTCTGCTAAAGTTCAATTTACTTAAAAATCAAATATATTAAAAGATACTAATTTCACTATATTAATAAATATATTAATGTTAATTATCTTTATACAAATTTTATGATATTATATAAAACCATATGTATGATTGTTTTAAATGTCTAATTTACAATCCATTCAAATTCATATATTTTAATAGATTAATTTGAAAATAATAAAGTTGCTTTTATATTTCAACAATCTAAAGAATATATTATGAGTGAGAATCATGCAAAATAAAAATAAATGAGTAAATTATATTTCTTGAGTGAGATATCATTGTCAACATTATTTATTTTTAGTTATCAATATTAATTTATCTCCAAAAATAATATATATATATAAGTTTATAAATATATTAGAAAAAGAAACTGATGCATTTAAAAGTATTCTGAATTACATTTTCAGAAATTAGAAATTTGTAAGTTTTAATCTTACCAATCCAATTTAAATGTACTAAGTAATAGAATATATTTCATTCAGTTTTGAACGTTATAAATAAAAAACTATTCATTTTCAAATTTTATTTCTGAAAAATTTACTGTCATTCTTTGAAATTATATTTAAACGATTAAACTGTAATATAAATTATTATAAAAACTTAAACCCGTTTTTAAAGAAATTACTTTCAATTATATCTACAAACCTTTTCTAAAGTAGAAAATGTATTTCTATAGTTGAACAATTCAAGATCTATCCATAAATTTGCGTAATTATTTATTATAGCGAGGATATAATACAATAAATAAATATTAACTTATGATGCTTGCAATACACGACTAAGCTTCACTGTTTCTCACGAAATAATATTATAACAGATGTAATGAATCGACCTCATTTTTCCACGATGAGAAAGAAAATGTAGGTTTAAAAAACTCGTTTGTTTCTTTTATAAAGTTGCCACTTATACTAGATATTTATATTTTTGTAATGTAGAAAAGTACAGTACTATCAGTATATTCAATATTGTGAAACATATTTTCTGTTTTAAAAAGAATTCTGTATAATAGTAATTAAAAGAACAGTTCATAAAGTAGTTTTATGTTTTATACTAATTGTACGAATTGAATTTCAAATAATCATCAAAACGTATCTATTATTTATTTTCCTATGTTCTTGAACACTATCATTTAATTGAATTATATAAACATATAATAATTTATATTGATTAATATAACTATAAATTATATTTCAATATTTAGTATATTGTTATCTATAAGTACTGAAATATTCTTTAAAGTATTATTTTATTAATAATAATATTCATAATAAAATAACTAACATTAAAAATAAAAATTTACCACTATTATTTAAATTTTATTCTTTTCATACATATATATATATATATATATATATATATATATACATACGTGTGTGTGTGTGTGTGTGCGTGCATGCGCGCGCGTGTGTGTATATAATGTTATAATAATAAAAATATTAAGAACTCCAAAAAGCTAAATTATTTGTTTATTCGTAATAAATCAAAGCGCATACTTAAAACATAGTCTAAATAAGATTTTAATCATTTCTAAATATACTAAGGTATATACAAAATCGAATGTATACATACATTACATTAGAGATCTACTGTCTGATAATTATGAAATATTGCATATTAACAATCTTTTTGTTAATTACTTAAAATTAATTTTTAAATAATTTATTTTCATAATCTGATTTTGTTTTACTTTAATTTTATTTTACTTATATAAATAAACATAAAATAATTATGCATACTAATATAAATATATAAGGAATTTATACTTTTTTGATAGTAAATAAAAAGTCAGTTAATAATTGTCATTTTGTGTTGTTTAGTACGAATATATGTAAGGATATTGTACAAAGTAAATTTGAGTCAGTACGCATCTTACAACGCTGTAACCAAAATATACGGTATTACAGAAATAGTCATGTAATCTAATCCAATTAGATTTTCATATCTCTAATATACTGGTATTATCGATGATCAATCATTCATAAATTTTTAGTAGCAAATTTAATAGGAGAGAACTTGCTTAAATATTACTAACGTATTATGTAGTTAATATCTTTATATCCATGTCTTTATTTTTTATGAAGGTACAGTTATTTACAAAAATAAACAATAAAAAAACAAGAAATATGTATATAAATAAGTATGTATTAATATTAATATTAATTGTCTGAGGAAAAGTCTTTTATCACAAAAAAATAAAATAATATATTTTGTTTTAAAGTAAAAGGTAAAAAGATATATATACTTTTTTAATTCAATCTATATTATTATATGTATTAAATACTATATTATTATACTAATCTATCTATATTCAGTTAAAAAATTGAATATTTACAACATTTGTTTAGATTATATGTAAACAACTTTTTAAAATTTAAAATTATTAAAAACTTTTTAATATTTAATATAAAATTAAATTAAGGTTTGAAAAATAATATCTTTATATTTTTTTTAACCATTACAAATCTTATCTTTGTAAAATAAATCTATTTTCTTTGTTCCTCCTTTCTAGTTTATTTTTTCTTTATTAATAATTTTACGGCATTACAATCATGGATGGTTTTTTTTTATTAATAAATGATTTACATAAAAAATTCCTCTTTTTTTTATTTGTATTCAAATTTTAGTATCAATGAATAATTTTTTTTCTCTTACTATAAAAGTTTCTTGGTAATGTTTATATATTTCTGTATATGCTTTTTAATATAAGAATAATCAAATGGTAAACAATTTTTATCTATATGTTTTATGCAATTTAAAAAGTAAACAAATGACTATTGATTGAAGAAATTGTACTTGTCTCGGCATTAATATGATATATAATGAATACTTACCAATTTAGATGATGATTAATCAGATATATTATATTCTGTATATATATAATAAACAAAAATAATTTATTTATAATGAGTTATTTTACTTTATTTTTAATTTTCTTTTATTATTTAAGGTTTCACAATATATATTAAATAGCATTCTTTACTCTATCAATTATCTTATTAACACTAACGTTCTACTTTTAATCTTTTAATTTAATATTGACAATCAATTTTTGAATATCAATGCGTGTATATTTTTTCTTATAAAATTTAAAATATAGAATTGAAAATAGTTTGAAAATATTTGGAATATTTATTTAAAAAAGTTAAAAAAAATTGATTTAAAAAGAATGCATATATAATTAAAGAGGTACTGAATCTCGAGAAGTTTAAATATTTTCAATCAAAACAGTGTGATTTAAAATAAAGAATTATTTTTATAATTTTGTATAATGAAACCGATTTTTAAGAAGCGTTTACTCATATCAAATTTTTTATAAGTTTAAAATTATTATTGTTTAAGAATGAACATAGCTTATTCTCTCATTAAAATTATTGTCTTATATTTAATTAATGTTTGATAAATTATATATATGTCTTATCTTAAAATTATTAGAATATTGGGATTTGTAATATTATTCATGTCGTTTGATAAAACTTAGAATACACATAATCTAATGAACAAATCAATTTGTTTATTCAAAAATTGTTTTTTTTTTGTTTACGTTTAATTTTTACATATATTTAATTTAAGTAATTTAATAATTTAAGACTTTTAAGTAGAATATTTAAAATTATATGTAAAAATATTAAATATTCTTAGTTAATAGTGTGCATATCAAATTTATTTAGTTATCAAAATTATATATAAAATAATATTCTATATTTATACATAATTAAATACATAAAAATTGTCAATATTTATATTATTTAAATACGAGATATGTCAAAACAAAAATATAGAAATAATCCATATTGACTAAAGGGCTCTAGTTTTGATGAAATAAAAATAACACATTATTTTGGTTTATAAATTATTACAATAATAAAATTATTAATTGTATGATTAATGTAGAACATTATTAAAATAAAAAATAAATAGTATATATTTAATTTTATCATATAATAATAAATAGATACAAATATTTGTACATTTTTTTATTAAAGTAATTCGAAAGATTCTTTCTATTCTAATTTCAATTTTCAATACATTTAATTCTGATTATTTGCATTCATTGATGATTGCTTTTTTTAAAGGTTCATATTTTATTTTTGCAATTTTGCTTTTTATTTTCATTATTTCAATATTCTTTGCATGAACATTAAGACATTTATACTAATTGTTTGGTACACGCATTTAATTGTTAGTATGCGTCTTAATGCATATTTTTAAAGTCGTTTGAAATATAAAACAATAAATTTATAGCATATATGATTATTTTTTGTAAATAATCGATAAAAATGGTCTTTAAAACATTAACAATATTAATTATTCTGATTTTAATAACTATTGATGTTCTATCTCCTTTAATAATGATTCATTAAATAATTTTTAGTCAATATGTTACAAATCTTTTTGGATGAATTCAAAATTTCTTGTTTTCCCTATTTATAGTTTATGATTTATTATATAGAAAAAATTCTGCTTTTGTTTGCTCAAATATACAAATTATAAAATTGAAATAAATGTTTTTATATAAATAAAATATACGGAATAAATATAAAATTTCAGTGGAATAATACTAAAATTGTCCAGAATATAGTTATTCTTTGATAATATATTATTTGCTATATTATATACTTAAAGAAAACATACTTTAAAACTTCTATTAATTTTTTTTAATTTCTTTTAATTCTTATATTAACAGAAATCAGATGCTGCTGATCTTTGACTAGTTGAATACTAGTTAAATATTAATTAATCGATAATTCAGATATTCTAAGTTCATACGCATACAGTTAAAAATGCGTAGATAAATAGTTTGGTATAAAATGACTTAAGATCTATCTATAAATAATAAATAAACACTTTTTTTTTATCTAAACCATTTACTTGCAGATGTTAAAATATCTTGACAAGGAAATTTCTACATATCTTAATATGTTATGTAAATAGATTTAATTCACATATTATCATATACAGTCTATCAATTTTTGTTTGGATATATAAATTAATGACATCTACAAATCAAACTTTCAGAAAATCTTTTTAATTTAATTATAGATTAAATTTTATGTAAAATACAAATTTTCTGCACAAAATTTATAACCAAAAATGTTATAAATATTATATAGTATCAGTCTATAGTTTAAATATACATTACAGATATATATGATTCAAGATACAATCATAAAAATAAAGTAAAATGAAAAAAATATATAAATAATTTGAAAAGACAAAATCAAATTTAAATAACAAAATTTTTTAAAGAAATCATCTCTATTTTAATTTATACAATACTGTATAATTAATAGAAAGTAAGATATATTTCTTTGTTAGAATATACATAAGCATAAATTTAGAAAATATTTAACATAGTTTCCAATTTTTGAATAATCAAACTGTCGATAAACTATAACTACATCCATATATGTATAGTGCCTATAGATTTAGTATACACAAATGTAGACAGTTTTTAAATTAACAATTTATGTTTTAATATCTAAAATGAATGCGCGTACACATGCAGATAAAATATACGATACTATTTCTTATTTCAGTCATTGCGAGGAAACGGTGGTTCATTTCGATACTTATCAGATAATACTGATTACTTCATTTATCATATTTATTTTGCATCTAATATATGAGTTTGTGCGCAGCAAAAAATCATCGAATATTTCATTTCGAATAGGATAATGTTAGTATTTATTACGTATAGAAGTACAAAGATCTTAAATATTAATTACATTAATCAAATATATATAGAAAATGTTACCTACTATTTTTTTATCTTACGCATCAATATGTTATCTTGATAATTTGATTGTCATAAAAGTCTGTAATAAAATACTACAGACCTTTGACAAAAAACACATTTTTTAAGTTTTTTTTTTAAATATATTTTTTAATTTATATTTTGAAATGGCTTGAAATAATTTAACAAAACTATAACTGATAAATTTCGAATTTGAACCATTTTCTCTTTTCAATTTTATTTATTTTTCAATTTTAACCTGTATTTTAAGCATTACGAATGTAATTTTTTTTCTTCAATATATTATCAAATATCACGTTCTGATGTCCTATATAAATTTTTTTAGAAGTGGAACAAAAAGCTTTTATATAACTGTTGAAATATACCTTCATAAAGATAATACCAATAATTGGGATTTTGGACTAGACATAATGGGGTAGGAGGTATTGAAGCCTCAATGAGTTTGATCAGGATTTTATACTATTTATTTCATCTAGTCGTCTGTCAGTACCTACTGTTAATAAATTTTGAAATTCCATTTCAAGAATTTGTCTTGCCTGAAATAAGTATGTTTTATTCAATTATTTAAATACTATATTACGTAATAAATTATATAACTAATATATAAAATTATACAAGTTATAATGTTTAATTAATTAAATATTATTAATTTACTTGAATATTTTGAGTAGGTATTTGCAAATGCAATGCAAAATTATTAGCATCAAAACTTTCATCTAGAGCAATAAGTGCACCATGAACTCCTGATTCAAGAAGACTATTTGCATATTCCTATAAATAAAAAATATTATTACAAAATTTTTTAACATTTTAATAATTTCTTTTAAGAATAATGATTCTTCAATACTTTTAATCCAATTGATTGTATCCATCTAATACAACGTTCATTACTCCATACAAGAACATCAACATTTGTGCTATCAGCTATACGTCTTCTGTCTTCTAATTGTTGTCTATCATAATTTAATCTTTTTAAACAGGAAATACCAAATTGCAAACTTGTTCTAAAAATAAAAGAAAATTTATCAAATAAGTACGATTTTATATAATTGATGTTCACACATATAAAAAACAATGATTTATAAAGCACATAAACATCATCATCAATTTATACAATCATATTAATATTTAATTTTTTATTTTATTTTGTTGCAAGACAATTCCTTTTATTAATCAAAATTTGTTTTATAATAGTAAATTAAATTGTTAATTGACAATATACATGAATAACAGTATTAAAAGGTAAATATTTTCATTCCTATTTGTTAATACTAAAAATGTAAAAACATGAATTATTTATAATCAAAGTAAATAATAGTAATAATAAATAAAAGTATTTATTTATTTATGTATCTATTTGTTCATATAAAAATATAATATGAATTACCTGTGAAAATTATCCACCATTCGTAACTGTCCTCGAAGGTCTTTTTTTGTTAAATGATCTAACATTCTTGCATCTACAAGGCACTCCATAAACGTAGACCGGTATTGTGGTAAACCTAAACTCAGCAACCAAATATTGCCTATCCATTCGTGATTCATATCGCCGAACGCTAAAGTTGTTCTTGACGTCTTCGGAGCAGACGGACTCGTAAGAGAAACCATCTCTTGAATTGCAAGTCGTAATTTTAATCGATGCAATGGATTGCTAAAAATTATGCAGTCACTTATTTTGAAATAATATGAGAAAATAAATGCTATCATCAAAAAATTATTTTTATATCACATGTAACAGTTTATATCAAAACAAATATTATAATAGATTTTTTATACAAAATTTAATTTTTTAATAAAAATCTGCTTTATAATCAGGTACTGTTTAAAAAGAATTATAATTTTATCTTAATAGTTCATGGGTCTTTTATAGTGAATTCATTCAACAATGAGAAATACCATTATATATTGAAAAAATAATTAAAGTATTAATTAAGTAGTTAAATTTTACAGAATACTGAATTAATATTATATTTTAAAATAATTTTTCAAATACTATTCAAATTATATAGATGCAACTGCACTCATAGTTTTCATTATGTAAATTATATAAAAAAATTATTTTATTTTGATAAAACTTTACTTTACATAAAATTTATTAAATTTATAACATTACCGATGACAATGACGACGACAATATATGAAAATTTCATAAATATATTATTTTGTATATAATGATTTATAGAACTTTTTTTTTTATTTTATAACAAAGCTATACACATATATAAAAAATTATATATCTTTTACATGTTGTATTTATTTGAAAATTTTAACTAAGCTTATAAAAGTCAATTTTTTTATACAAAATAATGTTCGACAAAACACTATTACGGATATTATTTCAAAGTATTTTACAAACTAACTTTTGGAATTAAAATTCAGAAGAAGAAGAAGAAAAGGCATAAACAAAGGAGTCATTTAATATATAGATAAATTTTCTTTACCTAATACCAATTTCGCGTTGAATTTCTGTGTCGCTTAGTGCGCTCATAATAGCACCACTTTTAACATTGGCCCGACAAGCAGCTACATACCAAGCAGGCATACCTACCCACAATTCTAACCAAGCAACTATCGTCGGACCATTCCACAAAGCGAATGGTGTACCAGCTTTCATTGCCTCCGTTAATAGTTCGTGCCTCGACGTATCCAGCATACTTGATACATAAATTGAAAATATGAGGGATAGTATAAATTAATATATTATTTATATATATTTCTTGAATGAATATTCATTTTAATATTTACGAAAGACACTCAATTTAAAAACAATATTTAAATAAATTATTTGATTGTTATGTTATTTAAGATATTGTAGAACTATATAATCTATTTAATTAATTGTATTTCATTTTACGTCTGTTAAAAATTTATAATACTAGTAGTCATAACTTAAACAGCAAAGTGTATTTTTTAATGAAGGTGTAAAATATCGGAACCAAGTTACATTTTTAAAATTTAAACATTTATTTTTTTCTAAAAGAATCTAATTTTTACTATTTAATTCAAATAGTACTTAAATATTTAACAAATTCTATTTTTGATTTTTTAAATATGACTAATAAATTTTGTGTTACATGTGAAATTTCAGAAAAATAAACTTATTGTGAAACTATACATAGTTTACTTAAAAGTTAAAAAACTAATTAGTCATAAAGACGCGCGCGTGTGTAGAACAATCTACCTTTTCTTTTTTCTACGATCAAAATCGTTTTTATTACAGAATGTACCAGCTACTGAACCAGTTGCGATCTCGCCATAGTCAGAATCAGAAATACTGATACTTGCCAATCCAGAAATATCGCCAGACATAGTAACATCCTTGCCTTTATTAACCTACAAAATAACATAAATAATGTTCTTAAACAAATACTTTGATGATCATCTATATGATTGCTTGAGTTAATAGAATTCATTTTTAAATTCAAGCAATGGTTTGAATTAGTCAAAACAGATGATGCATATCTCCAAATGTAACTTATTTTTTCACTCAATATATTATAAAACAATTCTATATTATAAAAGAATTAATTTGAAAATACTATAATTTATTTGATATTCTCTGAAACAAATTTTATATATATACAAAAATTATACAATTTTTGAATAAAATATTTTATTACTTAAAATGCAAGATTATTTACTTGTACATGCGAAGAGATATTTTAATATTAATATTAATTTAACACTTGTAATATCTTAAATTAATTTGTTTAATATTTGAAATATACTTTATTAACTAATTTGTTTATAATGTGTATAATAATATTACTTTTTTAATTGATTCTGCAATAATACTATAATAATGTAAAACTTCTAAATAACAAAACATAATATAATATAATAAATAATTATGTAACATGCAATAGTAACTATTGCATTCATAATTCTATTTTTTTATTTTATGTATAGAAACTGAGAAAAATTATATATTTTAGAAATTTTTTTAAACTACAATTGTTTGCTATTTAAGGAATATAGTTTATCTAATTTTATATTTTATTCGTTATATAATATTACATATATTGTACAATATAATATTTTATTGAAATGTCACATAATCAAATATCAAATATAAAGCAATAATATTATATTACATTAGTATATTTTATTAAAATTAATTACACATATTTCATTTTAAGTCTTAAAGAAAAATGATGTAATACTCACTTTTTCTTTTTTACTGAAGAACCTGCCAAGGCTACTTTTGATACCCTTCTTTTTTTGTGCAGCAGCAACCGCAGCCGAATTCATAGCCGCCTGCATGTGAAAATGATGTGATCCAGCATATTGAGTAATCGGTAGACCGCAGGCGAGGTTGTTTTTATGCAAGCTGTCCTGACTGCTGTGTCGCGAAGATAATGGGGACGGAGTCCCAGAATTGAGTGCTCCGTTGTTATGTTGCCCATGCCTGCATTGCATGGTATGCTAATCTAATCCACTAGTTTCTACTTCTAGGTTTACAATTCAGGCATAAGGTAGAGCTAATACTACCTTCAGACTATTTTGCCCTCCATTGTATATGGTATTTTACAAGCACATTAATTATTTAATTATTGTCTGATTAAAATTTTTGTGAATTGTTGAATTTTTTGTTTTAATTCAATAATTTTATATTGTTTAAAATTAAAACACAATTAATATAATTCAACATAATTATAATTTAGAACACTATTTAGATCCATTATATAATTTTATATAGTGAATAAATTAGCCATAAAATTAAGTGACTTCATTATTTATATTTTTAAATAGGTTTTATTAATTAAATAATTTTTATGCTTTATCAATTAGAAAAATAAAAAAAAAATGTTAACTCAAGAAAGTGGTTCAGAAATCGCTAAGTAGTAGGAATTGAATTAAGAATCATGGAAATGGCAAACATATTATCATTGTCTAATCATTAATAATAAATAGGGATTATACTATTTTATCACAATCAGAAAAATGAAAATATAATAAATTAAAAAAAATTAATTTACAAATTATTATTTATATAAATTATAAAATTTATAAAATCATAATAATTGGTATTATTGCTTTCATACAAATTTTTTTTATGAACGTTATGAAGAACTTGATACTAATTAATAATACTTAATTTAATAATAAATGATAATAATTAATTACTCTAGAATGTTTATAAATACATATATATTTCTTTATCGAATAATAAATTATAGTATAATTTATGATTACAATATACTTTTCAGAATATACAAAAGATGTAAAAATACAATATTTCTTCATAGTTTTACTATTATTTATAAATAAAATTTATACTTTATTAATAAAAGTTCATAAAATAACAAAAAATTTATTTATTTCAAAATAAATTGGAATAAAATTTTCAAATATAAAAATTGATGGTTAAAAAAATTCTTAAAATTTATTAATCGTACAAAATTATTTATTACTTCTTAATAAATTTGTTAACAATAATAATTAGTAATGGTTATTATTATTACTTTTTTAATAAAATGTTAAATGTTTTTCAAAATTAACAAATTATCAAAATATTTACGATAATTAAATTAAAAATATTTTATCACTTTAAAATTTCTTATAATAAAACTTTTGGTGAAATTGAAGCAATGAAAATAACGTTATATATATAAATACATAACATTGTATAAGCAAAGAAAATTAAAAATAATTATATAATGAAAAAAAAAAAATAATAAATTTTTAGATTTTATTTATCAATTTTCTTCTATGGATAATCTTAAAAATAAATCTTTAAGCATTACCAAATTAAAAATTATCATTGATTTAGAAATGTAAAAATCAATAAATTTAATTTTTGTGTTAAAGCTGATTATATCAAATTACTTTTTCATAAGATTGGTTTGACTATTTAATTTTGATTGTTGACCCCAATTATAAAATTTAATATATCAAATATAAAATAGGAAAAATGAAATTTTAGTGTAAATGAATACATTATATTTTCAAATCTGAAAATAAATGATCTTATACACATTGTTTATATGCATTATTACTTTATACATATAATTTGTGCTCAAAATATTAAATGTAAAAAATATCAAAATTTACTAAATTATTAAAAATCTAAACAATCATTGTAATGAATAATAAAATAATGAAAAATAATGAAGAATCAATATTTGTTAGAAAATACAGCTTGCAACTTACATAAGTTATTTAATAATCGGATTTTCTTAAAAGTATTTGATTAAATCTTTTATAATATCCATTTCATGATATAAATTTCTTAAATTTTATAATCAAAGAAGCATTCCAACTAAAAGAAATAAAATTTCATAAATAAAAATCCATTATTTACCAAATATTAAATGAACCAAAATTTAAATAAATTATAGTTACAATTATCAATAGTCTTTAAAATCTAAATATATTTCATTTTATTTACATTTAGATATATAAATCGAAATCTAAGACAGTCTATACATTAATTAAAAATAAAAATAAAAAATAGATATTGAAAAATAGACTATAGATATTGTCGGTTTGATAAGATATTTTGAAAAACTCATTTTTATTTTATTGAATTAGTATTCACTATTCAAGATAATCCTATTAAAATAACTGTGGTTAATATTTTCTATTTGTGTAACAGAAACTTTAATTAGTATTTCATTATAAATATTTTTTATATACTTGTAGTATTTAATTGAATCATAAAAAACCTATCTACATTTTTTACAAAGGTAGCAATATTATTTAAATTTAAGTAAATTCGATCACTATATATTATTTCTATATTATCTTATGCTTTGATTTAACTTTAGCTGATTATTTTATATACTTTATAACTAGAAATATAATTAACTTGGATAATTATTTAGTTCGAAACTCAAACTGTAATGCATGAAACTTGTAAATAAATACTACCTTATCCTTACAAAAATCTATATATAAATTATAAGAACAATAAAATAATTTAAAAAATTGTAAAATAAAAAATTGTAATAAATTCCAAAAATAAAAATAAATATTAAAAACTGAAGTTTTATCAATGTAATTTTGGTAATTCATTAACTATACCTTAAACGTAACAATATTTAAAATTAGAAAATTTGTTTTACTTTGTAATAATAAATAATTAATACATAATTATAACAAGCTGTAATTATTTTGTCTGGAAGAAATTTGTATTTTTTTTGTATAAGTTTATTTTCGTAACAATAAAGTTTCGATGATTATAACCACAATTAATTGTATAAAATTTTATTTTTGATAATGTTAGAAATTGATAAATATTTTTTTTTCTAACCATTAGTTAGATACATTTGATTTTGGCTTAAAAAACTTCCATAATTATAGAATTAGAGTAATAATGTTAAAACGTTGCAAATAAAATTATTTAATTGTGATAAAACTTAGTTATGAAAGTAAAATCTCAAACAGTATTCAAATGAAATAATCGGATATATTAGAATTGCAAGTAATATGCAAGTAAGACTTATGTATTATCTACAACTTTAATATTGGAAAATAATAAATAATTATACAACCTACATCTATATTAAATATTTGTATAATGAATCTTGTATTAATATGAAAATTTTTTTATAATTATACATTTAGTAGAATATAGAATATTTAGAAATAACAAACCATAAGATAATCCTTTTTATTTTATATTTGATAAAATAATAGAAAATAGGAATGGAGAATTTTAATTTTATTATGATGATATAATGTATACTTATAACATGCATCTACTTATAGATAGTATTCTTTTACATTATATAATCATATGCTTGAACACCTGTTTATATGATTCCCACCTGTATATAAATATGTATATCCTTTTTCTTATAACTGTTATAATTTTTATAACTCCATAGGTGCTTCTAACAAAATATCATTAACTCCCCTAAAATTTCATGAGCTATAGATCATCAATATAGATTCCGATTTTTTTTTAATTTATAGATGTATAAAAATTATAAATTTTATTTTAATTATTTATATCAAAGTTCTTTTCTATTTCTGTTGTTTAATTTAAAAATAAACAATAATCACAACATCAAAAGAACATTTTTGTTAAGATTTTTTCATATTTAATTGCAATGGTGAAATTTATAATTTAATTACAAGCTCAAATTTATTTAAGAATTTATTATTTATACACGTATGTAAGAATAACAATGTTTGCTAGTTTTACTATCATTTAGATGTTCATATTTTTTAATTTTATTTTAAATTTAATAACTTTATAATGTCATAGAGATAAACTCTTTTATTTCAATTTTTATATTAGTATTTATAATGATCTTAATTTTATTATTTTTTATTAATTGTATATTTTTGAAGAAATTAAAAATGGATTTTTTTATATTGTGGTTTTATATGGTTTAAATCGGTATATACATACACATATCCCAGGCTCTCCATTTTCTTATTGTAAATGCTGTTTATACCAGTATATAACAAAGAAGAATTAATATAGAGCATGCAATTTTTAAATTCATTAACCTGTTTATAGAATAGCTGCCAGTAGGGAATCCGCTTTGTCCGCTACGTCTGCATGCACATAATATGAAAAAAAAACAAACAAATAAATAAAAATGCAAAAATATTTATTTTGTAAGTACTGAACTTGCCAGTAATAGATAAGAAAACATCCAATCGGCAATTAAATAATTTTACCTGAGTATTTTATATTACTGATTTTAAATTAATATGATTGAAATAGTATTCAAAGTACTTTTTAATTCATATAATTTAATGTTAAACTTTAATTTTTAATCTTAATTAAAGTTTAATCTAAAACGGTGAATATATTTACGATACTCTTCTAATCTAATATTCTTTGATATAAATAAAACAATTTTTGATAATTTTATATATGTCTTTCTTAATATAACAAAAATGTTTAAAAAATTTTTTTCTATTATTTAGATACAAGCATTTTTAAATTAATAAAATACATTTTATATCAATGTTGCATATTTGCACAGAATATCAATTTGAGAAAATATTTGAACAATGTTCTACTACCGTCTAATTTCCTCTTGGCCATTAGCTAGTGCCTGCACAACACGTTCAAGTCCAAGCGACCTAGCCGTAAGTGGTGAAGTCGCCTCGCTACTGCCACTGCCAATACCTCCAGTGTTATCTTTTTCTGATATTGTGTGCAATTCTTCGATCGAGAGCTGCAACTACCATAAGCAGAAAATATTATTCTACAATTGGATCTCTTTCAACTCGAAGGCGGCACGTTATAATTTTAATATTTCTGCATTTCATCAAAATATGTACTTGTAAATTATTGACAATTTAACAACTTTAAAAGAATTAAGCATCTAAGCTACGTTTATTTTTTCTACTTAAATTTGTTATCATTCTTTTACATTTGGTAATTGTATAAAGCATCGTAATGGTCAATATTCAGTTCATATTGAAATATTTTGCCTTAAAAATAATACTCATTATTTATTATTCATTAAAATTAGACTAATTTTTTTTTTTTAATTAAATATATAAAGAAAATTTATATAAGTCATGAGTCATTATTTACTTCTTAGTATTAATTACTTCTTACTAATAATTTTTCATATACTTTTAAAGCTGGTATCTCAAAATGTTATCCATTATCTCAACCATCTGTCGTTTGATTTAGTGAATATTTATTTATTTATTTGATTAATTCTTAAAAATATGCTATGAAAATATAAATTTAATAATATTATGAATAAAAAAGAAGTTCATAGCGCAATTCAATTGCACTTGAATAAACGAATGAAATATTATAATGAAAAAGGTGTTTCTATGAATAATTTTTATAGATTTGACGTTAACGTCAACATGACGTTAAATCGATCTAATAATAAGCCGTAATATTTTTGTGTTATATCGTAAAAAATATAGTAATATAAAATTTACGTCACTAATACTAATAATTGTTATTTCAATAGACAACATATGCTGCTTTCAAAGAGTATTTATAATTAATTCAGATTTTTATTAATTCATTTCTAATATGTAACAATAACTTAAGTTTTACTTAAAATGATACGCTTAAAAATAATTTTTTTAATTTTTACACAAAATGATTTTTAATTAAATATTAGAAAACTGATACCAGCTTTGTTAATAATACTTAATATATTAATAATATTTAATTTATACTACTATGATAGCAAAATTCAATAAATTACTTATTAATCTTTTGTATAATAGAACAGACTTACCATAATAGTTTTTGTTTTGCAACTAATAGATTAATGTTTCATAAACAAGTTACTTCAAATTATTTAAATCAATTCACCCATATATGTTAAATTAACCAAATATTAGGAAAATTGTATCGCTTGAATAACTTCAAAATATTAGAAAACTATTTAAACATACATATTTTTATTAATTTTACACTAAATTTAATTGTATTATTACTCAATGTGCAAATAATAAAGAAAAGCAAAGCATCATAAATATAAGATGTAATCTTTAAAATAATATTAATATAATAAATATAAAATTATTTTTTATAATAATTTAGTTCCAATTTTTTAAATCTTTCCTTTTGAAAAACCAACGAACCTGGCTCACAGGAAGTGACTCGGACAGTTGACCCGGACTAGTCAAAGACGCGGCATATTGGTGAAGATGTGCTGGGGACATTGACGCTGGTGCCTGAAACACCAAGATCAACGTCCGCCAAACCATTCGATCCTTAATTTTCAATAATTTTCGATATACACTTTTAAATATGCTTTCAAATTATGATTGTGAAGATATTCTAGAAAATATACATTGATTTACATAACTCTTTTATTTTTAAAATGTAACTTTTCTTTGTCTAAGAAACTATAAATTAATTTATAATTAATAAGATATAGTCAATTGCAAATAATCTTAAGTTCTTTTTAATTGACACATTTACTAAACATTTACTAGATCAATTAGTTTATTTAAAAATATATTTAGTTCGATGTTGTTATTATTATTATTATTATTATAATTAATAATAATAATATTTAAACAAATTTGATCGTATTATATCTGTAAATTTTATTAATAACGAGTCATTTTAATTAAAATAATTCTATAATTATGCTTTCTACATTTTAAATACAAGATACTTTTCAATATCTATAAATATATCATGTGTATATTATGCATAATACAAATAGTAATAATACATTGTAATCATAATAATAGAATGTATGTAAATCAAGAAATAAGAATTGGAAGAATAATTAAGAAAATATTTAGCTTCAAGTTATTTAAAATTAATTATGTTGATTAATTATAAATATTTATCAATTAAAAATAAAATTAAATAACTTGATAAATACAAATTAAATATATACTATTTCTTAACACTAAACAAGAGATAAAACTAAAAAACATAAATATGAGAAGCTTAACATGAACAATATATATAGTAATCGTTGTAATCATTTGTAATTATCTTGTAACAATAAAGATTTAATCTCAATTGTGGAAATAGATATGATTTATAAAAAAGTTTTGAAAAGCAATTGTTAAGATGAAAAGACTACTTACAGTATGATACTTATGCAAGTAATCTCGATTGGGGCTGTGATGTGATTTTGGGGTAGATCTACCGCTAAGTGGAGGTGAAGTACGCTCGAGACTTCGGCCTCGCGCTAATAAATTCATATGTTCCAAACTACCCACTCGTGATTCCAATTCTTCTGCTCGTGCTTCTGTACTTTGCTTTTCCTCCTAGGACCATACATTAAAAAATATATTAATAAATATATGAAACATGATTGTACTATTAAAGATAAAAAAATTTATTTTTTGTACATGTTAATAATATTTATCAAAATGGTGGTAATAACATTTCACATAATATTTATTTAATTTTAAAAGTTTAAAATATTTTTACTTAGTTTTATTCGTTTTCTTGAAAAAATCATCTTTATTTTACAATGTGTTTGAAGTATTAAAATATTTATGTACATTATAAAGCCTATTTAAAAAAAAATAATTTAATCACATGAAAATGATCACTCGATAGTTTAGTTATTTAAAAATATAATAATAAATAATATATTATAGAAATAAAATAATAAATGTATTAATAAATTTTTTTAATGTAATAAATATGTAAAGACTTGATCCTTTTTCACATAATAACTATTTCATTACAGTATACTTTATTATTAAACCAATACATATATATAAATTTAAAAAAATGTATTTCGAAAAATTCATGCAAATACTATGAAAAATAAATAAAAAAAAAAATTATTGCATGTAATGTATGTAATGTATTGTAATGTATGTATGTGATAATATGTATAATTTTAGGAAATTTTATTCTTTAATTATTCTTTTTAATTAGTAATATTTAAATCTTTGTTTATTATAATTACTTAATTGTAATCAACATAAACTCACTTGTATAAGTCTTATCTCATTATTAATAGCGTCAAGTTGCTCTTGTAGCATAAGTGCAAGGGTTTGGGCATCAGCATGTCCAGATGGACTGATGACATCAGCAGCACAGCTCAAGAGACTTTCTGTATCACCATCACCCTCTGCATCACTTGATACATCGAAGGCTTGTTGAACATTTGCAAGGACATGAGCTTGCTGAAGTTTCTCCCATTCTTGTTCTGCTAAAGTTCGTGCAATATAATTCTATATAAACAAATAAGATAATAATATATATTATTATCATGATATTTAAAAGTATTTATCATTAAAAAATGTTGATATTAAAAATAATAAAGATTTTCTATGTAAATCAGTTCATTTAAAATGTATATAAGTTGATATTTCAAATTTTAATAACATTTAAAGTAACTGAATCACATACAACAATTCAATTTGTTCTATAATTTAGGGTTTTTCTTTAAACTGAAAAAAGATTAATTAATTTTTAATCTGTCAGTATTTCCAATGTCATTTGAATTTAATATTAAAATTTTTATTAATATGAGATGTAAATCTAAATTATCGCAAATATACCATTAAAAAACATTCCATTAAAAAAAAACGAAATAATCAAATATCGGTATTTTATCTAGCAACAATTTCTTCTAATTTTACAAGAATGTGCATATAGATGCACTTCTATTTGTTTAGATAATAAGTAGGTCAAAATGTGATTTAGATAATACATTTAAATATATTTTTATTTAATGAGGGCATTTAACATATTTTCTGAAATTAAGTAGAATATATTTTGATGAGACTTTATGATATTTTATATAATTAATAAATTATTTTCTTCTATATGTTTGTACAAATATATGCCACATTCTTTATGCACTTTATTATATACTTTATTATACTTCAAACATTATTTTATTAGGCTTAATTTTTTAATTTAATCTCTTAAAGAAAAATTAATTATTTATACATACATTCGATTCATCTTCTATTCTTTTTACTGTTCTTCGAGGTAAGGAGTGAGTATCAAAACTACCATTGCTGGCACTACGTGAAAATGATCCTGGATCTACAGCATTAGGTGAAAGACTCCTTGTTAATGCATCTGTTTGCTGTATATTAAAAGCTATTTCTTGTTGAAGCATTTGTCTTTTAATGTTGTCGATCTCAAGGTGTGCTTTATCAAGCTGTTTCATAACTTCTGCTTTTTCATTCTGCAAATCCTCCGCGAGCTTGCGCATTTTTTCTAACTCTTGAGTCAGTGCATTTTTTTCCTCTAAAGCGTGCATCCGTTCTTTTAAATGAACTTGTAGTCGCTCATTTGATTCTACACAAAAAATATAAATTTACTACTTGGCAATTATCTTCAAGATATTAAACGTCAATATTCATTTTATATTATATAACTTTCAATAAAAAAAATAATTCTAATTTTTTTCAAGATTAAATTTTGTATTATATGTAAATTAATGTAAATTAAAACATTTTGTCTTTTTTATTTAAATGAAATTTCATGTCAATCAATGTTTTATATATTTTTAATAGATGTATGTATAATTGCAAATTTATGTATATAAAAATTGTATAAAAATTAATCAATATAATCATATGCAATTTGTTTTCTTTGAATTTTGATTAAAAAAATATAATTATTTTTTAATTTAACTATTAATTTAGTGATGGATTAAGAATGTTAATAATAATATTAAATATTATTCAAGTTTTTATAATAACCAGTTGTAATATAACATAGATAATCAGTTAGATTAATTACAGAGAGATCTAATAATAAAAATTTGATTTAAGCATATTTATTTGTAAACGTATTTTTTTTTAATTATTAGAGTAAATATTTTGTATAGTTTATTTATATGGCAATCTTTAAATCAAGAAATAAAATGAAAACGTTACATAAAATTGTAATTGTATAAGCATAATAATTAAATTAAATATAAATTGTTTGTAGTACATTGAAATTTCGTTTTAAATTGAATTTGATTTTATAACTTATTATATAATTCTATTATTAATTTTTACATGGTTTCAAAATATTTGTTAAACTAGTTCTATTATAATATAAATTATAAAATAGTGTATAATTTATCCAGAAATAAAAAATGTTTGCCTGAAAGAAGTTTATCTACGGTGGAGCTGAGCCTAGTATTATGTTCTTCGTTCATCTTTAGTCTTTGATTTAATCTCATTACTTCAGCGGCTTTTTCGTCCAGTTGAGTTTCTAACCTTTGAATTCTGTCTTCAGCACTTCCGTGTCTTTCTTGAGCCTGCTCAGTTAAAACAGGTATAAAAATTTCATTAAAAATCAGTATCAAAATTCAGTCACTCACTCATTCATTCACTCAAAATTACAAAACAAAATATCTGAAGCAGAATAATTTTGTAAATACTTTTATTGGTAAATAAAATTTATTAGATAAAATAATATTAAACTTATTTCTTTTATAATTAGATTAACCAAAATTTTAAGTTAAAAAAAAAGTTAAAAATCAGACATAAACTATGCATTTAATTATTTAAACTATAAGAATTAAAATATTTCAAAATGCAATAATACACGAAATAATAGACTAAATTTTTTTATGTAAATTATTAACCTAACAAATATGTAAGTCAATTCTTGCATATTCCAAATTATAAATAATATGTACTTTTATTATAGTATACAAAGTGTTAATATATAGATATTATTTAAAATAAATGAAAATAATAATACAATTAAAAGGAATACTTAAATCATTAATACATTCCTACAAATTTAATAATTAAAAGAGCACAGCAACGGAATTTTTTTTTATAATGCATTAGTAAAATATATGTTGTTTGATTAAATGTAATGGAGATTATTAGATAAGGATTAGATATCAACTATGTATTTAGGCTGGAATACTGTTCAGTGAGGATCGATGTACATGACTGTTACATATCTACATATATAAATCAATAACTGTCATAGATAATATAATAATAGTCATAAACATAAAGCTGTTGGAATTTTTACAAAGCACACATTGATTAATATTTAATATTAATAACGGTACAGAGTAGAAATTAAATAAAGATTAAAAACTAAAATTTATAAAAAAACAGAAATTGACTGAATATTAATTATAACAGTTAAGCAATAGCTTCTACTGTGAATTTCATTTCGTATGTAAAACGAAAATATTTTAAAATAAAAAATAATTAAATACATAAAAGCTAAATAAACCAAAAAAAAACTAAGATTGATTAGTAATATTCAAAATGAATATTAATAACATTAAACAGTAATAAAATTATATTATTAAATGATATTTCAAATCTGATAAGTGACAGCTAATATTTTAATCTAATCATTTTTTTGCTGTTAGCCATTTTTAAAAATCCCTACTTTAAATGTAGTGTTTAATGACAAATCTTATATAATTTAAAGTATACTCATAATCTGGCGGTAGACTGGAGTCACGTAAAGATAATATTCATGTACTAATAAACAAGCAGTTGCTAAGAATAATATCACATTTATCTATTATACAAATAAGTTATAATAATTATTTATTTTAATAAATTATTTATATTACAAACTCAGCTTGTTATCATAAAAAACAAAACTAAGACTTATTAAATTGAAGATTACATAAATATTTAATACTTTTTTCTATATCATAGTAAAAATGCACCACTATTAAGTTTGATAAATAAGTTAGGGTTGGGGTAAATATACATTTTTTTCGTAGCATACCTATCTCTGGTATTTGTATTTTTTCGTTCTTTGTCTTACTTTATTTTCATCAATTATTTTTCTATTTTACCATCGTTCTCTGATTTTTTTTATTAATTTATGACTACCTTTTATTGTCCTTCATTTACCCTCATTATATTTTTTATCTCTTCGTATTTTCACTTTTTACTTGTACTTTTCTCTAATGAATTACCCTATCATCATCCACAAAGTAGATTATTGTTATTACATACTGCATTATATTCATCTCAATCAGTATTTTACGTTTTTAAATATTTTATTTCATATAATTAGTTCCGAAAAAAATATTAATTTTCATTGTAAATTATAATTAAACATTTTCTTATCAATTTTTACCTCATTCTTGTTTATCGCTATCGTTAAAACAAGCATATTTAATGTAATTTCAAATATGAAATAGTTAAATACTGAACTTTTTAATTTTTGACGACCAAAAATTCTAACACAGCAAATTTATAAATGAAATACTATAATCTAATAATAATCTACGTAATTTCTTACAACATTTTAATTTTATTAAATAGTATTGAACTTAACGTATTTCTGTAATACTCGAACTGCTTTCAGATAAATAATATATAATGGTGTAAAAACAATATCTACATGTTTTTTCAATCTATAATGTCTGCATCGTAACATTCTTGAAGCAAAGGGAATAAAAGTAATTATGTAATTATATGGATTAAAAGTAATAAAAGTTGGCAACTATTTTAATAATTTATAAATAATTTAATTATTCAATCGAAAATATTTTTCTAAATAACAGAATTTTATGATTTCTATTAGAATTGTATTTTTGAATTCTTATCCATATTAATTCTTTCAATAATCATATAGTTTATTGAAATGTAAATTCTTTTTGTTTTAATAATATACTTATAAAATGATATTTAAAAATCTGTAGAATAATAAAATATAAATATATATAAATAAGGATATATATAAAAAATATAATATAAAGAATTTTAATTATGTCTGTCGATAATTTTCCTTATCCACTAAACTTTCCTACTTATATACCCGATTCCTACATTTTCGTCTGATTATTTTTATCTTTGAATGAAATTTAATGCATATTTTTAAATATCAATAAGATATTTGAATACATATAAAAAATCTTAAACTGTATTACATTGAAAAATCCAATATCAATCATTTAAAAATAAGCAGAATAGATTATAAATATTTTTATGATGATATTTCCATTTGTTCTACATTTTTTAACACAACTATTGTCATAATTAAGTTGTTAAGTAAATATAATATAAGAATTTTCAAAGATTAGTCGGCAATGTCAAATAATTGCAATTTTTTCAAAAGAAATAATTTAAACATAAAAATAGATCTATGAACATAAGACAAATTTATATGAATATAATGTGACACATAGTATCTAAATTCAGTGTTTGGAATAAGATTATTTGAACTTATAAAATTTAGTATATTATATACACGTAATTGGTTTACAGTGAATTGCATTAAGTAAATGCTTTAAATGCATGAATCAGAATAATTCTATTATCACAATGATTTAGATGTTTGGTGATTATTGTTATAAAGTAAAGAATTCTATAACATATAATGCTCATTTATCGTAATGTATATATATAACAAAAATCATAAGTTTGTTTTCGAGTAAATTTGAGATTTGATGATTCGCTAAGATAATTTTTTATTTGTATAAACGCGAGTAGATAAAATAGTATAAACATTCTCTCAAATTTTGAGTCTAGGGTGAACAGAAAAAATAAATGAAAAAAAATCTTCATTAAATATCGATTCAGTTTAAAGAAAAACTAGATTTTATAAGTATAAGTCTTAATGAAAGGTTGTAATAAATAAATTATTTATTTTTATTCTTCTATTGTACGTTTATTTATATTTTTTTTTCTAATTCTATATCACTTCAACTTAAAAAAATTAAATAAACCTATTAAATATATTTAATATTTATAACTTGATACACTTTATTAATCGATAAATATATCGAGATTATTATAGCATTTTATTACACAAACTGTATTATATATCTTCATTTAAGTATTGTAAAAGAGATAAAAAAATAAAATAAATCATTTAATTACTTGATTTTTAGATTAATGATATAACTATTAATTGAAAATTAATTCGTATTTGAAATAAAAATTTTAAAAAATTGAATTGTTATATAAGTTTGAAGTTCACTTAATTTTGTTCTGTAGGAAGATCTTTAACACCGCCGGCATTCAGTACCATCATTGTTTGAATGATCAAATATAACCTACGTACTATTTAAATGGATTATAAAATTGTTTTTACTCTGATTTGGATAAGCAAAGTAAATTTTTTTTAATTTAATTTATATATATTTCATATACATGTAATGGCGCACTTTCATTTATATATATTTATTCGAAAAAAATCAAATGTATGTCAAAATGTATGTTTTTTCAATAACTATTTGACAAAATTATGATAAATCTTTCTTGGTATGTTTTGATCAAATAATAATAGTTATAATTTAATTTTTTAATATGATTCAGCCAAATACATAAAATTAGATTTATTTCGAAAGCAAATACGTGCATACTTGTACGTTTAAAAACAAATTAATTTATTTGAAAAATATTTTTAGCTTATACACTTGAAAAAATGAATATTTATAATAAATATTTAAAAAAATCAATTTATTATTTCCCTTTATATATCCTTATTTCAATTTTGTAACTTATTATACAAAGAATGTTAATTCCATATCGCAGTATATTATATTTTCATTATGTAAATTACGTTTCAAATATCAAACAATGAAATTTTCAGTAAAGAGTCTTTACTTACAAATAAAAAATTAAATAAAAAAAAAGAGAAAAAAGAGAAGGTCAATGTCTTATATAGGAAAATTCTTGCTTGATGTGATGACAGAATTCCCTGCGTACCTGATTTGGTCTCCTCACCTGCGTCAGAGCCTCCATCCTCTGCTTAAGTTGTTCTTCAATTTCTGGTAACTTCGAAAATTGTGCTAATTCTTGTTCAGCATGCTCTAGCTTCGTTTGTAACGCTTCTATTTTTTCCTCTTGCAACTATTATATAGTACATTCAACAAATATTTAAATATTTAAATTTTAATAAAATATTTAAAACATATTTGTATTAAATAATTTAGAAAAAACATTTTATGGATAAGAATAAATATAGTTAAAGTATATCTTCCACATTTCATGCTATAAATAAGTAATATGATTTATATAACTTTTAAATGTTTAAAGATAATTTTTTTAATACTTAAATATTTAAGTTTAATTTATTCATTTTTAATTGAAAGAATAAAATTTGTAAATAAAGTAATGGAAGTTAAATATTAAATGAAATTTAAAAATTAGTAGTATTAATAAAATTAAATTACTAAAACTCAGCGATTTCAATGACAATAGTGTGTTACAACATTTATAACAGATTTTAAAAAATCCGTTAAATTTCCTTACACGTAAAAGGAAAGAACAAAAATAAATAGACTACCTAAAACTCAAGTTTCAATTTCATATCAGAGGGTAATTCAATTCCTTTCACCGAAATACATTTCATATTACTATAAATTAGATCCTAAAATCTGATTGAATATCTGATATAGCTTTTAGTTATATATGTAACCCTTCTTTCATTAATTACATTTCAGTATTTATAACGTAATAGATTACGTGATAGAATGATAGGTACTATAAAACAATCGTTACATAACAATATTATACATATTTGGAATGTGTATAAACAATATTTTCAAACATTTTTTCATCAAATGGCAATTTTTAGTTCTATATTACAATAGCTATTCAATTATGTAAAAAAAAAAACTCTAAAATTATTTAGTAAAACAATTTATAAAAATTTTTAGAAAAATTGTTTACATGAAATAGATTTAATCACTTAAAAATTTTTAATCAAATAGAAAATATTTTTTAATTGATCATTTAAATTTCTATTTATTTAAGTATTAGTTTCATAATTATTTCCGACTGACTTAAATTTTTTGATAAAAAGCTCTATTACAAATTTAAACAATAAATTTCTCCGCCATCACCTACGTATACGTAATTATAAAAATTAATATATTTTATTGTTATATTTTTAAACGATCATATTAGATGCATATTAATCTAATATATATATATATATATATATATATATATACTTTTTAATGTATATTATTTTATAATATAATAAACAATTGAGTTAAAGTTATCATTGATTCTTTATAAGAACTGCATATACATCAATTCATATCGTTGTTATTCTTTATAAATTCAGTCTATATCTTATAAGTAAAATATTAATAAATTAATTTTTTTTCTAAAAATATTAAACCTTTTAATCACCTGAGTGCAAAATCAGGAATGTTTTCAAAGGTTATTGAATATATCAAGTGATCATTATTTTTCAATTTGGATAACTAAAATATCTTCAATTTGTAAATTATTAGTCATTATGCAGATTTCTGAATATTCACACATAAAAATATAGATATATTTTTTAATTTCATAACAGTCTTATTTATCTCTTAAAAGAATTTTCATAATGCGCACTCCATTTTGAATTCTACACATTCATATTGAAATTGAAAAGTATAAGTATGATTATTTTATTAAAATATATTAACTATTTTACTGTGATTTATCTATATAAATATTAATTATACAAAATAGGCTAATAAAATTTTATTATATATTTTATTATAAAAGTTATTATGACTGATTTTTTCTTAATTTCAAATAATAACAAAACTATTTAGTAAATCAAACATTAATAATATGCGTAAAAATTAGGTTGAAAATTAAAATAAAAATTTTTTGTTTTAAAAATTAATATTGTAGCGAAAATGTATATAACATGTATAATTAACAAATGTAAGTAAAATCATATATACAATACATTATAAATTAATATGTTTTTCTATGAATTATTTAAATTCATATAAGAAGAAATTATTTAAATAAATTTTTTAAATGTTGACATAAAAATAATATATATTTGAACCTTTTCTTATTTAGTATATCAAAGAAATTTTTAATTACGTTGAGCCGTGCTATTTTCGAAAAATTTCATTTGAAATCGAAATGATTATTTGTAATACATTATACACTATTGCATCTTATTTTAAATGATTGTATGCTTACAAATAAATATAGTAAATGAAATCAAATTGAATATATATATTATTCTATTATTCTATAATTTTATTAGTTTTATTATTATTTGAATAAAATAACTTATTTAAAATAATTCGTTTGCTTATGAGCAAAGAACATTGAACTTTTTGAATATGTCTATTTCGGTATAATATAATTGCTTTGGTTATTTTCTCGTAAAAATGAAAACATTTTTCTTTATATAATTATCTTATTTCAGACGTGGAATATTCGTAAATTTATAAATTATATATAACTACTCTAAATCAAATTTAAGTAATTATATTATATAATAGTTAAGTAGGTTTCATTATATACCATAAATAAAAATATATAATAAACTTATATAATAATAATACACAATTATATGACTTACCTTGATCTGAGCTTCCTTATGTTGCAATTCTTGTTCGAGCTTCTCATTGAGATCATGCAAACTAATGGATTCACGTTGAGCATTCAGGTAACGCTTTTCTAATGTAGTTATTCTCTCTTCCTGATCTTCTTTTTGAGCCAAATTTTCACGTAAATCACGTTGCAACTTTACATTTGTATCCTGTGACTTTAAAAAATCTTTTTGACTCTTAGAAAGAATTTCCTCGAGCTCTGTTACGCGACTAGTCAGTTCCGCAACTCGACACTGCCAAGTGTTTATTTCTACACCCTATAATAACAAAATTTTACTGTTGTATTTTTCTATATGTACATATTACTTTATAATAATGTGTATAATTATACGCGAATAATGTTGAAAAATCCTTCTGATTCTATCAATTTTCTTTATAAGAAATATGATTAAAGACGCATTTGTCAATACTACTTAATACATTTATAAAATAAAAATAATGAATTTATTTGCTATTCTCAAAGATTTTTATTTTAATTTTTACTATTTTATAAAAATATGATTTTAGACATTTTTAAACCGGTTTAACATAATTTGCTGCACTTATATAAATATTTTTTAAATAATCCATGCAATTATTAAAAAAAACTTGTAAAATGTAGCAAATCTTTATTTTAAAACTTCTAAAGATATTACTTTTATAATTTATTACAATTTATGGTTATTAATTTACTACTTTTCAAATATTGGTTTTTAAAACAATTAAAAAATCAGAATAATTAAATTAAACATTTTACTATTTTAACAAGAAAACTGATTTTGGCCTTATATAAGCATAGAACTTTTACGTATAATATAATTCTTGTGATTTTAGATTCACTCCAGTTTGTTACAATTATGTATAATACTAATTAATCTCTTTTTTACCAATTGTTATATGTTTATATATGTATAAGAATTAATAATTAATAAAACTATGAAGTATTACTACAAATAAACAAATTAAGTAGTTGTTATTTTAATTATACGTATTTATTATTATATAATTAAATTAAATTACAGACTTTGTGAAATTATGACTAAAGATGAATATTAAAAATTTAATCATTATCTAAAATATTTTTAAATAATTAAAATTAATATTTATAATTATAATTAACATATGGCTAAAAATTATAAATATTTAGTTTAGAAATTAAAAGTATGAAAGCATAAATTGTCATACTTGTGTGAATCGGAAAATTGTAAATATAATATAAAAATATATTTATCTTGAAATTTGAATTAATTGAACAATTTTTACGATTGCTTTTATACATAATAATAAATTTAGTTCCAAAAATTAATACAGTATTCAAAATCCATATAGAACCCATTCAAAATTTATACTATACAAAATTGGTTATTTTATTTAAATAATGTAAATATTATATACAATATTAGTATAAAGAATTTTAAATAAATATTTCATTTAATCGTTTTGAAAGATTGAATAAAAAATTGTAATTATTTTAAAATTTCGAAAAGCCATTGAATTTTTATTAACAGTATTTAATTTTTCTACAAATATTAAAATAATATTTAATTAATTGTAATAATATTACTTCATAAAGATTTTTAATGAAATAGATATTAATAATTTAACATAATTATTAATATTTTTATTTTTTATTTTATAATGATGTCCAATACAAAATGTATTTGAATTTGGTATTAAAACATACTTTAGAAAATTTTGATTTTGATTGAATTGATTGAATTATTATCGATAGAAAGGTTTATCTAGTAAATTAGTATAAGCTTTTTTAAGCAATATACGTATAAAATTTATATAAAGAATATTAATCAAATGTAATTTTATTTGTTAAATATTTTAATTGAGATATGCTTGCAATCCAGGTTTTTTAATACGATTTATATGTATTCTATATAAATATTGATTTTATAAAAAAAATAGTTAGATGAGAAACACATTCAACATTAAGATAAATAGAATTATATTTTTACAATATTATATATTGAATGTAATAAATGATATATATTTGTACAAAAAAATTGTAACTAAATAATGAATTCAATTTTTTCTATAAAATTTTATAAATATAAATTTTTATATGATGTTTATATGAATATATTGAAAATCTCTTTTCATCCTTGGAAAGTAATCTAAAAATTAAAAAGAAAAAACCTTTCATGTTCAATTGTTAATATTAATAAAAATAAAATATTGTTAGGATCCTTTTCTTAAAATAATTTTTATAAATGTCCATATAATTCCAAAATATAATTCGATACAACTGATTTTTAGAATTTTAATTAATAATAATAAATTGCATTATATAAAATTAAACACTGTTTATGGCGAATTTAAATATATATATATATAAGTTTATATATAGAAAGAGAGAGAGAGAGAGAGAGAGAGAGAGAGAGAGAGCGAGAAAGAGAGAGGGGACATGAATTAGTAATTTGTTTGTATAGACTCTTAAAGTCGTACTTTTTGAGAGCGGTTGAAAGTTGAATTAAAATTTCTTAAGATAAGCATAAGAATATCAAATTTGCTTATTAACAACCAGTTGTCTTTCTAACCTTTATGATTGCCTTCTAGTAAATGGGATCCTTCTTCAATTTATTTGAATATCTTACGATCCTTAATAATAAAGTTATTGATGAGTATTTTATTTATTATCTTTTTAGAACTATTCGTCATAATGTATATGATATTATACAGTAAAACATTTCAAAATGTTTTTCATTATTCTCTACTCCTTGCATCATTGAACCAACAACCTTTTACTCATTTATTTTGTTTTGATAGAACACGATTGCGAATAATGGTTTGATTTTATTTGTCCGACTTAATTTATATTCAAAGAAAGTACACATAAAAATGAAAATTGGTGGCTACTCAATGCGATTGATTGTTGAAAGTGTCAACATCTATTTTACTGATATCTAATCCTAACATATAAGTGACAAAAATGCATTTTAAAAATCGAAGTTCTTGAATTGCACTAAGAATCTAATGAATTAATTAAAATAATTAAACTATTTATTATTTTATATAAGCTATTATAAAAGTCTTAAATTCTTTCAAAAGATTGTACCAAATGAATTACGTAATTGAAAATATATTCTATAAAATAAAATAGTAATAATAATAATACTAATACCACTTACTTTAAAATTATATATTATAATACAATATATTCCATTACCAGATATTACTAATAACTTTTGGCTAATGCAATATACACATATAGAAATATACAGTATATTTACTTGTAACTTTAAAAGATTTATACATGAATTACTTACTTTACTTTGTAGTTGTAGCTGTTGGCTGTCTTCTGGTTGGCCGTTTTCCTTTGGTTGATCCTCCAGATATTTTGTTGTATGACCACTCACCTTATACTGTTGAAACTACGAGCAAAATAACATGCTCCAATTAAATAATAAATTTATTTATTATTATTATTTATTACGAATTATTTTGCATTTGCAATTATTTTGTCAAATATTAAACATTTGAGTTTACCCATTTTCAGTTATTATTATCATTATTGTTGTTGTTACATATTACCATTCTTAATAAATTATTTATTTATTATTGGTTTTTATAGTTAAAAAATGAAACTATAAATATATAGCATGTTTACTGAATAAATTTTCAAGTAAGTAATTAATAGTCAACAGAAATTCACTATCCTACCATAATATCAGTAACTAATATAAAATTGCCGTAAAAGGTATGTTAAACATATTCATTTTTAATTATAAAATATACAAATAAATAATATTATTACGTTTTAAATAATTGTTTTCCACTTAACGATAATGATTTTTTTTTTAATTGTAAAATTATCAAAATTTTATCGGATTATTTCTTAGTAAAATATTATGATTTTTATTTAATAATATATTTTTACAAATATTTTAATACATTAATTACTATTTATATAAAATAGATTGAATTGCATACATAGGTCAATTATTTATTTTAAAATCTTTACTACAGTAATTTATACTTTATAAAAGATTTATTTTCTTTTTCATTCTCTTAAACTAAATGTCTCTTCATTTATGTATACTATTTCTTACCTCTTCTTTAGCATGGCTAAGTTCTTCTTCCAAGTTTGTATTTCTCTCAAGTGCGACACGTAATCTTTCACGAACCTGCTCACATACAAATTTTATCTTAAATATTACTATTTACCTAAATTATTTCTCATTTTTAATTATATTAAAGTAAATTACATTTGTGTCTTAATTATATTATAACATTATATGTAACAGAATTCATCCCTAATTGTATTATTGTGAGCTGAAAAATCATAAACTTTAAATTAATATTGATTCAATCACATTAATTTATGTTTAATACAATTATATTACTTAAGAAATAAAGTTGGAGATAGAAAATGTCAAGAATTAAAAGTAATTCTATATTTTTAAATAATAATGTTACAATTTATAACATCTTTAAGAAATACAAGTTATAATTAAAATTAAATATAAATTAAATAGGTTCAAAAATTAAAAATTCATATATGAAATTTATATTTTTTTTATTTTTATTCCATTTATAGCAAATTTTTAATCATAAATGTATGAATATGAATATGTATAATAAAGTACTATTAAAGATAACTTTTGATATCAAACTTATAGCATACAATATTTAAGAATAAATACTAAAATTTAGAAAAATTAGATGATTATGTAAACTGCCTTTAAACAAAGATGTTTTACGATGCTAACTTGAATTTGAATCCGGATTGTCTAAAACAAATGAAAGAAAAAGGTTTAGTTTTTATATTAAATTTTTATTTTTAATTAAAAATTTTAAATATGATTTTAAAATTTTTATAACTAAATTTCTCTTTTTTATTATAAAATTTAACTCACTTCTATTTATGACTATTTTATTATATTTATATTAGAAAAGATCATACCAAACTTTAACATTGATTGATTAAAAAATTGTGTGAAATTTTAGGGCTACTAATTAAAAAGTAGGTTTTACGAAAATGCATTTAAAGATTAAATTATTATTTTACATAAATAAAAAGTATATTTTATAACTTACACAAAATGATCTATTTCAGATTTTTACCACAAACTATCAACTTACATAGCCGTTTCTGAAATATTAATTTGATGTTGATGAAAGGGCCGTTTCAATCACAATCTCAATTTTTACGCATAAATTGGAGGTATTTGCCCTGATATTCCGAATATTTATATGTGTAGTATAGTTTCATATAGTATTATAAATATTTTGTGATTCCATTGTGTTATATTCAATATAAAATTACTAAAATATATAACTATGTTATAATATGTTGCGTATAATAAATTATGAAATACCGTTTTTCTGCTCATTTTCGTAATATTTGATTGTTTTTTTAATTGAAGCACTTATATTTTTATAGTAAATTACAATAACGTGTGGATTCAAAAAAATTGATAACTAAAAATTTTTTAAGTAACATTACAGCAGACTCTAGCAGCTATACTTTGTATTTGTTACTTATGGCGAAAATTAATACTTTTGCAGAATTAAAAACTGAAAATATTTATTTCAACATAAATAATAATTGAATATACAAAATAAACATTTAACAATGATGTGTGCGTTATATTTATTATTAACGGTATATACACGCTAAGATTTATTTAGATGAGTGCCTAAGTAAATCGACAGTGTACATACGATGTAAAAAAACAAATAGGAATAGTACAAGTTTACATAAAAAATTTTGTAATTGAACAAATCAATCAATTTAATTGACAAATCAATCAGTATCATTATATTGTCGTTGCAAATCCAAATGATAACGTTAATAATATGTTTTTGTAACAAGCTGTTTTTTATAATGTAATTAATCATACTTGAATTATAACGATGAACATGCAATTAAAATATACAATTATATGGAATACTACAACAGCACGTAAAACAGACCTATCAGAAGTGTCATTAATATAAAATAACCTATATTAATTATAAAGTATATAAAGTTAATAAAAATGTTATAATTAATAGTAGTATTATATAATCTTATTATTCTTCTATAATGGAATATTTAAAGTTCGAAGATTAATATGTGCTTCAATTTTTGGATTTATTCTCACTTTTGCTGCATCATACATCCTTTATCAGTAAAAACGATAAAACCATTTAATCAAAATTTTTATTTAAAAAATTATTATAAATTGCTTAGTTTAATTTAAATACGTGAAAAAAATTGATATTGGTATTAAGTAGAAATTGTAGATTAAGTTATGTTGATATGATATTTAATTAAAAAAAAAAGTTAATATTTATATTTGTATGAATTTAACTATTTTATTTGTAATAATACGTTTAATCGTCTATGCATTTCATATTTATCTATAAATTTTTATTATTTTGTACGATTATAATATTATTATTTACTAAACTAAAATAAATGGAGCTAATTTAGATTATGTATGGAGCATGGAGGATCGACACTTTGAGTCTAGCTATTTAGTTTTTAAAAATAACAAAATTGTTTATTCCAGATCCATTAATTGTACATGTATTTAAGTTATTAGTACACTGTCTAAGTTATGAAATTTAATTAACAATCAAGCTTCAGAGCTTCAATATTTTTTCCATTTATTGTAAAATCCTATTATATTATTTATTTAATACGGTTAATCTTACGGCTAATCTATAATCTGTAAAATAATGAAAATTTATTACTTAAATTTACTCATTATTGCTAATATATAAGAAAAGCATATAATCGTCATCAAAATTATACAAAAAAGTTATTAAACATTAATATATTTATTTTAAAATACTATTATCTGTGTTCTTACGACAATTCTAACAAAACTTAGACTTACAATGAACCTAATTCATTATCAAAAGATTCAATCTTTTGAATTTGAATTTGAAGATTGAATCATTGGGTTACGCGGCATATAGCATAAATGATTTTGTTGTCGGTGGAAACATTATGAATAATTTTTTATTTTTCTTACTTGATACTGAAATCAAGCACCTTAGTCAATTTTAATTTTTCATTAATATTATAGGCATACTAATATAGGTATACTAATATCCACTCGTTAAAATAGTTATTAAAAGTTATATTAAAATTACTATAAATATAGTTGAAATATTTTAAATAACGAACAAAATTTTAGCGATTTCGATGTTTAAATTACTTAGTTCCAAAATTTTTTTAGTTGACGATATATCGAAATCTATCGATTATTTAATAATTTTTAATTTTAAAAATTTGTAACGACTTTCGGTAAAATAGTTAGTCATTATATCTCCAATTTGTTAAATGTATTATTTAATTATAAAATAGTTATATAATATTTGTCTCTTTTATAGTAACACGAAGCGTAATTATATTAAAAAATATTTAAAATGAAATAATTTTTAATAATCCTCTATTACAGAAAAAAAATCGTAGTTTAAACGAACATGTATGTTTTCTAATTCTCATGAAACTCGAACTTATCTCAATATTGTATACGCGTAATTACTAATACACAAAAACATAGTTATGTACCTTTTCATCCAAAGCTTTATGATGTTCAAAGAGACTCTTTAATGCCTTCAGTACTTCAACTTCAGATGAAACCCCCGATTGGGCGACTGCTTGACGCTTGACAACAGTCGTCCTCAATGAACGCTCATGCCTTGAAACTAAACATTCAAGATGCTCCAGCAGAAGCTACAAAATAAAATAAAAATTACTTTTATGGATATATTTTACACATACTATAAGCTTCATATAAGCTTCAGTTATATTGTTAAACAGTATTTTTGTAAATTCTCTTACATTCATATTTAGTATGTATAATAATATACTACGTTAATTATTCAAAGCTTGATGTTACTTTTTAAAAACATACTTTTAATTTTTTACAAAAAATTAATTTAGAAATAATAATTTTAAACATAATTTAAGATAAAACTATATTCAGGTTCAATATTCTAAGCATAAAATTGTCTTATCGATGCTTTATAATTATCATTATCAAATTTATTTATTCAATTCATTTAAAAGTAATTTTTAGAGTCATTTAAATAATTGAAAATTCTGAGATCTTAACATTATTCAAAAATTTTCAGAAGATCTTAAATACGAAAATGTTTCTAAAGATCTTACTTTTTACTGATAAGCTTAAATATATATTAAATGTATAATTTAATTTTGTTAACTACTTTATATTTGTGTTAAACTTAATTTCATTTGATTTTTATTAAAATAAACTTATGATTATAAGTTATATATAATATATATAAAATTATAAAAAAGATTTTAATCTATATAAAATGAAAAATTAAGCTATAGTATATCTAAAGCCTAATTTTAATTTTAAAACAGTAAAAACTATTATGCTAAAATCAAATAACTACATAATAAATATTTAAGCATGTTGATAAAGTTTACTGGAAATTTGTTAGATTAAGTTTTGTTAGCTTGAAATTTAAAAACGCTTGAATTTCTTTACGTAACGTTGTTTTAGGTTAATCTTAAGCATTCTTTAACATATTTTAACAGATTTCTTAATTAAAAAAAAAATTCTATTAACTGGTTTCAAATATGCTCTTAAAATAACAATTCTTAAACAAATTTTTAATTAAAAAAATATATAAGGAAAGTATATAATTGACATAAAATTTCTTATTTAACTAATGAAAATCAGATTTTAAATATAATTTTTTATTATATCATAACTTATATTGGAATTCATGGCTAAGAATACTCTATGATAATCCTCATACTAATCTACAGCTGAACTAATTTGTACGCAACGACTTTGTCCTCATCGATTAAACAACCCTTATAGTGTATATGTTCTATGCTGCATATTAGATGAAACCAAATTAAATTAATACATATAAAATATTATATGAGTTCTAATCAGTCCTTAAGAGCAGATTTTTAACAAGTCTTTCTACCCAAGCTCATCTTCAAAAGTAGCCGAATTACAAATCTTTATCCTGTAATTAGAGTTCTCGATCCTGTAATCGAATAATATTATGCAATATATCAACTGTAATAACTACAGAAATAATAATTAGCGCGCTATACCTTTTTCAATAATGAACCTTAATTTAATTTCGTATAATACAGACCTTTATCGAATAAGCCGAATAACTTCGGCTTGTCAAAATTGTCAAAATCTAGTAGGAATGAACCAGTTACTTTTATTACTCGGTTGAACTTTTATAATAGAATGATTTTAATACTTAACAAAGTTTTTACTCTTATCGATTTCAGGACTAATACGCAGTATGTTTCTGTGTTGAATAGAAATTCTAATAATAAGTCAGTGAACATAACTATTTAAGGATTATAAGGTCCAGTAAATCGAAATCAGTTGTAATAACAATATAGGTATAGTTTAATAATGTAGTATAATTGCCGTTAGTATAGCGTTATATACAGTCTTTTCAACTGAAGCAAATACACTGCCAATTATATTTATATACTAACACCAACCTTGGATCGATACTTACACATTCCTAGATAACTACAAAATATTATATTTCCGTCATCAAAACTTTGTGGCAAATGACTGTTTAATGCTCTATATATCAATAATCTTTTGTCCTATCGACTATCTCGATTCAAATTATAATTGAATAATGTTCGAATACTTATTTCTAGAATTAAGTAAAAATGTTGATATTTTTAGACATATAAATTTTTACTTTGCACTGAAATGTACCCATATACTTTATTTTATAAATTATTTATATAAATCAATAAATAAAAAATGTTCCAATATCTAGATGAATGTAATAATAAATAATATAAAGTAGATATGTTTAAATTATAATAGATAATAAATGTGCTTCATTTGCTAAAAAATAGAAATAAATTTCAATACAGAATGTCAGCTTTAATAATGCTCACCCTCGTATTGTTACGTTCTGCTTTCAATTCAGATATTTCTTCTGCTTTTTCATGAATACTCCTTTGTGCTGCAGACAATTCTTTTGTAAGTTGTGAACATTCCTGTAAAACATACATTCAATAAGAATCTCGTGGACTATTAATAAATTTTTTATAATGATTTTTAAACATATATTTATAATTGCTTCGAAGTTTTAACTATAAGTAAAATGCGTCATTAATTGATATAATCAATAGACGAGAGCGATAACTTAATTTTTTAAAGTTGTATATATATATATATATATAAAGCTATGTGATATAAACGTATATATTATATTTATTATTATTTAATATAAATTATAAAAAAACTGTATTTCTATTTATTAAATTAACATATTAAAATGTCTAATATTTAATGAATTTCAAAATTCTGATTGTAATGCTGAACCATTATTTTGCTACTGTAACAATTAAAAAAATTTAGTTCTTTTTGCGTTTGGATCATTGAAAGACAGGGTTTATAAAAACTAGAGTCTAAACTGCAGTCGTTATTAAAAGTAGTGATCTTCCAGTAAATTTTCAATATTACAAAGTCTTGCAATTTATGGATTATAACGTGCTAAATAACTTTTTGAAAAGCTATTATTTTAATATAGTTTAAGAAATGTTTTTTCTCAGTTTTTGAATAGGGTAATTTGTGTTTGTATTTCTTTATTATTTATTTAAAGTCAAATTTGATTTCCCTCTACATTTAGTCTTTTCCACTTTTTCTGGTTTTCTGATAAAGCAAAAGTAAAATAATTTATTTAATCTGCTAAATTACTTTAATATAAAATAAACTAATTGTTCATTCCTACAAAATATAGATTTCATATTTAGATTATGTAATTTATTTGTTACGAAAATCGTTTCAATTTACATCAACTTATCTCAAAGGCATTCATCATTAATATTAATATTGTTTTCATGACTTTACAAAGTTTTAATTAAAAATATTTTATAAATTATCATTTAGTTTTATAAATTATTAAAATAAAATAAAATTTTATTATAAATCAGAATTTTTTTTGAAAGTTTTCTTTTGTATACAAGTGTATGTATGCTAATGCTCGTTATACCATGATTTAAGTGAAACTCTATTTAATTGGTAATATTACTATTTAGTTATGATGGCCGATCTCTCGATACCAATATGATAATAGTTGGAACATCAGAATCCATATAAAATGATATTATTTGATGTCCGACAATTTAAAATAAACACTTAAATACACCATACCTATAACAGGTAACGTAAGTTTCGACCCTTCACTATTCCACCATTTATCATTACTGAGTTAAAAAAAATAGATGTCACTTAAAACTTCGGTAGCACAAATTTTATATATCGTATATTAAATAATACATTAAGTTTGGTTTTCTTTTTCGTTTTTTCATCGCCTATGCTACTTATTAATCATAATATTTTCGTAATGCTTAGATCGTGGCTGAAATATTATTAGACTAAATTTGTATCATAATATTGATTATATTGTAAATAATCTTTTGTTATCTTATTGAGCGAGTAAATAAACGATCTTATTATTTACATATATATTTTTTTTCTATTTACCATAGACTGTCTCTTGACGTTTCTGTTACATAAATATAATTTATTTATTTTCCCTTTAAATTAAAAGCTTTATTTACTGTTAAACTAATATTTAGAATTTTTTAATTTCATTATTTTATTACTTTATAATACTTGTTCCACTAAACTAAAATATTTCAAATATATAAAATATTAAGCAAAATATCTCCATTTCTAAAAATACACACGACTGCACTCACACATACATATACGTTAATTTTATGTTTATTAGTAAATAATTTATGACATAATTTTATAAAATTTATTTGTAAATACTGTAAGAACATACGAATTAATTAAATTAATTAATTAAAGTTTAAATATTTATTAATTTATATTAAGTATATAATATGTGGATATGTGTACACATAAATATTTAACATTTCACATAAAATTTTATTTTGTACATCTATATACAAGATATTTTTTATTTTATTATAATCTAATAATAATTTTACATATATACAGTTTATACACTTTATAAATGTATGATCTGATACCTTAATATTATTTTTAAAGATATATATTCTTTTGTAAAAATAAATATATATTTAGATATACATATTTATGATATATATTACGGCTCGTTCTTCGGATGTTTATTAAATACCGTACTTTTATTCCATTAAAAATAATAATACTTCCATTTATAAACACGTTATAATGAACAAATTATAGATTAAATAATTATTTAATTACTCCCTCAGATTACTCCTTCAAAATTAATTATATATATTATATTAGAAAAATAATGAAACGTGATACAATAAAATTTGAAACTACTATTTAACGCATATAATTTTTAAACATTTTTAATATAAATATTCAATAATAATTTGTTTTTAATTGATGATAAGTAATACGTACTGAGAAATTTATTAAGTATGCATCAATGCATGATAGCAAGTCAATGACAACTAACGTCTAATACCAATAGGATGCCGCTTAAAATTTATGAAAAAATAATTTTATTTTTACTTTTATGAGCAAATAATGCGATTATATACAATAGTTACATTCATAAAATTTTGTATGTTTTATATAAATGCTATTATTCTCTCTGCTTACATTTTATATCCTTCTTAGTATTATGTACTTTTTCCTTCTGCATGTAAGTGGAATTTAGTCGATTGATATTGTATTGCACAATGTGTAAAATCAATGAAAGAACTATCAGCTACGTCTATATTTTTGTAATAGCACCAATCAATAATTTTTTTTTTTATCATTCTACACTCGTAATAACCAACTTAGTACATCATTCATCATGTTTACCATACCCTTGTTATGAAATATGTTCATGTACATTCATATGCCGATGAATAAAATACTAAAGGTATTAATTATATTGTTAAGAAGTTTACTATATTATATTTCGTCTATTATTAAAATAAATCATTGTGATCTTCGTACATATCAATAATTTCCATCGCCATAAACAACCAACATGTTATTTTTCAAATAGACGTACACTATAATACTATACTAATACAGTTTTATTATAATTTCAATACAAAGTGTAAAAAATTAATACATTATCATTACCATATATTTTTACATAATTATATTTATATAATTTTTATAAAATATAATATTCTAAAAAAATTTTACTTTTAATATACTAATAAAAAGTCAATAATTGACCTACTTACAATATTTATAATGTTTTGTAACTATGTATTATAAAGTAGTCTGATTCTATAGGATCTATAAATACTAATATGAATATGTAAATGATTAAGGATAGTTAATAAGAGTGATGTAAAATTCTGTTACAGGATTTCTCAAAAAATGTCAATAATTTCTGATTTAGGAAATATATCAACATAAAATATGAATGATCTTTTGATGACTTCAATTTTACATTTGTGCATTTCTTATTGTTTAGATAAGCAGTTTCACTTTATGTAATATTTTATTAATTATTTATAAACTTCTTAAAACTGAATATGATCTAACTCTCGAATAATAATTATTTAAGAATATAAACTGTTTAAAGAATTATTTTGGTAATTACAAAATTGTAAGGATTCTAAACTTATCAAATTTTTAGTTATTATTTCATTTTCTTGAAACACTAAATTAATTGCTAAAATGTGTTATTATTTATTTTTTCTTTTATTTCTCTTAATTTTATATACTATACTTATAAGTTAAAGAACTTATATTTAATCTTTTATATATTTTTTATTCAACTATCAATTTCTATAGTATTGATAATACAATATATAAAACTCTGAACTAATGTAGTACATATTATCTGATTTATTTTAGGTTTAAATCAGTCACAAATATTAAATCATTAATTGAACAAGTGTTTATATTATAATTAAGAAAGATTTTTTTTTATTTCTAGTAATTTATGTAGATTACAAATGATATATTTTTATAATATTAATATTGTAGTTTACATCAATGTAACAATACAGTCATATAAAATTAAAAATTACATGAATAATAAATAACATTTTCTATGCCTTTAATTAAGTTTTTATTTAATTAAATATACTGATCTTTATTGATAAAAAAATTAATTGTTATAAATGATAAAAGTAATTAAACAGTTTGTCGGTTGACTTTATATTATTTAAAAGAGTCTATTTAAAATTATAATATTTATTAAATTAATTTAATATATAAATATTTATATTATTTATATTTTATCATATGATAAATAAATATCAAAAAATAAACCCAATGAATAAACATTAATTCTATATAAAAATAATCATCAAATAAAATAAATTATTTCTATTATTAATAGTAATTATTGGAAAGAACTTTGAGATATAAAAATTGTTAAAAATATTTGATAAAATGTTTTTTATACCAGACTGAAAATAGGGTATGGCTAATTAATATATAAATTTTATTTTGTCTTACTTTGGGTATGTTAGTATCAAATTGACGATTTATGACATCCCTCTCTTTTTCAAGATCCTGTAATCTAGATTCAGTCTCTTCGAGACGTTCTTGACTTTCTCTCAATGAGTCCATGAGTTTGTCTCGTTCATCAAGTACTGAAACCATTAGTTCCTCCAAATTAGTTTCTTTTCCAGAAAATTGAGAACTCTGTTGACTATTATTGTCCTCTGCAATGGTTGGCATCACATCACACATCATATTCCACATATTGTTCTGGATATAGTACAGTTAATTAAAACTTTTTCCCAACTTTTCACTATATTAATTTGTAACTATTTTTAGTTATACAGTACTTTATATATTCAGCAGCTCTTCTAAGTTAAACTAAAACTAGGTACTGTTATCCTGTACCCAACAGTCATTTCTTAGTTTTCACAGAAAGTTTTGTCAAAAAACTTTTGTAATGCTTTATCCACATTGAAAATTTTGCAATTATGAAATTACAGGGAAACATCCTCATTATCATAGTTGATATTTTCTTCCTAATATAAACATTTGTATACATTATTAAAAAATTTTAAATTAAATAATTATATTAATTATATTTTATTTCTGACTTAGTTTTTAAAAACTAGATAATTATTTAAAATATTATATATAAATTTCTTTTGTAAATAATTAATTTGTCAAACCATTGACAAATTGTTTGTCAATGGTTTGACAAATTAAATATATATTAATTAAAAATATATTTTTTTCATTTTCAACTTTAACTCATTAAAAATGAAAAAATCAAATAAGGCATAAAATATCAATTATAATTCATTTACTTTCAGTATATTAAGTATAGTTGATAAAAGAATGTTCCTTCAATTATTACAAAAAATGGATAGATTTATAAAGGAAAAAAACTGAAATCATACAATCTAATATAAATTTTTTTTATTTATAAATAGTTTTATTCTTTATTTTATTGTTTTTTTTAGAAACAATCATTTATTTATTTCTATAAATATTATAACAGTGATCTAGATCCTATTTTTATTATTCATTATTCACAAGTATAGAATCAATACCTAATAAATTTACCTGATTTAACATGACTTTTTAATATATTTTATTACAGTTTTTAAATAAATGTGTATCTATTGTACCGACTATTTAAAAATTTTTGTTATTTATAGTTTATTTAAGAAAAAATATTTTCTTTTATGAATTATATTTCAGGAAAACTAGAATGAAAAAAGTTAGAATTTTAAGACTTTAAAACTAAACTTACCCTATATAATCAAACATTAAAATTAACAGTGGAAAATTTCTAATATAACAATAATAATAATGTTGAGTGTTAGTATTCTACAGTCAAGCATAAAACCTATCCGTTTATGAGTAACTAATGTGACGACAGTGTAAACTCGACATCTCAAATGTGATCATTTCTTTTGCTTATGACCACTGCTTATAAATGTAAGGTTGTAATTTTTACCTCGCCCATCACAATCGCACAACTTCTGACTGTAGCTTCTTCTCTACATACTAACGATCAATCGACGTCACTACTTTTCTCACTTCCTCTCATCATATCTCTCATTGCATTGTCTATATAGCTTATTCGCTCACTCCTGCAAATTTTTCAACTTATGTAGCGCTTTTGAGCATTCTATTTTGATATTCGAAAAAATTTTAAAAAATAGATATTAATTTTTACACTTATAAAAATAGTGAAAAATACAATGAAAAGGACAAATAAGCACATTAAAAAGTACCGGCATATTGTTTCTTATTCTTTTTCTGTTCAAGAAACTCTCCTACGCGGTATTTTGTCTTTTTTTTACTTTACGCTGTCATAGCAAAGTTGTATTATTCTATTCTTATTACTATAAAAATTGCGTGTAGATATTTTCTCATTTTTCTACAAAGTTAAAATCGTACTCGCATATTTTTTCAATCTTATAAGTAGAGGGGATAAGGTTAGTGAGTAAGTGAGTACATATGTGATTACATGATAAGGAAAGAATATAATAGAATGAGAACAAGTGACGCAAAAAAGGGAAAGGTAAATAGGAAAATTATGTAGACCTGGAAAAGGAGAAACTATGAAAAAAATCCGTTTTTTTTCTTTTCTTCAAATTATGTTAATAAAAGCGCCCAATATTTAATGCGCTGTATTTGTAGTAAATACATCTTATTTAAATATATGGGAAATGTACCTATTTCGTTTATGAGCACAAAAAGCTAGTAGAACAAGCATTATTGCGTATGGATTAAAGTATTATTTATTACGTATAAAAGTTTATTACTGTGCATTTATAGAAAATGTTTATTTACTATATTGTTAAAAAATTCCAGACCAAAATCTCTATTTTTGAGGTTAGCTTCTAATTAAGTAGGCAAATCTTGTAAAATATCATTGTACAAGATATTTGTATAATTATATATATAAATATTATATAAATATTATATTTAAATAATCTTAATAGCATATATTAACTTGAGTAATTAACAAATAAAATTTCAAACTTCTAAGTCTCCAACTTCAAGTATGCAACTATTATATTAAATAATTTTATTCTATACAAGATTTATTAAATATTTAGAACATTGTTTTATATATTATAAATGTATTTAAGTTGTTGATCTAAAAACAATAATCATATTTTGCTTTAATTGCTTATTTATTAATAGTATATTATAATATAAATTTATAAAATATAATTGTTACAATATTTTATTTGGTAAAAAAATTTAAACAACTATTTTATTATTAAATATTGAATTTTATTTCATTTAACAAATTATAATCATTTTATAAATCTATAACAATAAAAAATAATGAATTATTGAAAAAAAATTAACAGTTTCAATCAATGAAAATAATTTGTAAATTGTACAATATTTTGTATTATTAAAGCATTCACATAAATTAAAAAACTATTTCAATATATTGAAAATATAATACAAACTAATATTAAAATTTATGTTTATAAAATTAATATTTAAAAAATTCATGATTTATCAGAGTTTGAACATATATGTAAATAAATATATTATAAATCTAAATTTAAATAAATAATTTTTATTAAATTATTAAATTATGAATTATTAAATTAATATTAGAATATTTAATACATAGAATAGTTCTTAAGCTTCTAATTAAAAACTTACTGAATTAATTTTGATAATACTATTTTAAAAGAATTCTTTATTTATATTTAAAATATTATTAATTCAAATAAAAATACTAATATATCAGTTTTATAAAATATTCAAGATAAATCTAAAGTTAAACCAAATTTGATTAAAATAAAACAGTTGTACTGTATAAAGTTAAATTATGATTATACTATTTTTAAATAAAATTTATTTAATATAATAAAATAGGTAGTTAGGTTACCTTGGATTGTCAAAATTATTAAAATATTTAATAGACATAATTAATTTAATTTTAAGTTTTTTTATTATTAAATTAATTATTTCTATGTATTCAGTAAGTTGTTAATTTTTAACAACTTAACTTTTAAACTAAGAGTTTTATTTTATTTATTACCATAAAAACTAGGTACTGTTAAAATTTACTGATATGCGTACAAGTGAAATATAATATAACCTCTAATCATTAAATTAATATAAATGTGTATGCATAATTGAAATGAAGTAATATGATGAAGAACTGTGTAAATTATTAAAAAATATTAAATGAATTCAATTATGATAGTGAGACAACAATTTTAAATTTGATTTATTTAAAATGATTTAAAATAATATTTAATAAGAAATACGATAAAACTAATATAAATAAAATGCTTTTATATTTATGAAAACTCTTTTCATAAGATATATTAAAGTATAATTTACAATATAAATAAATGACCTAGGTTTTGGGTAAAGTCTTAGTATATAGAAAAGATATTGAAATTCAATTGTAACAGTTGCACATATTCCCAAGAATAAATTTAATATAATTTCTGTAATCAAAAGATATGAAAATGTTTTGTGATCATGTACAATAATTGAAAATGAAACATATTTATATATATATATAGTTATAAAATCCAGTAATATATTAATCATATGATTTTACTTTACTGTAATTTAGAATTATAGACATTTTAACACCTAAGCTGCCAATATTGATATGGTATATTGCTATTAATTTACAACTATAAAATTATAAAAAACTGTATATAATATATTATGGTTTTATATATCCTTTTTACTTTTTTATAATATCAAATGTATACATTTTATGATTTACTTTAAATAGTATCTAGAAGTTTAAATTAAATAAAATTAAACAAGATCTTCTAATTATATTACTAGAATATATGAAGAATAATGATCTCTTGTTAAAAAAGGTTGAAATGTCAAGTTAAAAACACAAATATATAAAAATATATAGGATTATTCATTAGGAAATATGTCATCACAAATTAAAAAAAAAAATACAATTACGTAGTAAAAGTGTATTTACCGCAATTTTCAATAAGCTTCACAGATAAATACGATTAAGAAATAAGACGCATGAATTGATGACCTTAATAACTCGTTACAATTATATGTTTCTATGCATTCCGCTTCAGCGCAAGCCAACATTGCATAAGCTTATCATTTACCGATGTGCGCTACTACCTACATACTTTAATTTTATTCTTCTCTCCCCCCCCGGTAAAATTCACACAAATGCGTATAAACTGCTTATAAAGTCAGCATAACTAATTGAATCATGGTAGAAAGCAAAAACGCGCATTAATGGTCTATAAGAGAAGATGAATGCGCACATTATTTTTAGAATCAATAAGGTAAAGGCGAGGGAGAAAGATAAATTTATATTCGGGCTGCTGTAGGAACGATAATGCAGTAAGCCAACTTAGTGCAACATATTGTAGACAATCGTAAACAGCAACGACATGAAGACGGAAACACATACTTGTCCGCCTGAGGTTACAGGTAAGCTAATATTATACCCTATTTTTGCAGCATTAAAAATGATAATTTAATTGCCTTATTCACATTTATTTTTTCGAAATTCTATATTTTAACAGTCGCATGTCCGTTATCGGTCAGGTTAATAGCGCCATCCTTTTGATAGTGACGGCAAGGGAAGAAGGGATTCGAAAATATTTTTTAAAATTATTAAAAGGAGAGAGGAATTAAATCTTTTCGACGCCTGTATTTATATATGAATTTAAAATATTATCAAATTTCGTTTTACAGCAGTTAAATAATTGGCACAAATAAGCAACCCTTATAATGTGTTATAATATGTATATATATATATATATATATATATATATTTATGCATGTGTATATTTTATATATTTGAGAGCAATTTATACTTAATTCATGTTAAAAAAATTATAAATATTTTTTATTTGATTGGTAGACTATTAAAAAAAGTTTAATTAAAAAAAAATTTTTGTTAATCTAGATATTTTCTTATTAATAATAAAAAATTAAATAAATAATAGATATAATATAGCACAAAATTAGAGGCATTAATTGTAATAAAATAAAACAAAATTTATTTGTTTTTAACTATTTAATAACAATATACATAATGTTTGTGAATAATATATTGTTTATTATATAATAATACTGTGTGTACGACAGATTATATAGAATAATATTACAAACATTATTTCATATAATTAATTCACAATTCCGTTCCTTAATTTGGAATAAAGTTCTGGTACTTTAAATTAATTAAGTCAATAGGTTGATAATATATAATTATATTCAAATCATTCTTCTATTAATTTCATTGTATATTATTACACTTAGGATTTAATATTAATTAAAAACATTTCTTGTTTCATGTAGATAATATATTACATCAGAAAATAATTTACAATTAATCTTTAGCATGAAAATTGTTGCATATCAAATTTTACAGCAATGATTGGAGAGCTGTCAAATAACTGCGAACGAATGGAGAATATATCAGAATCTGTTGACGAACTGCGTGAGAAACTTGCCAACATGAAGCGATTGATGGAAGAACGCAAGGGAATAACACTTGGTGACATAAGTACACTCAAACAACGTAATAAATCTTCCAACATTATAGATGGCAACTTTCTTTCTTGGATCTTTGGCACTGCTCTTGCTGTCATTCTCAGCGTTACTTTTTATGCTTTCTACAATCTTTATAATGCTGTGCTAAAAAAATTCCCATCGAAACATACTGAACTATGAATTTGATATTCAACTGGTTTTATTAATATTTTATTGATTGTTCTTTAATAAGAACATTTAGCAAGTAAAACAAGGAAATAATTCTTGTTTTTTAAATTTTTTTACTATTAGCATCTTATTTGCTTAATATTTTGTCGTGAATAACATTACTTTCTGAATATAGGTAAGTTGTAGTTATACAAAAAGTTTACTCTTACTTTACATATAAGAGAAATCTTGTTCCAGTTTTGATCATAAAATCTTTCTCAGAATTCACTGTGAAGTTACATAATTCTATAATTAAATGAATTCTCTATTTATTTGGAATTAAACGTTTATGCATCACAAGATTTAAATAAATTTATTTGTGTAATATACCTTACAAACTGAATTCATAACTACATTGAATTGTATTATTGATAATATTCCAAAATTTCTTGTGGTTTATCTCTACATTTAAGATTTATTTTGTGCCTAAGTACATAGTTTTTAAACCATGTACAAAATACTAACTATATACAGTACAAAGAATAACGGTATTCAAATCTTAGTAAAGATAATTTTGTATCAATGTATACCATGGTTTCTATAAGAATTTCCAATAATTTCAAAATTGTATTAAATAATATTAAATGTATTATTTCTATTAATTTTCTAATAATTAATACTATAAATTAAAAAAACTTATAAAGAAATTATTTATTAAAAATAAATCAATGTAACTGTATTTTAAAAAATTAATTATTGATTATAAGTTCTTGTAATATGTGTTTATTTCTTTTTTGGTTTATTATTCTAGAAATAAGTTATAAACATACGTTTTCTTAAAATGGAAAATATAAATAGAACTATCAAGAGTACTTAAAAAATAATTTAATTATATAATTTTATATTGTTTAACGCATAAATATATTTTTATAAATTTATTTAAATAATTGGAAAATAGTTATTAGGATGGCAGTTAATGTATACTAGAAGACTAGATGAATCTAACCGAAGCGTAAAAATAATAGTATTTTTCTTTCAATTCTTTTCATCTTTAATAACCCAATTTTATTTCTATTCATCTATTCATTAATTTCTACATTCAAATAGCATCTACGAAACAAACTACAAAAAAAAAACGTTGTAAAATTTGTATTTCAAATTTAATTTCTAAACAAATTTGTTTAAAAGACATTTGAAAAATTAAATTTTTTACCAACGAGTTCTGTATTAATTTCACATGAAAATAGTATTCGGCAAAATATGCCCCTGAATTCTAATGGTCCTAGCACCAAACAATTCATTTTTAATAATTAATAATTAATACATGAATGTGATTTGAAATATTTTAATAATATTAGCATTATTTACATTGATTCATTAAAATTTAATAAATTGCTTATAATATATCAATGTACTTAATCAAATTTTAATTTTGATTTAAAAATTGAAAACGATTCATAAAAAGTTTATAAAGTTATTTATTATATTTAATACATTTTTTATGTGTAAAAATATGTATACCATATATAATGCTTCTATTTTTATTTTTTCTTCTAATTATAATGCATTGTTTATCTTTCACATATGTGTATTGATACATTTCAACAAATTAATAACTTGAATGATAAAAAATATTTTTGAAATATTAAGTTTGATGGCTTCTTTTCTTGTTACTAAAGATTTTATTTCATATTCTAAATCTGCAAGCTAAAATAGAATATATTTTTATTTTTAGATATAATACAATAATTTTCTATTTTATATTATCAAACAGTAATTATTCACTTATCATTTCTCCTCAATTGAAAGTTATTTAATTTGTTATTTTTAACACACATTTAAAAACATTTCATAATAAAAACTGATATATATTAAATGTTGAAATTATTGTTTAATAATATTTGTATAAATTGAATACAATACTATATAAAATATTCAAGTAATCAATTATCATACCTTTGTTTCATTGATTTCTAAGACTTCTCTGAGGTCATAAATTGTTTCGTGTATATTCTAATAATAAAATTATTTATAGTATTTGTTATCACAGAATTAATAATATATTTATCTTTAAATAATAACTAACCTCAAGTAAATTTGACCGTAAAATCTGAAAATTTATTTCTAACATGAGCTCAAATAATTAATTTTGTAATTAATAAACAATTAATTATTAGTTAATTATTGCAAACTAACTGACTTTTTTAAATCTTCTTTTTTATTTGTATACTGAAATAGTACGAATATTTTTTAAAAAGAATAAATGAATAAAAATGAGGTATGATAAATTAAATAATTATTTTATGAATATAATACAATTAGTTGTCAATTCATATTTAAATATAATTTGATAACACAAATTCACCATTATCATAAGAAAATTAGAAATGGAAATAATAGCAAATAAAAATATCCACAATGTTTTCAATGCACAGCAATGTAAAATATACGGCCAAATAGCACTATAAATATGAATACTCATTTTTAACTTGGCTGGGTTGTAAAATTTATCATGAAAATTAAATATTGGAAATTCAAATTTTATTACTATAAATACCAAATTTAATATCGTCTTTGACAATATTCACTAATATCTTATTTTTATTCAATTTGCACGTTAAAAACAAATAAAAATCAATGCACATGTTGACATATGATACAGTTTGTAAAAATATTATTATTAAAAAATTTTAATTTATTTTTTAACAATGTTTTATAAAAGATATTGACATTTTATAATTTTTATTTTTTAACTTAACATCTTTAAAAATAGCATAACTATTTTATTAAACAAATGTAAACATATTACACAATAAATATATTTGTTTAAATCATTATCTTATAGTTTTCAATTTTATGGTCAATTATATAATTTAAAACATTTCATTGGTTTATGATAGTGTGGAAGGGATAATTTCGCTGAAGATAGAAGAGTGCTTCAAAACGAATAATGGCTTATAATGTATCAACACCATTACATAATTATCAAATGTGAAAGAAATCAAATTAAATATTAACATAATTATCAAGGAAGTATTAGAATAGTTATATAAGTTACATGATCAAACATTATAGAAAATGCTTATATTTGGATCTAATAAATTAATTAAAAATTCGAAAGAATATTACTTTTCTTAATTATTCGAATTTAATTTACTTATATGCATTATTTCTATTTTAATTATGACAAACAATAATCACTATATGTGCTAAAGGTTGTAATAAATTTGCTTATATAATAAATACTTTTAAAAGAAATTAAATAAAAAACTGTATTGATAAAATATATTTAATTTTTTTAATATTGAATAAATATATGATTTTGTTTTAATATTTTTTCGTGCTAATATCCACACGTTTTTATTCTAAAATATTTAAAAAATAAAATATATAGTTGAGTTAAAAAAAAATAGTAAATAAAACTTATAAATGAATTTATATTTATTTGTTCATATAACCAAATGTTTAATCGAATACATTTATAAATTGTGATGTTTATTACTACATTTTATTTTTAAAGTAGGAAACTCTATATTCAGTATAAAAGACTTATAAAAAACAATTTGTGTTTATTCAATTTAAAGCAGTCTACTTTTTAGTTATAATTAATTACATTTATTTAATTTTTTCTAATATCTTTATAAGCGCAAAATGGCTCAATTATGAGAAATTTTTCAAAATCAAAGTTCTTTGATGGAATGAAGAATTTCGAGCGTGCTACGAAAGTGTCGGATCATTGATATACGTTCTATTTTAAATATTTAAATTAAATTAATTTATTATTTAATGGCTAGGTAATAAATGATTTTTTAATGCAAACTCATTTTTTTTAAATATTAAAATGTATGCTTATTTTAACATTCTATATCTATTTTTATTAATACTTCAAATAATATTCACTATTTTTAACATTTGATTTTACATATATTACAGCTTATTTAATCGATAGATTTAAAAATATTTAATTACCAACAAAAACTGTGCTTTAATAATACTAATTTAGTATTAGACAACACAATTTAGACATAATATTAGAATATAAAATGAAACAGGTAGATACATATGAAAATGATTATTTGTCTGACATTCAGAAAACTATTATTTATTAGTTTTGCCAACATTAAAGTAATCATTCATCTGTGCATGTCAAAGTAATTTCAAAATATCTCAATTTCTACCATAATTATTCTTTTTATTAAGTTTTAAAAAATATCACATTAATATATTCAATAAATAATGTAATTTGGCTAATAAGCTACACAATTACAACTTTCAAATTCTAATTTAAAACTATTATCGTTTTCTTAGAAAATAGAAGCTGTATATATGTACATATATATATATATATATATATATATATTTTTTAATAATTGTATGAAAATGCATTGCAAAGTATCTCTTTATCATAAAGATTATTCAAATATTGCAGGTCAACATAACATATTCAATAGTATATTACAGTTTTTTAAGATGCTGAATACTATTTTGTATTTACATTATCTTTGTCACAACAAAACGTAATGGTAATGGCATTTACATATTGGTCAGTATGGATATTTTTTCTTTATATTCATATGAATACAGTGATTACAACATAGATCTACTTACTTGAACTTATGCATATAGAAAAATTGATACTATTTAGATTGAAGGATTTATACCTTATGCTACTCCATACAAAGTTGACAGCAATTTCAGAATAAACCTGTATATAAGTAATAAATATAAGTATAATTAATTTTGTCAACGAATCTTCATTGATTATACAATTTTTATTAAAAAATATAGATATCCTTGATAGTCACTTTTATCAATATGAATTCTTACACGATAATAAATGCTTCTATTTGAAAAAAGTACTTTATTGGAACATTCCCTTTACAACATCAGAAACAAAAAGATATTTATTATTCATTATAAATAATCTTGATATCAGCAAAGATGTGTGAATGTCATTGGATGTAGAGCCTTTTTATCTTAATAATGAATTCGTTATATCTGTTGGGTAAATATATATTTTTTAAATTTCATATTTTAATTTCAATATAAATTTGTAAATAAATATAGTTTTTGCATATAAAAAAATTAATACATGAATCATATTTTATTATATAGTTTTTCTATAAAAAAAAAAATCTACATAGAAATTGATAACATTAAGCATTAATTTAAAAATATTACCTATTTTCAATTAAATAAGTATTTTTTCAGAAATTATATTTTAAAACACTTAAAATAGATTAAATTACCATACTTTAATTATTATAAAATAATCCTAATTAAAAATTCTCATTTCTTATATGTGTAAATTTTGTTCAGGTATACATTTAACAATCAATCAAAATGTTATTTCATACATTTTTATTTTATACACTCAAGAAGATAAAAGTAAAACTGTAACAAATAAGTTTATAATGAACTCGTCAATTGATATTGTTAATCATAGTTTTTTTGTATCTAGATATTTGCTTACCTTTTGTAACAAATCTAATTGTAAGAAACAAATGTGATTTGTTTTATTAAGAAAGCACATTTAGGTAAGTACAGTTTAACATTTTGATAATACCCCTTTACATTTTATAAACCAAAATAATCAGTAATTAAATTCTAATTTTATTAATTTATACGTAAGTTAGTATTTAAACAATTTTAATATGAACACTGAAATATTTAAACAACAATTAATTGAATATACGAAATTATTTTGCACAAATGAGAAGTTTTTTTTTTGTCAACATTATAAATACCATATTCATCACAAATTGATTTATATTTCCTTGATTTCTGCATATGATAACCATATATCAACTATTTTTAATTTATGCTTCTTAATTATATATTAAATATAACTAGTAAATTAATACATTTATATACTAAGTATAAAATCGTATAAAAAATATAGCACTTATAAAGATTCTTTAAAAGTATTTTTATAACTAAATAACTAATACTAATTAATCGTTACGTACGTAGGTGATTGATATTTGTTATTTTTTTAATAAATTTTGGTACTGACAACTATTGCGGTTCGGTATAAGGCTGGTGCATAAATAAAAATTTTAAATATATGAATTATAAAAGATAGTTAATATAATTGATATAATTTATTTCTGTGAAAGATCAATAGACTAATAAAATATTGTAACTTATAATTGTTTATTTTTTAACTTCCAACCTACATACCATTCGAGTTCCAAATGCTTTTACCTTAATTTATTGTTAGTAATCTTAATATCTAAATAATTCAAATAATTTTTGTTAAACTAATAGTTACTGATAATAATAATTACTATTATTATTACTTAAATCAAATTCGTTATTATTATCTATATAGAGTGTTTTGAAAACAATTAACAAGCAATTTTATCATTTTAAAAATGAATTAATTATAAATCCCTTTCTCAATAGTTACTTCAATTATTATTAATTTTTTTAAAGTATTTAAAGTGATTAGTTTGTATTGCATTACTGTAGATATTAATGTCAAATACAGTTTTCATGAACCTGTATTATGCTGTGATTTTGTGTGATAATATTTATTAATGGAAAATAGACATTGTAAGGAGCTATGAAATTCCATTTCATATTTTATGGTGAGTTTAAAAAATTGTACTATAATTAAAGATTTCATATAAATATTTAGTAAAGTAACTATTAACAAAATTACTTACACAATTACATATTAATACTAGAATATATAATGACATAATTGAAATTTATTTAAAATATTAGGTATTTAAAATATTGTGTAATATTAATTTATTCCTTACTGGCTTTTTTAAAACATAAAAATTAAAAATAAATATATAAATTAGTAATACATTAAACAGAGTTTTCTGTTACAAATAAACTATATCATAAAACAGGAAATTGTTTAAATCTCAATATTTTATATCACAATATTGCATTGAAGTTGTTATACAAGACTCTTTTTAATAAATTTGAGTAAATAAGTCAACTAGGTTATAAATTAAAATTTTTCGAACAGAGTATTCTTTGAATACTTATTACTGGTAAATATATATTTATATTCAAATTTGTATAAACTTTATATTGTTTCAAAATTTTAATTATTTAAAATTTTAAATAAATAAAAATAATTCATACATTTTACACAATTTTGACAATATTTATTTTACTACAAGTATTTTTTATTGATAAAAAATTTTGTACATCATATCAAACTGTATGAAAATGATTAATATATTTTCATATTTCATAATTAGGAATAATAACGAAAAAATATATATAATAATATTTTGCTTAAACATTTTATTTCAATGATTAAATTATTAAAATAATAATTTTAATCATTTTTGCAATTGTTTAAAGTATTAATTTAGTTAAATACGTATATATTTAAATTTATTTATGTGAATAAAATAAGTATGTACTAAAAAAAGTAAAAATAAATTACAGATCAATCGTAATATTAATTAAAATTAAAACGAGAATATTCTTTTAATTATGATATTGAAATGCATTTATTGAGAGAGAAACTTTAAAAACTTACTGTAATATACTTCATGTACTATATAGTTTTAAAAGTCAAATTTTATTTAATGTTTTTTATAATTTATTTTTTATATAAAAAGTTGATAAAATATTTATGCATAGCTAAAATTACTTAAACGAGTTTTTATCCAAGTATCACCTGTATGATGGTTCTTTAAATTTAATATTTTGTCTAATAAATGAGTTATATACACTTCTATTTAAAATATAATATTTAAACTTTACTCAATTTTTTTTATCTAAAATATCATAGGTAGAAAAGATATATTATAATACAGTAGATTTGTAATATATTGTAAATAATTATATAAAATTACCATAAAATTACTTAAAATACAGTTTTTATATTTCAAAATATTATGTATTTTATTATAATTAGTATATATCATTTTTAAACTATTTTACGGGTAGTGTAAATAAACTAAATTTGTTAATTAAGTAAAATTACAAAAACATATATATGTATGTGTTAATTTTTCAATTTAATTTTACATTTTTAAAAAAAATAAGTTAAGCTTCATCATATACAGTCATAATTAACTTTTTATCAGTTACAATTAATTTGCATCAATATTTTCCATGCAATTTATAATTTAAGCTGGATTTTTTTTATACAAAATTTATTGCTATTCCTGGTAATCTTTATTGTTTTCTTTCTTCATATAAATCTTATAGTTCAAACTAATTAATCAATCATCCTTACACCTTTATACAACTACCAACCATAATTTATAAATACAGCAGGTTAACGTTTGAATTTAATAAATTTAAACAGAAAATATTTGCATCACTTAACATGTACATCTATAAGTATATTTAAAACGAATTTTCTAATAATAAATCTTTATTTATACCAATAAATGATAATTAAAACATTAAATTACTAATCGTGAAGTAATGTATAATATATGTAATGATCACTAATTATATAAACCTTATATAATTTATTAGTTTTATATATATATTTTTCATTAATACATAATGAATTCTTTGGTTAGTTTTATAATTCTTATATTAAAACTATCTAAAAATTTAATCTCAAAAAATCTAATATTTTCTTATACAAATTCTAAGATTAAACTATATATTGAAACTATTTAATAGTTTAATATTGTATAATTTTTTAAAATTATTTTAACCATGAAGATTTAATTTTCATTCGTTAATCGATTCGTTATATTGATATTTATATAAATTAAACCCTAAATAATTATATCTTTGATCATTGCATATATAAAAATATTCAATCAAAATATTTTTTGGGAAATCGTGAATAAAAATATTTTGAGCACATAATACCTTACTACTATTAGGAGAAATTTTATAACAAATGCTAAGTCAATTTATGCACTTCAAAAAGTCATGTATTATATAAAGATATACTGATAAGTATGCAAAAATGTGAATAGTAACATTTATTAATATAGTTCAAATCATATATAATAGTATAATAAAATGAAAAAAAAATTCATCGATAGATAATTTTACTTAAATGTATGTATTCCCTCTTTAAGTATTTCAGTAAAACATTAAATATTTTTTATTTTTTATTTTTTAATTATTTTTATTATTTTTATCATTTGGAACATACCCATAAAATTATTTAAATTTAAATCGACTCTCAAAATAAATGTTTTCAATTGATTTAGTCATTTTATATAAGTTTTTTAAATAAACTTATTTCCAGCTTATATTTTTTTGTATATATCTATTAGATAATTTTCATATATTTCTAATGTATTTCAAAATATATTCTATGCAAACGTGCTATTTTGGATTCTTAATTGCATACATTTTTTAAACATTTTTATTCCTAAAATTATATAAATTTTTATTATAGCATTTTAATTACTATTAATATCTTATTGTATTTTCAATAATATTTGACACATTCTGATACTGTTTAACTCTTCATTAATATATGATGTAAATTGCGATTGCTATCATTCATTTTATAATTTTGAAGGAATTAGTAAAATACCTTTGAACATGTAATAAAATGCTTTTAAATAAAGCATGAAAAATAAATAATTATATATTACTGAATATATTTTTATATTCAGTTTTAATATATGATATATACTATGTATACATTTAAATATTATATTTACAAAATAGTTATGAATATGAAGTTCTTCAATAATATTTATTAACAAGAATTAAATTATTATTGTAATAAAAAAGATATTTTGAATATCTCAAATTTATTAAAAATCAATCAAATGTAAAGATGTACCTTGTATTAATACTTCCAACAACAAATATCCAATGTGAACAAATATGAATGTTATGTTTCAATAATATAATATTTTTATTAGATTATATAAGAAAAAAATTTTTATTTTTTCTTTAAAAATGATTTTAATAAGAAATATTTTCTTCTATTTAATATTTACTTTAATTTTTAAAATATGACGGCATAAATTTGTAAAAATTTTCTATATTTTCTTTAGTAACTTATAATTTTTTCTGTATAAGTAAAATTAAATTGTATTTAAAATTTATTTTTAAAAAATCTATATTTTATTATATATTTTGATAATTTGTTCATTCTTAGCAATATATTTACTCCATCACGTTATATTTAAAAGATATTTTCTTATAATAAAATAATTGTGTATTTTATTTAGAAAATCTTTTAAAATAGTGTATAAAATTTGATATAATTCTGACCTTACGATGCCCACTGCTCTAACTCTTTTAAATCATCGTCTTCTTCTTGTTTTGGTTCTATAAATTTATATTGATTAAATATTAAATATAAATTAAATAATTAATTCAATACTTTATGAATAAATAAATTACTTGTTTTCTTTGCAGGTACATTAGGAAAAGTTGTTACAGGAACTGTTGGTAATTCATCTGTATTCTGTATACCCAATAATTCTTTGTCAAGTTCTTCTTGCTCTAATTCTTCTAATTCTTTCTCTAGTTCATCTTCATCAATATCTTGACCAAAAGCAACAGGATTAGAGATTGCATCAGATATTTCCTTTGCCACATCTTGTTGTTCAGCAATATCATCCATCATATCATGAACTTGATCAACATCCCTAAAATTATAATTTAATAATAATTTTTTAAATAAAACAAATATATTAGATTTTTAACGTGAAAGAATTAATTAATAGTAATTTTTTATCAAAATTAATTTATTATATATTATTAGACAAATTTTCTCACATATGTTGATGTGCAGCTTTTAATGCATCTGCTGCATTTTTCATTGTGGTGAGAACAGCGGTATTTGTGTTGGCACTTTCTAATGCTTCTCTCTGCATTTCAATCGTTGATAATGTTCCATCAATTTGTTGAAGTTGTTTTTCATATCGTTTTTTTCTTTTCAGTGCCTGAATAGCAGCTGCAATATACAATATATATATATATAATTTATTAATATTAAGCATTAAATTTATATAAAAAACCATAAATCAATAAAATCCAAATTAATTTATCTATGAACATTAGAATTATGTGTAATATTTTAAATTAAAAGATAATTATAAACATTATAAATGTATATTATTTTAATTTATTTAAGATAATGTGATAACTTATAACAATTACAATCTCAAAAATTTTAAGTAAGGATTTAAGTAATATATGTTTTCTATTTCAAAATATAAACTGGTCGATTAATAATTGATTAGAAAACTATTTGATAATTACAATAGTAATGATAATTGCAGAATAAAAAATTTTGTTTTAATTAAAATGAAATATTAGAAATATTTAATGAAATTAATTTTTTTATAATTAAGCATCATATTTAATAATATACAAAATGGATACAAGAAACTTTGTAAATGATCATAACACACATTAAATCTGTAATATAAATATTCTCAATAAAATATTATTGTAATTTGTTATGAACAATTTGATTAAATTAAGTGATTATAATTTTGAGAAATTTTTAAACTCGTTACAATTGACGATTGATGATAGTGAATAACACCACTAACGTCGTAAGTCCCAGTGGTAGTTAGAATCAGTATTCTCAAGATGATGACAACAATGGCAAAGAGAAAAAGTTCCTTCGTGTACCTCGCTTGTTTTTGGTGCCGTTCTTTCTGGCTGTCAGTATCTCCTGCTCAATTTTGCTTTCAAGGAAGTCTTGCTTTTTTATAAGCATTTCCTCTGTCTCTCGGAGTTTTTGTATTGCTTCGGCGGTTGTAGGAATAGATGAATCTTTTTTCCCGCCGAAGACTTTCGTGAAGAAACTCATATTTACTGTGTTTGACAAATTTATATTATTTGTTTTAGCGAATCAAGTTTTTTTATAAATTTTATCTTAAATTAAAATTAAATAATTATATATTTATATAACAAAATTTTTTTATAAAAATACTTATTGACAAAAGTACTAGGCAATTATTGGCTATGCTTCTTCCATTCTTACATTATACCATTACCTTCTAATACTCGAACGATGAATGCGAACCTACTCAAGTAGACGTCATGAAATGATTTAAAATAAAAAATGAAACAAAGCACATGGTGCCATCTACAGTTGTAACTTCTTTTTCTATGTGGCTACTATTAAATTGAGCCAATGAAACTTCAACGACGCAAAATTAAAAATAGTATCAGAATCGTTTTAATTAGGTTTTCAATATTATATCTTTTATATTATATTATGTACGTAATTTTAATCAATATACAAAATATAAATATTAATATTTTCAATATGAAATATTTATTGTTCAAATATAAATAGTGCAAGCAAAAACTATTTAGTTATATAAAATATTTAGATATATTGATAAGTGTGTATCTATTTTACTCACTGTTTCATTTTTATTCAGTTTAATTTTCATAAAGATAAAGATTCTTCAAATATTTTCAAGGAATTTTTCTTGATGTTTAGCAAACTAATTTAATTTAATAACTATAATTTATAATTGTTGTTTAGAATATTCAATTATTCAATAAGAATACTTGTACGTTTGTGTTCACAAATTCATGTCATTAGTGCATAAATTACCATTATAAAATAATTGGTTTGATTATTTTTATATACGAATATTACGAATTTTATTGTTTATTTACATATAGATTAGTCAAAATAAACCTAAAAAGCTTTTTTGCATTAAATTAATTAAATATAAACAGCTCAAGTAATGAATTGATATTTTAAAAATTTTATTTTTAAAAAAGAATTGTGTATAATTATTTTTGAAAATATAAAACATATATTACATACAAATATATATTCATATTTATATTTCATTTACATATTTAAAAAAAAATAATAAAAACTTTTTTGCACAGACACTTCAATAAGTAATAAAATTAGTAGATTTTTTGGTTATTATTGGAAATAAAAATATAAATATAAAATACGCTTACACATAAAAATAAATAAAAACTGCACGCAAATATAAAAACATTTGTTTTTAAACTCAAACTTTGTTTAATAATAAACGACTGTATAAAGTTCTGATTAATAAAAATATCCATCAACTTAATTGATTTAATTATTACTTTTTAATTGTACATAAACTAGATTTATTGATATATTATTAAATTTCATTATTTATATAATTAAAGTATTCAATTTTTCATCTGTATGCTTCCTATATGATAATAATTGTTAATAGATTTATTAAATTAACAACAAAAATTAATATGCAAAAAATAATGTAAATAAGACAATATCATATTAAATTATAATAAGAATTTAATTATTTATTTTATAAAAATATTATAAAATAAAATATAATTTTATAAAAATATTGAAAAATTATTCATAAGAATAAAATACCTCAGATTAAAACGAATCTAAAATAATAAATGTATTAATATAAACTTAGCAACAATATAAAAAAATTAATTTTCAATTATTGTGAAGTACTTCTTGAAAATCATCATTCTAAGAACCTTTCAAACTATAAATACACTGGTAAATACAATATAGAGATAGGTAAATACTTAAATTAAAAACAATATGAAATACTTACGATTTTATTAAAGTTTTAAAATTTAAGTATACAATACACATGAATAATTAAAAATAAAAACATAAAATGAATCGTTTCAAATAAGCTAGAATAATTTAAATTGTGTAAAATTCGTTAAATAATAATTCTTAAAATTAAATTTTATAATATCTATTTCACATATCGAATATTAGACATTATTAATAAAAATTAAAAGATTTAAACATTCTTATTTATAATTAATAATTATATTTCGCTTTATTTTCATATCTCGTATTATTTAATATTTAATATATCATTATAATTTTAATCCATTAATTTTATCATCATCGTTGGATACTTGATTTTCAGCATTTTTTATATGTTGTGTCAAAGCATCAGCTAATGATTCGATCGCCTTGTACATTTCGCATTTTGGTGGTACCAAACGAACGAAATCTCGACGATCAAAACGTAATACTTCACATACTTCTAAAGCAATCGCAGTTGTTTCTCGTTTATGTTCGTGTTGAACCACTGCATTTTCACCAAAGAAATCGCCATCATTTACATGACATATCTATAGTAAAAGAAAAAAAAATAAATTAAACTTCTCAATATAATATGAAATTTATCTTAATAAAAGTTTCCAAATAACTAAAACTAAAATTATAAACATATATAATTAAAAACGGTAGATTCATTCCAAGTAGATATATATTATATTTTGTCATAACTCAGGATTAAAGTTTGAATAAAGAAAGATGTAACAAAAAAAAATGTTTAATTGTCAAAAATTGTATCTAATTTTAACAAGAATGACACTTGTATAAAACTAAAAATAATAATTTCCAAAAATATTTTTATCAAAATTAACATAAATAAATTATTTTCATGTAAAAAATTGTTGAATTCCTGTAAAAAGTTATAATATAATTTAAGTATATTTATTATTATTAAGTGTTATTTATTATATATTAAAGATATAAATCATAAAATAATTTTTCAATTCTATTATGTAATTAATTATTATTATAATTCTTTATGTATTTAGAATTTTTACATACTCTGTCATATTCTTTATTATTTATTTTATATATCTAATAATACAATTATTTGAAAAAATTTCATAAAAATTAATTATTTCAAATCTTTAATTTAATAATGATTTTTATTTATATAAAATAAGTGTTTAACAATTAAATAAAACTTTTTCTAAGATTTTCAAATAAATGAAAAACGCCAATAATTTATTGAGGTGCGTTAGAAAATTAACAAATAAAATATATTTTAATTAATTAATAATTACTTCTTTTCCAGAATAAGTGATTAATGCAACTGTACCCGTAATAATAAAATACATACATTTTCCTTCAATATCATATTTGTAAATAATGTCATCTTGAAGAAATATTTCTTGTTTTAAAACGCCTAAATGTAATATAAAAGTTTATTTAATATTAATAATAGCGGAGTTCAATCATTAGTTAAAATGATAATTACCAATGATGCTATTTAGAAAACTACAAGATATGTTATTAAATAATAAAGTGGATTCAAATAAAATACTGCTACTGTATTGGGTAATTTCACGTTTTAAATGTTCTAAAAATACATAATATATTATTATCATTATTATTTGCTTCATATCATACAAATTTTGCTTTACATTATAAACATTTCGACATACGATCATCGTCGGTTTTCTTTCCGTTATAAGAACCGACAATAATCTTCAAAAAATATTTAATGGAAGTATCGCATAAAATACTTAATATTCTTATAAATTCTTTATTAATTAATTGTATTATAAATACATCGATTATATTTATTTCACAAATAGATGTATATCGAATATATGTAATTATAAATAAAAAATTAAAAATTATATTATTAAATATTTTAATTTTAAATTAATTATTTTTAATACTAACAATGTTTATATATATAATTAAATAATTATTAAAGAATTAAAGTTTAAATATTACTCTGTACTTTGCATTACTGTAATACCGAAAGTGATATGTTAAACGAATATTTAGGCTAATATTGATTCTTTTATCGTCTAACTGATTAATAGTCATTTATAAGTTGATTTATAACAATTCTAAAAAGTGCAAAAAATTATATTAAACTTTACAAGATATAAAAATAATTATATATTTTCATTTTGTATCGACAGAAGCTATAACGGATAAATAATTGATTATCGAGGTAATATGTATTTACATGCTTAAGAAACTTTATACTTATAAAGAATTTTTAATAGTTTTTCATTTATTGATTTATAAAAGCAAATTTAAAATTCTTTAAAAATAAAAATTTTAATGTTTTTAAAAAATCGAATGACATTTAATAAATTACATTGAATATTCTTTCCATACTATTTTTCATACTTATGTAAGTCATAGAAACATTACCCTTATGTATTATTCTTGATAAAAATGCAATATAGAAAGTATATACATATATGTATATATATGAGAATATAAGTAGAATCAACAATAGTGAAAAAAAATATATATATACTTTCTGTATTGCATTATTATAAAGAATAATATACAATAAATTATATGTGAGTGGATGCTTTTATAAATAATTTAAAATGTGTCAGAAAATACAAAATATACGAAATGGGGTTAGGCAAAAAAAAGATAAGTAATATTAATGTAATCGAAAGCATTATTATATAGAATTAAATTTTATAAAGATAATATAGTTTGTTCTCGTACAATTTCTTTTTAAATTTCTATTGCGTAACAATCCATTTTTTAAATGTTATTGTTCTGCAGTCCAATCTGTAATCCAATATTTGAATATTTTACCTGTGCTTATAAAGGGTGTTCCTAAAGTTATGCGTGAAACTTAATTTTTAGTACATATTAAATTTTAAATGAAAAATAATTATATTAATAGTTTTATTATGACTTCCAAAATGTTTTAAATTTTTCTAAAGAATAAATGTTTGACCTTTCGTAAAAACATTAAGTATTATTATTATTATTTTACTACATTGAGCCTGTTATATATAATTGAAATTTCATTTGGTTCAAAGTATGAGCAGGTACTTGAAATTTAAAAACTTATAAAAGTAAAAGAATAAATAAAATAATACTAATACTTCAATATGTATATGAACAATGAGCCATATAAAATTATGTAAATAAAAATAAACATTCGAATCAAGTCTTAAAATAATTTCATTAATAAAGGTAATAGAGTGACAAATTAAAGTTACACAATTTTTTAATAAAATTATTACTAATTTTATATATTATATATATTCCACAATATAATCCAATGAAAACAATCTTAGTAGCATAAAGTTGCTATTTATTAACAGGCAAACTAAGCGTGTAAGAATATTCACAATATGTATTTAAAAATTCTTCTAACTTTTGTAAATTACATTTCTGGTAATATTCAACCTTTCAACGCTTTAAAATATTATTTTAATATATAAATAAATTAAAACCTTTAAAAAATACTATGTAAATTTTCATAACTCACTCGAAAGTGTAGATGTTATAGCTTTTTCCTTAAATAAACTACCTTGAAACCGATGTTCATAAAAATGTAATAACCTCTCTTTCAATTTTTTTGGTAATCTTTTATTATTAATATAATCGTTTACTCCATTCATTATTGACTGATACTTAAGCTCTGGTTCAACTGAAGACTTTACCAATTGTAGTATTATAACTAAAGACAATTACATAAGCATTATTTCTGTTATTCATTTTTAGTTAAATTCATATTCTAAATCCAATATAAAAAAAATAATCCAGCCCAGTTAATTAAAAGAATTTTTTAAATATCAGATTATACAAAATTTCTAGAGTTTATTCATAGATACCTATTACATACAAGAAGTAAGTCATACCAAATAAAAGTAATATACATCGTGTTATTTTATCGGGTAAATCTGTAAATTTAAACTCAGTAAAACTGTAGCTGCATAGATTTCCACCACCAATATATAAACTTGTTAAATAAATAATCCAGTCAGGTTTTTCGTATAACTTCGTTTTAAATATATAACCTTCTCCTTTCTAATAAACCATTTTAAATTATTTAAAACAAGGGTTGCATTTCAATATATTTGCTAATTAAGAAATATCCATTTTTAAAGAAATTATTTGAATTAACATTTTATATAATTGAAATAAAACTATATTCAAACAAATTTTTATCTAAAATAATATTCCAAATTAAAAAATGATTTATTGAATATTATTTAATAACTTGAATACAAATAATCTAAATCTTAAATTAAAAAAAAATTAAGAAAATATCGTACATTCATAGTAGTTTTCATAATATAAGCATAAAAAAATGGAAATGCATAAGTGAAACAAGCAGACCAATGGAAAATTAAAATTGTTAACCAAAAGATCCATACTCCATGTTCATAAACTCGAGATGCTTCACAAGCCTATAAAATAATATAACAGTTTTTTAGTTTGTTCGAATAATTTATATGCCTAAGTTGCAGAAATAAACGAAAATGCTTAAATAAAATAAATTAAATAATTATCAATAATTTTTAAAATAAATAATGTATATCTACTAAAAACTTCAATTTATATAAAGTAAATAATAAAATACCAACAGAATTTCTTTGATATAATGACGTAATGTACACAGTCGAAATAATTTTAAAAGAGGAAGCATTTCAAAAAAAAGAAGATAAAGTTGATCGCCTGATCCTGGATTTTCAAGACGATTTTTATGAAGCCATACGTAAGGAATAGATGATGTTAAATCAATAAAAAATAATCTTCCAATGTAATGTCTGAAATTATATTGAATAAATTTTAATAATCCGAATATATGTTAATCAATGTAAAATAATAATAAACTAAATCAAATTCATTAGTTAAAAAATAAAACTAAATTTCAAATCTATATATTTATGGTTTATATGTAATATAAATATAGAATGTAAATACAGTCAATATAATAATATATTAATCTTAAAATTAAAAAGGAAAAGAGCATTGTTCAGGATTGTTCCATACAATAAATAAAATTTAATTTCATAGAATTTTATGAAATTAAATTAGAAAATTCGGTACGAAAAATTCTCTGAACAGTTACAAGCTTTGCCTAAGAAAGTCTTACAATTTATCCGCATAGCAACTAAAGAAAATTCTCAAACCGACTAAAGCTCACTTTCCGAGAATTTGACAGAATTTCCCAGAATTGTAACATCTAAATCTTCGCCAGCATATAAATTCGAACAAATAAAGTCGAAACAAATTAGTCTTGTTGAGTGAGTCAAAGTGAAATAGTGCAGATCACATCTAGTAAAAGTTCTACACGTCTGTCTACGGGAATCTGTGCAAGGTATACTTATTTGTTAACATTATTTATTATCTATTGTTGGCTAGCTATCGGTGCGCCCTCCGCAAGCTGTCTCTTGTGAGACCGCTTTGAGGGCGACGATATAGCCTGGCATCACCAGCACAGTATTCTTATAATTATTACGGCGTGACGCCTACATTATCGATGAATTCTCTGTAACATGATTATTATCAGACCGCTAAAGAGGGCGCCTATTGGCCACGCGTCTCTCGACAGCTTAACTCCTAGAATTACTGTTACGTTTCGCTGGTACAATATAGTGCCGACAAAGAGAGAGCTTAACACCTAGAATTACTGTTACGTTTCGCTGGTACAATATAGTGCCGACAAAGAGAGAGCTTAGCTCCCAGAATTACTGTTACGTTTCGCTAGTATAATAAAGCGCATACAGTACAAACAGACCAATCTCGCCTTGCACATCCGGACGACGATTCGATAGTTGTTCTGCCAACTGTCAGGATCACGACGAGTTCAACAATTCTGACAACAACTGATAACACCAATGATCAATTGTAACATAGCCTTAAATAAAAGTCACTAAAAACAATTGTGCTTATACTGAATTGATGCATTAATCTCTCACCCCCCCCCCATTTCTACCATTAAACCAGTGGTACGGTCTACCTCTTCAGGTGGCTGGAATTCCAAACATTTGGTTTTTCAATCTGGATGGTAGAGCTAATACACTACTTCGGTGTTAAAACAGGGAATGACGTGTCATTTATCTAAGAGAACGCCAATAAAAACCTTTGCTGTTTCAAAACTACTATTACCGACTGAGTTTTTTCGTTACAACACCGAGTGTCATCTCGTAACAAGGCATCATTTCGTTGGAAAGCAGTGAATTGGTTCTTCTCCTAGGATACTGATTCATCATCAAGAAAATGCTAAACCTCGAGAAGGAACCCGAGAATTCCACGAGCTCTGATACACCGATAACCACAGAAGCAGAAAACCGCATGACTCGTAGCACCACCGCTGTGCGATCATCCAGCGGCTCACGTTGAAATCTCAAGGGCAATGGAATTGCATCACAGCGAGTAAGGAGATAAGGGAAGAAATTCCAACTTCCCATTTGAAATAGCACCTTAGAAGAAGTCCAAGGGGCACGAAAACGAGTCGACGAGCTTCACAAAGCGTTTAATAAGGAACAAGCCTAGTTAGAGGAATCATGGTCAGTAGCCTTGCTACATCCCGAATACTTTACAAAGAATGCGCAAGGATTGCGGAGACCTCAGCTACTCAATAACTGTGCAGCTCACGCTTTCAGTCATTCAGTCACTCACTCACCGACTCACTCATGTTGAAGTCACCAAGAAAAGGGGAAGTCCCCTCAGCTGTGTCCGAAGAAAGCTTAATCATGTAATTTTCACAAATAACAAAATGCGTCGGCATCGTCTACGACCCTCCTTCCTGTAGGTCACACGGTATCTCCAGCAGCCAGTACGGGCCCATGGAGGTTTTAGTCCGCGCGAAGCGACAGGCCTGCGTTGCTCCTTCAAATTCATACCGTGTTGAGCCTGACCTATAATAGAAGCCCCTTGTACCTAAGAGCACGACGTAGTCACAGCTTCCCCACGTGTAACAACTCGAATAAGTGCCGATAGCTTTACAACCTCCTACATTAAAACGAAGTGCCCACTAACGCCACGTTCTAATCACCAAAGAATAACAAGGGTTCATCTATAAGTTCATCAACAATAATCATCCCTGTATTTGGAAAATAGTGGAACTCAAGAGCTACAACCGCGTACAAGCCGCTCTAGACAAGTTGCGCCGACAGCCGAAAGGTATAAGAATTCGCGATTGTACGTTCAATCCCACCTGGATCAACTCCTTGCCAACACATCACGAATACAAGATGAGGCTGAATCCCAAGAAGACCTCATTCGTGACGCAAAGACCACTAAAAGGGCTGCAACAACTAGAACTGGAAAGCAACTCGTGGGACTGCACAACTGTCCATTAACTAACGCAAAAACTCACTCAGCGTACAAGAAAACAATGGGAAAAATCACTGGGCAAATCCAACACCTATCTCAAGTTCGAGCCATTAAAAAATATTTATAATGACGAGAGTGAGAGCGTTAAAAAAAAAAGAGTTGCTACAATAGGAAGTCGTACCCAGATACAATCACCGTTGCAACGATTTTCCATGGCCAACGAGATGTTGGTAATTAATTAATTACCAGCAGTAGGATTTGTGCCTGCATGTCCCAAATTTAAGCAATTGTCAGTCACGGAGAGAAAACGTTCAAAGAAGCACAGCGACTATGTTCCTACTACTTTAACGCTCCACTCCACTTATAAGTGCACCACTTCCAGAAATTGCAACAGGTACTCTGAGCGGCGTCATACGCGAACCTCGATGCGTGCTTGCTTTAAATATTCACGCGGCAGCTTCATTATCTGGCAACAATGGATAGGTGTTGCTATGCGGATACTAAATAAATATGGAAATATCTGCTAGGAAAAAGCTTTAGAAGTTTCGAGAATTTCGGGAAAGTAAAGCTTTTGAGGTTAGGGGATTTCCAAAAACATAATGTTTAGAAAATGCGAGAATTATAAGGATTATAAATTTTCGTGAGCCAAAAGTCTTGGAAAGTGCTCCAATCCTGAACAACAATGTATAAACTATTATAGAAATTTTGAAGTAAAAACAAAATTACAGCTATTTTAATTGTATTTAATGGTATACAAATTCATGATAACAACTAAGCAATGTCAGGGAAAGTTGAAAATGAATTAATAAAAAGTATTTTTCAATATACTATATAAAAAATATTTTATAATAAATTATTGGTATATGTTCATATACAATATTACCAAAATATATTATTAATTTTCATTCTTCAAATATCATTCTTTAATTAAGGTCAATTGTTTATAAAATAAATGATTTTTAGTAATGATAAGTATGTTTTTAATATTGCTGATATTACTACCTTACATGAATATTGTTTTTTAAAAAATAAAAACACTAATTTTTTAGTTCATATTTTCGGTTATTGATATTATCAATATCAATCACTATTTGGATTTTATAATAAACAAAAAATAAAATCAGTTTAAAACGAACAATCAATTGTACGCAAAACTGACGTTAAAATAGTTAACTCTATTTACAATTCGATTAATAAAACTTTTTCATTTTTAATAAAATTTTTTTATTGTTCAACGATAATGATGTTCTACGTAACTTCAATATCTAATAGTTATATGGTTGATATAAGATATAAGTCTATAATTCGAACAGATTAAGTTGTCATATGCAAAATATATTATTGGATAGGCCATTGTACGGCTGTTATACAGAGTGTTACTATCCTTATGACTGTCCACAATAATATAAGGTCTTTCATTTTTATATATCTGTGTATATGGTTTTAGAAATTTTTTTATAAATTGTTCCAAATTATATGAAATAATTGATATTCACATCAGTAATGAAAAATTATTTGAATCTTGCTATCAGGGACCTTGATTAATTTTCTGAAATAAACTAATAAACTCTGAAATGTACTTAATGAAGTACATTAACATAATTAAAATCCATATGTTATAATACTGATTATATTTTTACTAAATTTTATTAAATCATATACTATATATAGTAGACATCACTTATATTGATATTGTTAATCGTACTTTAGGAATTTTACACTTCTGATAATTTTAAATTTATTTGAAAATCGATTATTATTTATAGTTTTATTGCCAGTAATAATGTATTTTCTTGATGAAGATGTTTGTATATTTTTTTTCTTCATAATATAACTTTTATCTGTTTTGAAGAATTTTTTAAATACGTGACGCGTGTCCTTATATTACCCAACAACAAGATACAATATATTTAAAACGAATTGCTAAATTTATTTAGAAACGTATGAACAAATACCATCATTATGTTTTCGCTAAATCGATAAATCTTAATATTTGTTGGACATTCTACAAAGAAATTTTATCTATATTGAATAAAATCTTTAAAGTATCTTAAAAAATATCACAGCTGTACAGATTTTAAATGTAATTTTAATTCTAATAGTTAACAAATGAATATACATTCATTTCAATAGAGCTATTTTATATATACATTTGATTTATTTATAAATAATTATAAATAATTAATTTTATATATCAATAGACACATATATAGTTTTATTAATTTTTTAATATCACTTTAATGTAAATATACAAAATTATAACTAACTTTAAAATTACTAATGGGTCAATAAATATTTCATGACCATCAGGAGATATAAATCCAGTAATAAAATTAAAAAATATATCAATCAAACATAGAATAAAACCAGGTGTTAATATGTTAAACTTATTTATAATATCTGATTTATTTTTTGATAGCCAATGAAAAGATATCATATGTGGAATCATAAAAAACATATATAAGAATGTAAAAGCCATAATACTATCCCAAGCAAATCTGAAAACATAAAATTAAATTATGAAATAGATATTTAAATTGTTATGTAAAATAGTCATGGGTAATTTATTATCTAGTTATTAATTATATTTTAGAATTCAAGAATTTTTATTTTAGAATTATTATTGCATTCTAGATCCAGACGCCACAATTTCTGTGCTACATCTGCTCCAAGACGCCACTGCACCTTGAATCTCGATAAGTACTATAGCGCACACGACCAAGACACACTGAGGTATTGAACCATTTTTCATACTTTCTTACATCAAGAGGAGAGTCACAATTAAAACACCAACACGTGGTACTATACAAGGAGTGTCCAGAGATTCACGACCTCTCACTTTTTAGTATTGTAATCCTCCATCAAGCGCACTACTCCAAGAAGACCCGGAGATTTACAATCTCCAACCTCGACTTGCAGTATATGCTACCTACACGTGTAAAGCCACTAAGGAACGGAAAAAATCTCAACGATTCTTACCATCAACGTAGAATCAGAAGTGTGTATTTGTAAATTAAAACTCAATAAATAGCACAACAGGCAATTGTGTTAATTAGTGAATTGAAGCATTAACCTCTCCCTATTCACACTTTTCCACCAGTAAAATGGTGGACATGGTCTCATCCAACCATTTTCGTCCTTTGACTACCGAATGGCCAGAATTCTGAACATTATTTTTGTTTACACAATCACCCCTGTTTTATATTTATACAATTATACCTTCATTGCCTGCTGTAAAAAAGCACAGAAGTATCTCATAGTTTTTTATTGTTTAATTTACTCATCGCATAACTAACTAAAAAAGTGAATATTCTTTATAGAACATTTTAGAAAATATCATCCCTATAGTAATAATGTAAAATGATTACTCTTGTCATTCAATAAAACATCATGGAATATTTGTTAATCAGAACTTTAACAATGTTTAGTGTAATAACATATCTTGTCATATGCTTCTACTGATATATCTTCATTTGATATTTTAGGATTTTACATCTTTAGATTCCTTTCTTAATTTCTATTATCTATTTTATTGTAAGAACAGTTATAACTATCTATCAAGTATTTTTCGATTGTCCCTTTGTTATAGTCTATGAATAAACTGTGTTATTAATTTTAGTATATTATATTTTCAATTTCACTACTTTAAATTAATATGTTTTAGAATTTATTTAAAATGATTTAAATAAAATTTTGCGGATGATTAATAAATAAAATGCATGAAATACATGCTTTATTATTTAATTACTAGATTGTTTCAAATATTATACTATTTAAAAATATATAGAATATATTTTTGGAGATAATTTAAATTTATATTTAAATAACAGTTTTCAATATATATTATAGAAATAAATATACTAACCGAAAATGACTACATGGATGAATAATCCACCAGTTAGATGACATTCCATGTCTATGTTTTTCAAGAGCTATTGCAGCTTTACTTCGTAAATAAAAGCGTGTTAGAGGATGATTCGTCGAAACTAAAACATTTTTTTGTAATCGTCTTTTAAATCGTGCTATTAATTCGGCGTTTGGTGGAAGCTTAAGCAAATGACTTTCTGAGTTTTTTATCAAATCACAAATGTGTTGTATAGATTTCAATTTTTTCCAATGAAACATTTGTTGTATGAATTTCATAAATATCTTTATAAACCATCGTACATAATACAATATATTTAATATAAAATAATAAATTCGATAGTACATAATACAATATATTTAATATGAATGAATGAATTCGACAGAATATAATACAATATATCTAATAAACCTATCAAAATGAGCAAGATTTAGATTACTACTATTTATAAAATGTTACAAACTGCAAGAAAAATATGAATTTTTTTATTAATAGATATAAAAGAATTTTTAATTAATAAGAATAATCTTGAATTTTAAACTTCAAATAGAATTTAGTTATACAAATTCAAATAAAAAGTTTCAAGAATTCAAGAAATTAATAATAATGCACAATTATATATTGTAGTCATAATTAATATTCATAATGATTTATATGTATTTTTAGCATCTTCTGTTAATTATTTTAGTTTTTTCAAAATAGTAATTAATTTTAATTTAAGAAATTAATTACTATTCATTAAATATTGAATGCACTGTAATATTTCTCACAATACATTCTCCCAATAATTTTAATACTTTTACTTTTTTAGATTAATATTATAAAATAGCGAATAAGAAATTAAATATTTTTTATGCATTTTTCAAATTGAATTAAATTCAATAAATTTATTTATTTCAATTAAAAATTGAGTCGAACAATAATTAATCAGTACAGAATTTCAAAATTTGGCCAATATGTTACGGGGATATTTTATACAAAGTGGTAACAATTATTTTTTATAATTATTAAATCCCTGATTTGCGGGGTACAGACGACGGGGTTAGACGAAGCGAAAAATTTTTTTATCAAGGATTTAATATTTGACTGCATATTATTTTTTTAAAAAATCGAGTTTTTATTATAGTACATCATATATTGATCTTCTTTCACATAAATACTTCAATCTCTACTTTAATATTTTAATTATTACATAACATTGATTACAATAACATAAAAATTTCATCTTAATTAAAAAAAATATTTCATTTAAAAGACATAAATTTATAATTGGTCCATTTTTTCCCTTATTATTTATGACAACGGACTGTATATTTAAATATATAATGAAAGTTTTAAAAATGGATTTAATTGATTTAATCTATACGTATATCTGACTTTTCAACAAATATTTATTTTTATTATTTACGGTTTATTAAAATATAAAAAATTAAATTTTATATATTTAAGCATTAATTAATATGAATTTTTACTCAAAATAAAAAAAATTTTATACATTACATAATATACAATTAATTATATTCTTTCAATTTCTTTTTTTAATATTATATTGTTTTTCTGCAACGAAATTATGTAAAAATAAATAATATGTCAATAATTGAATGAAATCAATTAATAGTAATACATGAAATAAATAAATATATTATGCTAATATGATTACTTTTTATCAAAAATATGATATATATTATTTTTAAATATTGACTGAAATATAATTATTGTAGAACTTATATTTAACCACCATGATTGTTTGTTTAAAATTAACATTGAAATTGGATTTTTGCAAGAACCAATGAACCTAAATTACCGTTGCACATGCGTTAAATGAGTATACTAGTTTTTCTAAATGTGGCAAGTATGCATTCGATTTTAATATAATACATTAATGAATTATTAAAGTAAATGAAAAAAAATCACTAATTTTTTTTATAGAATATTAAGTAATGAAATATTAATATTAGTAATTACTTTAAAACATTTTATCCTAATTTCTCAAATTTGGAATCAAATGAAAGTATAAATTTCCTCGTTGAAACAATAAAAAAAAGAAATTTACCTAAAAAAATTAATTCAAATAAATCACAAATGTATTGCAGTTAAATTTATAAATGAAATATCTGTAAATTATTATGTTATAATTATTAAATATTTCTACAATGTTTATTAATATAAGAATGTTTTAACATCTTAATTTGCTTTAATCAAAATCGTATTTTGGTTTATTTAATTTATCTCATTGAATTTATGTTTTACTTGTGCTTACATGAGTTGATGTATTTAAATATTTAATGTAAAATTTCATGTATTAAAATACATTATATTGGCTAAAATAATATAATTTATTTAATTTTGTAATTTTGTATTTTTGTAATTTTGTAATTTTTATTATTGTAATTTTGTAATTTATTTAATTTTTTAATTTTGTTTTGTTGTTTGGCAATCTTTAATTTTGTAGGTATCATATATAAGTAAAATAGTAATTAAATAGTAATTAATTTAATTTTTAGGTTATTATTGTATTATGGAGAACATATTAAAGGATAAACGCTTCACATGTTTATTTAAAGATCCAAAATTTAGAAAAATTCCTAAAAGTGAACATAAAATAAAAATAGATGAACGTTTTAAGTTAATGTTTAAAGATAAAAAATTTGCTGTTAAATATACTATTGATAAACGAGGACGACCTGTTAACCAAACATCTTCAGAAAATTTGAAAAAATACTATAATATTTCAAGTGATGATGATTCTCCAGTTGAAAATTTAAAATCTAATGTTAATAAGAGTGTATTTGTTGAGCAAAAATTAAAAAAAAGTACTTCTGATATTGAAGCAAATGTAATAGAAGAAAGTCAAGAAAATTTTTTAACTAAGGATAGTATAGAAACTAATTTGGAAAAAAATGAAAAAAAAAAGCATATAAAAAAAAATAGGAAAATATTACAGAGTAATATAGATGAAAAATTACAGCAATTATCTGTAGATTATGCTAGAGGAAAGGGTATCTTATTATCTAATACCTCATCGGATGATGAAAGCTCTGATTATGAAGACGAAGAAAAAATAAATCATATCTGGGGTGAGTTAGATAACGAAATTGAAACAACTAATGATATCACTCATCGATTAGCTGTGTGTAACATGAATTGGGATAGAATAAGAGCAATAGATTTAATGGTACTTTTTAATTCGTTTTTACCCACTGGAGGATTGCTAATCAGTGTAACGATTTATCCCTCTAAGTTTGGATTAGAGCGTATGAAAGATGAAGAAATAAAAGGTCCTATTGAATTAAGAAATTGTGAAAATAAAAAATTTAATGAAATTGATAAAAATAATGACAGTGAAACTGAAAGTTTAAGATATAATATGGAAAAATTAAGGGAGTATCAATTAAATCGATTAAAGTATTATTATGGAGTCATAATTTTTGATTCTGCTAATACAGCTAATAAAATTTATACTGAATGTGATGGACTTGAATATGAATCGTCATCTACTAAACTGGATTTAAGATTTATTCCTGATAATATGATATTTGATGAAGAATCTAAAGAATTTTGTAATGAATTACCAGATCTAGTCAAGTATAAACCTAGGCAATTTATAACTACTGCTTTACAACAGTGCAAAGTTAATCTGACTTGGGATGAAACAAATCCTGAAAGACAAGAAATTACTCAAAAATTACTTAGTAAGAAATTTGATGATTTGGATAAAAATGATATTCAAGCTTATTTAGCTAATGGAAGTAGTGAAGATGAAGTTGAAGATCAAGTAAAAAAGCAGTTAGAAAAAATTGAATGTACAAGTTCACATGGTACGACAATTGATAAATATAAATTATTATTAAACTCTATTAAACAAGCAGAAGAAGATACACAAAATAGAGAAATAGCATTAGAATTTACATGGGGTTTAGATGTAAAAAAAAAAACAGATAAAGTTGTAAAAGAAAAATCGAAAAAAACAGATTTAACTCCTTTCCAACAATATTTAGATAAGCTTAAAACAAGAAAAGTTATTAAAAAAAAACAAAAAAGGAAAAATTATTCTGAAGATAATGTAGTAGATATATCTAATTTAAATCATGAATTTATTAATAGAAATGTAAATAATTCAAATTTTTCAGAGAAATTAAATATACAGCCAAAATTAATAAAACAAAAGGATGCTATAGTAAGCGAAGATTTTAAAAATAAAGAAAAAATAGAACAATCTCAATTAGAATTATTATTAATGGATGAAAATGAAGAAAGTAATAAATTTCATTTTAATATGAAAACAATAGAATTAGAATCTTTAAAAAAATTGAAGAAAAAAAATCTTCGTAAAAGAAGGAAAGATTTGAAAAAAGATGCAAGTAAAGATGAGTTTGAAATTGATGTTAGAGATTCAAGATTTAATGCATTGTTTACTTCTCATCATTATAATATTGATCCAGCTGATCCACATTATCGTAAAACCAAAGGTACAGATGCACTCATTCAAGAAAAATTAAAAAGAAGAATCAAATCTAATTCCGATATAGTAAGTATCTTTGATCTTTACAATTGATAAAAAAATTAATAGATTTACTTTGTTTCAGAGAGTTGCACAGAACACTTTCAATGAAGAGCGGAATTGTACACACTTTAAAATTAATACAGAGCTTAATGCTTTAATCAAATCGATAAAAAGAAATTCACAAAAATTTGAAAAACCCATAAAATGAAAGTATTACTTTAAAAAATGATGTTTTAACAGTTATATAATGTATTTCAACTTATTTTTGTTTTAAGTTATGGAATATTTTTATTATATATGTGTAATTATTTTACTTTCTCCCTAATATCTTATTTTCGAATTTATTAAAATATTTATTTTGTAACAATATGTTCTTAATTTAATAAAGAAGAAAATAATTAATCAAACCTCTTATAGTATGCATTATTAATTAATAGGTTATGTATAAAAATAAAAATATATTGTAAACAGTATATAAATATTGTATTTATCATAAAAAAATTTTTATTATATTAATTTAATAAGATTGAAATTTTCAGTGTTTGTATATATTTGTCGTTTTAAATAATTGCTATTTAAACTGATTTATTATTGAAACTTGGCAACATCGCTATTTGGAAAGGCGCTACTGTAGGAGCATACGCATTGCTACCTATAGTGGTTGGAATCTACAAAGTATTATTTACGATGGTTTAACAGTTTATCAAATACATAAAATGAAAGTCGTTTTTGAGAATTGTTTGACATTCGTTTCTTGTAATTTAGACAAAATTAATTAACCATAAGGTTTTTTTGAAAAAATCTTACAAAATATAATTACTTTTATTTTTTGTTTAAATTGGAAATATTAAAATTTTTAAAGAACGAAAATCAATAACTTAAGGAAATAAAATCTATGTAATTTTTTAATATAAGATTTTCATACAAATACTAAAGTAAATAATTTAATTTTTAGTAACATATTTTATAAATATAAAATATACCGCACATTTCATTTTGTAAAAGATTATATGGTTCAGAAATTACGATGTCAATTGAATATGAATCAAGAGTCTAGAATCAGAATCCTTAAAGTGTATGCTCATTGAATTAAACAAAATAAATAAAAGATATGAAATAACATCGAATAAAATATCGGAATCAGATTAGTAATTGATATATTAATCAAAATAAATTTTGTTTCTACTGGATAATAATCATGGATATCAACAATATTATTAGTATGCAGTCTGATGCAATGACTGAATCCACATTAGAAAGTGAAATTGATGCGCTATCCAAAATTATTACAGATGCTAAAGATGGTATTAAAAAATTAGAAAACTCTAATGAGGACTTTAAATTAGATGGTGATAACTTAGTTTTTAATGATAACTATATACAATGTGACTCAGTAGAAAAAGATAAGTTATTATTACCTAGTGATAGCTTAAGTATCTTAGGTGCTACTGAAAACATAAATTGTATTCCTATTTCAACTACAAAAAGTAACTTACAACAAATGTCAAATGGTAAGTTTTTTTTATATTTTATAAGTTATAAATTTATCTAAAAAAATTATATTTGTAAATTTAATTCATATCAATACTTATATTATAAAAAAATATGAATTATTAAAAATATGAATAAAATTCAAATAAAATATAAATGTTATAGAATTTAAAGAACACTATTAATTAGTTTTCTTAAATACAATTTTATTGAGGTACATAAAGTTACTAAATTTGTTTAAAAATTGATGTTTATGTTAAAAACATTTATAAAATTTTTGTTCATAAGTTAATATTTTAATTATATTATTCATGTTATGTATTTACATTTATATGTAAATTTCAACAGTTTATTTATACTTGAATATTTATTTTTTAAAAATATTTAAATTTGTTATAAGTTTTATAAATTAATATAAATAGATAATGATCATAAGTTTGTTTTTTTTAGAATCCTTAAAATTAAATACAAATATACAATTAAATAAAAATAAAAATAAACTGCAAGAACAAACACAAAACTTTGAAACTTTTGCAGTATCTTTGGAAAATATAAGCAGTGATATTAAAACTGAAAGTAGATTAGAAACAAAAGCACATAAAATTAATGATAGTTTATCATTGATAAGTGAAGCTTATAATTCACAAGAATCTCAAAGTTCTAAAATTGAATCATTATATAAACTCCAAAATGATGGAATAGAAGAAACATTAGATTTTAATCATGATATATCGGTTTTAAAAAGTATTAATAGTAATGAAGTTAAAACAAATATTTCTACTTTATCTTCTGAATTAAATACAAAAGTTGATACATTAAATAAAAAACCAAATAACATAATTAATGAAAGATCAATACAGTATAAAAGTAATGATGACTCAATAAATATGAAAGAACAAGATGAGTTAATTATTAAGCATATACACCCAGATCATATTGAAAAAAAAATTTGTATTTTAGATACAAACTATCAAATAGAAGAAAATACAAATGATCGAATTTTAAAATTAGATGGATTTAATAAAATAGATGAAAGTAATTTAAATCAGTTATTAATTCAAAGTAATTATTTGGTTACAGAATTAATTACTAATGAAAATGACAGTGAATCAGCAAATAATATCGATAAGATTCCACAAGAAAATAAAGGTAAACAAAAACTGATAAAAAATTATATTCATCGTACAACAGAAACTACCAATAAAATGTGTGTAGAATCAGTGAAAACAGATGTTTCAGTTTTTAAATTAAATACTGTAGAAACTGACAATATAAATACTATAAGTTTATTTAAAAATTTTCATGAAAATAATAAATTCCCATCAGTGGATGATACTTTACCAATAGATGTAAAGAATGAAGATAAAATTAAAAATATAGATGACGATACTAAAGATATAAAAGTAAAAATTACTAATGAAAATTTAATCTCTGCAGATGCAATTGAGGAAAAATCTGTTAAGATATATAAAGATTATAATTTTGATTCAAATGTAAAGTTTTCTATACAAAATGAAACTATTGGTGATTTTGAACTTTCAAAGAATACTAATATAAATTTAACCATTGACAATTCAGAAAAAATTGAAAAAACTGTAACTAATTTAATACAACCCATTAAATCTACTATTGATATAAAGTTCCCAAAAATTATTAATATGTTGGAAAATTCAGAAAGGGCTAATGATTCTAAATTTTTACTTGGATCAAAAATAAAGAGTATTAAAACTTCACATGACAATATTGAAACTTCACAGAATATAACTGTAGAACAATCTAATTGTAAACAAACTTTTAGAAATAATGATGCAGATAACAGCATTAAAGTCTTACAATGCTTAGAATCTATTCAAGATCTACATATTGACCCAAAACTGATCAAATTCACAAAAAAGGATCTGGAACATGAAGCAATTATTCCAACTACAGAAATTAATTTTACGAATGAAATTAAAAATTCTAACAAAACAGAATTACTACTAGAAAGTTTTGTACCTATTGAAAATAACACAAACGTAGGAGAAACAATTTGTAAAAATAACAAAAATAATAAAACAACACAAAACGAAATCAATTTTCTGACAAATTTAGAACCACAAAATAATAAAAATTTAACAATACATACTTATGAAACTGATAAAGATTTATTAGAATTACAAAATATAGATGTTACAAGTATTGAAACTTTAAAAAATAACAAAATTAAACAAATAGATAATAAAGTATTGATTCAACATAATTCTATAACAAATGAAGAACTATCAAATGTTTCCAGAGTAAAAGCATCTAAAAATTTAAATATAAATTTGGGATTCAAGAAATCCACAATATTAGATAAAAGTAATTCAGAAAAAAAAGATTCACGAGAAGTATTAGAAAGTAAAATGAATGTAGAAACTTTTAAAATAGAAAATAAAGAAATTGAAAAAACGATGGGAATTGATTCATCTTTAAAGCCTAATGAACATAATTTAACAGAAACACAATATTTGTGTGCTGAACATATGCAACTAAATAATTCATTGAATGAATTAACTATTAATGAAAATTTCAATGTTTCTAAAGAATCAGCTTTAGAAGTAACTGAAAAACAAAATTTGAAAGAAGTTGTAAATATAAAACATGAGAATCAAATTATGAATACTAATGAATGTTCAGACTCAAATATTCTTATATCAAACATTTTAAATAGAAAAGGTTTAAATTTAAATTTAAATAAATTATTAGAAACGGAAGAAAATATTAATAAAGAAATTATTAATTTTGTTGATATAGAAAATATAAAATTACGTGATAGTGTACTGATACTTGATGATTTAAAAACTGAATTAGTTAATATTAAACAAGAAAATAAAAGAGAATTTGGACCTATAGACAAAAATAAGGATATATTTGAAGAATCTAGTCATTCATCAGCACAAATAGAAAATGATAAATTTATTAATGACCTACAAAATAATTGTATATCAGATCAAATTGAAAGCAATAATATTGTGTTATATAATTTTAAAAAATTTAATGAACAAAATAATGGAAATAATATAGAAGAAAATAAAAAATTAAATAAAAACTACACAGATTCAAGTATGTCTATAAATATTAAAAGCAATGTAAAATTAGAAGTTTTGAAAGAAGATTCAATGCTTTTAGTTAAAAATCAAATCATTGAAAAATTACCTGAAATTTTAGAACTTGAATCTGCTGTGAGATATTTACAGGAATCAGAGAAGAAGGAAATTAAACCAATTAAAGTATTTAAAAATTCGAGTATTAATAAAGAGAATTCTAGTATATTTGTTGCAGTAGAAGATAGTGTGTGTGATAATGTTTCAGAATTAATATCAAATTTGCAAGGAGCAACTGATCCAATAGCAATATCAGAAGCAGAAATTATTTCTGAAGCTGCTAAATTGGAAAATGAACGTAAAGAAAAATTAGAACTAAAAATGCAGTTTAAAAATTTTAGTGAAAAATCATGTGATATAGAAAATGAAAACATAACAGAAATAAACAATACGGCTAATGCAGATAATGTATTGACTTCCGTTGCAGTTAATAAGCAATTGAATATTATATCACAAATTCCAAATAAAGATATATTGAAGGTAATATTCAAAATAATGTTATATTTCTAACTATTGAGTGTTATTACTTGATATTTCAGATTACGCAACTATAAAATGTAAATCATTAATTTTTAATTCTATTATATAAATTTAATATATTTATAAATACGATTTCTTTCAAAGCATGCAAAAAAGTAGAATACAATAAAATTTTTATTATGATTTAACTGAAAATTATATCCTATAAATAAAATTATATAATATAAATCTATTTATTATTTATTTTATAATAAATTTTAATTTTTTTTTTAAATAAAAAATCTTTTGATGTAATCTTCATTTAAATTTAATAAAATATACGGTTTAATATATGATCTATTAAACAAAAACAAAATATTTAGTATTTTAATTATTGTTTTATATACATAAAATATTGCTTGTTTGTTTGTTTAATTTTTCTATATAAAATTTTATGTTTAAAATTTTGACATCTCCATCTAATACTGTTGATAATAATTAGGCTTCAATAATCACAAAAAATAAGTCGACTTCAGAATCCCTAACTGGATCATCAATTCTAGAAGAATGTTACAAAGATCTAGCAACAGTTGAAATTTCCGATGGATTGTCAAAAATTAGTGAGCTACCAAAATCAACTTTACTTATAAATAATGAACCGAAGCAAAGACTAGAATCTCCTGATAGATCAACAAAAGATGGTGAAATTAAAACGAGTGACATAACTAAAAAGGATTTCGATAAGCAGTTCCAACAATATTCAGAGACTGAAAACGTTGGTTCACCACGAATCATTTTGAAAATTGCTAAATCGGCGATAGCTGAATGTTCGGAGCCACGTTCACCTAAGAGTGCAAAGGTTCGTTCTGCTGCTAATTCACCAAATCCAGAAGATAACTCTGGACAGAAACTGGGTAAGATTAAATTAAAACTATCTAGAAGTGGACATCCATCTATCATACCAAACACAGTTAATTACGACGAAACAGCACAATGGCACGCAGATAACACATCATTATCGTCTTTGGGAATGAGAATTAAATTAACAAAATCAATTGATACTACGATATTTGAAAATAAATTCGAGGATGCCCAAAAACTGGAGGAGTTTAAAGAAAAAATATCCCATAAATCTGAAGAAATAAAAAAAACAGAAAGTGCTATTGGTATGAAGATTAAACTGTCCAAATGTGGAGATGCTTCGATAGTGCATCAAGATAATACTACAAAGGATAACGTCATTCAGGTAATACAGATATTTTTTATTTTATTTTCCATTTGTAATAAAAAAAAATTAAGCAAATTTATAGAATATATTTATACATTTTTCATAAATATATTCATAAATATTCTTACTTTTTATAAAATAGGAACACGATTAACTTAGATTAAATTTATATAAACTATAAATTTGGTTCTAATATTTCAGGAAAATTCTGATATAAAAAAACAAGATTCACCCTCAATTGGTATGAAAATTAAACTGTCAAAATTTGGTGATGCCTCTATAATCCAGCAAGATAATACACAATCCATTAATGAACCTGTCTTAAAATCTAAGGATAAAATCGTAGATGACATGCAAGATGATATAAAACGTACAGAGTTGTCTATTGGTATGAAGATTAAGTTATCGAAATCAGGTGATGCCGCAGTTGTAAATAACGACTCTTTGGAATTAGTTAAAGAGTCATTAGAGCCAAAAGAAAAGATCGATGATTCATTAAAACGCATGGATTCATCATTTGGAGTAAAAATTAAGCTGGCTAAAATGAAGGATGGAGGTGCTTCTATTATAACCAGTGAAAGCTCGGAAGAAATAAATGAAAAAATTGAAATTACAGAAATCTCAAAAAAAAAAATTTGTAAAAAGAAAGAAATTTCCGAAACAATTGAAGGAAACAGTGAAATTGATACTTTGAAACAAGATGCATGTAAGATAAAGATATCAAAACTAATGAATAATGAAAATAATATAGTATTATCTGAGCCAGTTGATGAAATTGCAAAAACCAGTGTTGGAATGAAAATTAAATTATCTAAAACTGGTGATGCTTCGGTTATGCAGATAAAAAATGAAGATACATTTGTTGAAACTGCAAATAAAATAGGGGATCAGTTTATCGGTATGAAGATTAAGTTTTCCAAAAGTGGTGATTCTACACTTATTCATTCACAAAGATCTATAGAAGCAGAAGATTTATTATATTGCATTAAAACTAAGCATTCAAAAAATAAAGATCCAGAGTAAGTTGACCAATACACATTTAAATCATACTGTATTCATTAGCAAAATCAAAAATATGTTTAATCTCTACTCCATATTAATTATACAGCAATTAAAAATGTATAATGCTTTTATTATTTAATTGCTCAAATCAATTAATACAAGCAATAAATAGAAATACAAGTATTAGATGTATGAGCACAGTTATTAATTTCTCATTGTACTCAGGATGTTTTGTACTTAATAATTTCAATGTATAGTACAACAGTAGATTATTTTGATAAATACCCTTTTTTTATTTAAGATGTTTTCTATTTATGAGATTTATAAAACTAACAAATTTTTGTACATTGTAAAACCTGACAAATCGTTGAATTTTTCGACATACATCGTTTCAGTCTATATAGTTTCTAGTTTGCACTCTATTAGTTCGTAACTAACCATATATAAGAAATAATCATATATATATCATTTTTATAACACTTTGAACATTGAATAATTTCTCAAAACTTCGTGTAATTCATTTACAGAGAAGCGATTAAAATATTATCTATGCACGTTTATTGCAACACAAACATTACATTTTTCATTATTTTATTTTTTTTTATTACTAATCGATAAGCTTTAGAACATACTAATTTTTGTAGTTAACGGTGTATTTTATGAATTGAATATTATTATATGATCAATAATTTTATATTTAATTTCTAGTGACAATTTTAATAATGTTCCACGTTTAAATTAATATGTTTATCGTTCATTCATACAATAATTTTCCGTGTTTTTGTATTGAATAAGTTGAAAATCATTCAGATTAATCTGAAAATCGAGTATATGTTTTTAAATAGATAGATTTTTTATATTAAATATCATAATACATTTTCTAATTCGAATGCCGTTAGACAAAATTATTTTTTATAGGAAATTATAATGTAACAAATGATATTTTATTAGTATCCTGGACATGAATTTTTTTATTAAACTGCGTACCGCAAATAAAATTTTTGTCTTCTGAATTATTTAGAGTGATAAATTTTAGCTCTAATGATTTATATTTGGCTCATAGTTAATAATTTTTTTCATATTTCTTATTATTTATTTAATTAAAAATCATTATAGGGTTATATTCGTAGGATTGATATAGAATTATATTTTCGATTATTTTGTTAATTTTTAAATATAAAATATAAAATTTCTGTATCGCTTACGTGTATACAAAATCCGGATGTTTAGTTTGATTATTTGACATATTTATAACACATGTTTTTTGCTTCTAAAGTAATTAAAAAATATCTTTAAATACATAAATTTAATTAAACTGCAAACATTTTTTTTCAAAAAATTATTAATTTAGTTTTTATTTTTTAAATCATGACATAATAAATTTTTTAAGATATTTATCTAACTTATTAACTTGTAGTTTATTTCAAGAGTAAAGAATTTTCAATTAGACAACAGATGTTTATTATACTTTTGTGAAATTTCATTTTACAAGTACAATGTTTAAGTATCATGACAAAGTATTTTATTAGTTTAGAATTTCATCTTTTTGTGTGCTAGCTTTGTGTATGTCTCCTTTGTTTCTTAATTAAATTGTATATTTTTGAATAAAGAAATAATCGAAAAGTTTTTCCTGAATGTAACAGACAATGTTTCAAGAGTAAAGTTTGAAGAATGTGGTGCCAATGATTATTTAAGCAATATTTTCCTAACTGAATAGGTGATTGTTTAATTCAATATACATACTGTATTAACAGTGAAAAAACACCTTAATTGCAGTATATTTTTCTTATCTAAAAGTCCATATCAATTTTAGCTTTTCATTGATGGTGGTCACCTTAGCTTTCGTCCATAAATTTGTTAAAGTATTCTTAAAAAAAAGTTATGTATTCAGTATAATTAATCTGAAAATGTTTGAATCATAATAAATGTATAAACAATAATTTATCCTAATAAATAAAAAGATATTAATATATAGCTAAGTAAGGTTCTATGCCAAAGTAGGAAACGTACTCGTATCTAAACAAACTTTTCAAGTACGTGATGTAAACATTTCTATACCAAGATCTTTATAGTTTTATTTTCATAAAATCCAATTATTTAATATATTAAACAAAAAACTTTATGATTAATTGTAAATTATATGTAAGATAACATCAATAATCGCTTATGTCTTAACAGGAATGTTCAAATGAATACTTTAACTTTTAAACATTTTTCAATTAACTTTTTAACAGTATGAGTTTTACAAACCTTTTTAATGGCGCATCTTCTAGAATTAATTCAATTATCAAAGTTATACAAAATAATTAAATATATAATTATATATACACCCGCGCATATATCAACTTAATTATTCATTGTTAGTTTTCTCGCTACTGTACTAGCAACGAATTGTAATTACATTATAAATTAGTAAAATACATGCACAGGAGAATGCAATTCATATGAAAATTAAAATCAATCAATTTCTTACAAAAGAATTTGGTCTTCTATAATAAAATTTATTGCATTTTGTAGTTGGCTATATTGTAAATTTATAACCATTGTAAGACAGTAATTGATAACGATATTACTGATTAATATCTATTATTTGATATTATTTTTTAGGTGCCAAAATAAACAATTTAGTTACATAAAAATGTATAAAATAATTCAAATTAATTATAATTATTTTTATATGTAAATCTTAGTTTGATTGTGTTTTAAATTACAATTTTCAAAGTAATATGTTATTTAAAAAACTTGTACAGTATTGAAGATGTATTTAATTCTGAAGAACTGTAAATTAAAAATTACAAAATTTCAAAAACTTAACGTATTGTATTTACTGTAAATTATGTATGACTAATCTTTTTTTGTTTCAAAAAAGAATATTAATAGTATGTTAAAAATGATGTTATTATCAAGTAAAAATGAAATATATAATTAATTATATTCTCATGGCCATGCAGAGGCTGTTAAATTGCATCTTATTTTTATTCATTAAATATATACTAAAGTATTTCTAAATAAAACTTGAAAGTTATAAAATAGATACAAATGTGAGAGTACTGGACGTAATCAAAAGATATTTATATCGGATTTCATTTTATAATCTATTCGGATTAAATTAAAATTGTATGGGTAAATTAATGATATATTGGGTAATTAAGTAGCTAGAATGAAAAAAATATTAAAGGCAACTATCATTTGCAAGTAAAATTAAATGTAATAATTAATTTAAAATAAATGTTTCGAAATGTTGAGTATAATAGATATTTTTTAATTACACTTTGTTTATGTTACAGATTTGTTGGATTATCGTATTTTGAGATTAAACAAATAAATATAATTTAAAGGTTCTATTATATAATATAAATAATTTTTTAATTACTTATCAAAATCATGGTTACACAACTTTCTTATCAGCCGAAAAAAATTAAATTTCAGTAATAGTTAGTTTAATTTCATATAGAAAAACTGTTCTGAATTTTAAATCTTTTATTTCATTAAAATATAATAGTTATATATAGACCGATACAAAATTATTTAGTCGATTCTGAACTTCAATTAAAAACAGTTTAGTATTTTTTCCATGCATTAGATTTAAATATTTGAAAAATTTTTAAATTAAAGATTAATAATTGTGAAAATCATTATTAAGTTGATATGTTTTCAACTATATCCAATTAGAAAAATTATGTTTATTACATAATCAACGTATGTATTTTACGTTTGAGTTTTACATTATCAGCTGTTAATAAAAAAAAATAAATAAACATTTTGAATATTCAAAATTTGCAACATTTATATATATTTGTTTCAATAGTTTAAATTCTATGTTGTATCTAGGCCTCTAATATATATATTATCTTAATTTTAATTTAGTTCTGTATATCAATTAAAGTCTAAAGATGATTCGAACTTGGAAATGAAAATTAAACTGCCAAAAATGAGTCATTCAAATATAATTACAACTAATGATATTAACGAAGAACCACACATTAATATTTCTCAAGCTTATTGCTCAAAACAAAAAGATTCTAATGATCTGATGTTCAAAGAATCAAAGGTAATTGAATCGATAAAGAATCAGTCGATCGAAAATGCAATGATTGATTTACACAACAAACGTAAGGAAATCACTTTAGCTCCTATTGAGGTAAAAAAATTGAAGATAGAAAGCAATTTTAAACAAATGATACCTGACGTTACTATTCAACCTATTGTACCCGGAATAATAAAAGAACAATCGCAACAAAAATTACTTTTGGAATCTAATAGCGGAACCATTAGTCAACAACAAATGAATGTAATTAATCGAGAAATCAGCATTACACAGGTATTACAGAAGTATTTAATATAGAAAAGGCTATTTTTTAATTTTTTAGTACTTGTATTAAAATACAATAAAATACTCAAATACATACTCTCATCCAACTTAAATTTTTATAGATTTGTTCTTTGTCAACGAATGATGCAATATTAGGCGAACGATTAAAAAGTACTCTCAATGTCCAAAATCGGCCTTTGATTTCATCACCTCTAAATTCTGATTGTGAAATTATTGAACCACAGCCTGAATTAATAATTGTTAATGAAAACTCGAATTCGAGTCAGGATATCATGATAATTGATGAGGTACTATCCGCTAAGTCAGTGATGAAAATGCCCAAGAAGCGTGGTCGTCCACGTCGTAATACCACTGTTGTTACCGCGGATGCGATTGGTATGTCTAACTTTCAAGAATTAGAGCTTCAACGAGATCCACTAAGTCTAGAACAGCTACCGATACCGATAATGCTACCGACGGCTATGACGATGTTACAGCAGCAGATACAACCACAAATTGGTATAAACAAGTCAGAAGGAATGGGAACAGAAAGACCTAGAAGGACTTGCAGAAGTCAAAAGAGTTATGCTCCTCCAAAGAGAGGTAGAGGACGAGGTAAATAAATTTTATTAATTATAATTCTTAATATTACAGAAGCATTGAAATGACATACAATTATTTTATACTAGAAAATTATCATTAATTTTATAAATATTTGACAGACTATTGAATTATTTTTTACATTGCATATTACATTAAATGTTTTTGAATTAGTCTTTTAAAATGCTATCTTATTTATAAATAATTACAAAAATTAAAAATAATTAGACTAAATTCAATTGAATTAATTTTATATAAGTTACAAGTTTGTAATATCAATAATCAAAACTTGAAAATTGTCTTTAGAGAATTAATTTATGTTAAGTACAATATTTAAATTATACTCATCATTCGTATTAACAATGAATTATGTGCTATAATCATTGCCATTTTTGTTATTATTTCTTTATATAAAGTAACATTTTTAATAGTATATATAATTAGTAAATACAAAGAATCATTTTTAAATGTATAAATAATATATATTTAATATTACTACTATTGATCATAATAAAAAATTATATTATAAATATATATATATTATACTAAATAAATATATTAATTTTTAAAGTAAGAAAATATGTCTTACAAAGATTTGTAAAAATTATATTTATTTATTATATTTAATATGAAATATTGTAGTATTTCTTTTGATTATGAAATTTTTTCTTATTCAAAAACTATGATAACATTTTATAACTTTCTACAAATCCATTCATAAATAATTGTGTGATTCAATATAAAAAATATGAACAAAATATTTAAAATGTAATATTGATGTTTAACATTATTTATTAAAATTCGTCAATAGATGTCAATGTTTAAACTTAATAATTGTATGTTTATATATTATCAGATTTTTTTAATCGATATAAATTTGTATCTAAAGTATATGTATAATCTATCTAGAGTAGAAATCAGTTTTTAAAGACCATATATAAATTTTTAGTATACATCGAAATATTTACATAAATACACAGTTTGTGATTTAAATTATTTAATTTTCAATATTTTATTTATATTCATATTTCTATTTTCAAAAAATGCAATTAAAAAAAAGTATTATATACTAGTTTTATAACAATCTACACAATTATAGACGTATATTTATAGTTAATAACTTGTATAGTAGTTTATGAAACGTATTAAAAATTTAAAAATTTCATAATAAAATTAATAAATATTTTTATTAATCTATTCGTTTGTCACTAGCAAAAATTGAAATAAAATTAAAAAGTTACTATAAAACTTAATCTTTCATTTGCAATAAAGCTAATTTATTATTATCAATCTTCAAAATATTTCTGATATGTATATAGATTGTCTCATAATTAAAATTTCTAATTATAAAATATCCTACATACTTATTATTTTTAAACTTTTAAATTTGAATGTAGATTTATTAAAAGCCATAAATAAAAATTAAAACTATTTCATACATTATTGATTGTGTTTTATTTTAACCCAAAAATGTAGTAAATGCTGATTTTTCTCAATTTTATAGTTTATTAAAACATATACTTCTTATCATATTTTTAATATACATTAAACAAATGTTTATTTAACCGAGATAGATAGTTTCTTTCCAATAAATAAAAATTATATTCTTATATACGTAATAAAAATGATATATGTAATAAAATTATAAGTTTCACTTTATTTTATGAAGGATATATTAATATAAATAGATCAAACTTCCTTTAGTAAATAGAAAGGAAAAGGACAGCTTATTTTAATTTTTTTGTATCTGTATAGGTCGTGGAAAACGAAAGAATGAGGCAATAGACATACCGCTGAAGAAGCAACGAATTACACAAGACTTAACGGCTATCGAAAAAGCAACCACCACTACTATTGCTATAGACAACTTTTCTGTTGAACTTAATAGTAATATAAGTAACTCGCCAGAGTTTTTTAAAACCTTGAACGAACCTATACTTGAAAAAGTTAACAAACAATTGAAAGAAGTCGAAATCTTAGAAACATCGAAAAGTGTTTCAGCATCATTCATATGCAAGGTATTTGAAATTTTTTCTGATAATTTTATTGTTATCTACAATTCTAAATTTGCCGAATTGATTTTTTTTTATTTTTATTTTTTCATTATACTACATACAACCAATTATAATTAAATATGTTTTAAGATATTACAGTAGGTGATATTTTTGATGATGTAAAATTTCTCATTTATTTTGCACAAGCGCCAATAATTATTTTTATATTGTCATTCATATTTATTCTTAAAATTAATATTTTTATAATTTGTTGTAAATGAAATATTTATTGAATATTTCAATATTTAGCACATTTTTAATACAAATTATAGGTTGTAACATAATTGTATATTGTGTGACTCCGATTGAGTTTCAAGTTAGATAAATAAATTTAATTTCTACATGATTATCTGGAGTTTGTATGTGAAAATATTTAATAAAACAATTATTTGATACAAAATACAGTTTGTTTTTATTAAATATTCAATTTTTATAAAAAAATATGCTTTATAGCATAAATTTATAAAATGTATCCTAAAAAAAGAAATAAAAATATATTGGCACTATAACATGATCTATTTTAGATCAGTGTAGTATATATTTATATTTCATAATTATCTATAAGTATCGATTTTTTATGAGCAGTATTTTACTCTCTCCATTGGAGGGACAGGTGTTCAGGTTTTCGTCTAATTTAAATAATTGAAAATAACTAAAATTTTAATTTCAATGTTCAGACCCTAATTAAATTGTACATATTGCATCTCAAATTAATAATTATCTGTATTATCACGTTTAGACAAAGTTAATTAAAGTATAACAGACACTTTCAATTTTAATACTTTGAGGTGAGATCTTATTTATTTTTTTTATATGTCGCAATATTCGAAGAGTAAATAATAATTAAGTATCTTCCTTTTAATAACTGTAATTAAGAACTATTCATAAAATCCTAATATATTTATTTATTTATACTGATAAAGTTTTAATAACTAAATTTATTATACAATTAATTTTAACTATATAATAAAATAATTTTAAATTTATTTATAGCAAAAAGTACACGAAGAAGTACAAAAAAGAATGAATAATGTAATAGATACAGCTAGAGTAAACACATCTACTCTTAACACAAAAGCAACAACTGATATGTTATCAGTAGCTCAAAATAAAGATAATAAAGAAGAATCTCCGAATACATTGGAAATCATTGTTATAAAAGTTACAGAGAATGCAAAAGAATCTGAGATCATCAGAGAACATGCTGAAATGGTAGATCATAAGGATTCACTTACAACCCAAGAATATCAAAATTGGTTAACTCCACCAATTAAAAAAGTATCAAATGAGTGTGGAACGAGAAATGAATCCATTTCCACGATAACTGTTATTGATGAAGAAACTAGAATGAGCGCTGAATCAGGTTCTAGATCTCAGACACCCGCACGCAATATCGCCGTTCCAGGTCTTTTTTACTTGATCTTATTTTAATTTTTTGACTAGCTTTTAAACTAATTGAAATTGTTTTAATAAAATTTTACCTTTTATTTGTAACATTAAAAAAATGATTAAAAAAATACGTAATGAAACTAAAGTATCGATAGTAAATAATTGATTGTATTTTTATTATTAAACATTTTTGTAAAATTATTTTTTAATTTTTTATAAGAATATGAATAATTGACATTTTTTAGAGACTACCAAATCAATTAAAGTTAAAATGAGGTATAAATAATTTCTATTCAAAAAGTTAAAATAGTAAATATAACTTAAAAACCAATATATATATAATTATAATTAAAGAACTGGATAATGTAAAATATAAATAATTTTAATAATAATATTTATATAATTTTTCATTGAGTAAACTAACATATCCTTGAGTATAGTAATACGCATTGACAAATCTCCATCGGTCACGATACAAAATACAAGTCTGGATGATTTATCAATCTCAGTACATTTTCAGATATAAATCGTTTGTCATATAAACTTTAAAAAATATATATTTATTCTTTCTCATCATGTGATTATATACTAATTAATATATAAGAAATTAATAGAAAAAAAATGATATAAGACAATATTTTTAAAAACCATAAATATGTTTGTAGGAACTACAGAAACTCTCGTAAATGAAGAATCACAAGGTAGCGTGTTAAGTACAGCAACAACTGAATCAGAAAAAGTAAAGGTAAAGAATCGTCGGATGGAAATAAGTTTTGATCCAGACGAGGGTCCATTCACAGTAGAGAAGATCGCCGAATATGAATGGCCACTAGAAAAGAAAGATGAAAGACCTGCTGGACGCGGTGAAACTTTCATGATACAAGAGCAAATATCACAATATTTAGGCGTTAAAAGTTTTAAAAGAAAGTATCCTGATCTGAAAAGACGAATGGTGGATATGGAAGAGAGGAATTTCTTAAGAGAGAATGGCCTCGTCAGCGAGTCAATGTGTGATATGGGTAATTTAACATTTGATTTAACAACTATTTTTCAATGAATTAATTTATATAAGACATAATGATTTATAAAACTTTAGTTATGTTGATTTTCAAATTTATATAAAAAAATGTTCATAGTTTAATAACAAAGAAATAAAATTGATATTTACAGGTGGTATAAAAATCTTACAATTTTACATTAATCAGTATATATTATATATATTTATTCCAAAAAATAATTAATTTAAACATATTATATATGTATGTATGTATGTATATATATAGATATATTAATAATTAGCTATGAGACTTATTATTGTAATTAATTATTCATTTATTATAAATGTGTGCTAAATAAAAACGCATACTTATATTTTTATTATTTAAATATTCTTTATAATATAAGGTTAACATATAATACTGAATTAACGTAATCGATTAATTAAATAAAAGAATTCCTTCAATTTTAATTTATTTAGGTTTGACAGCTGTTAGCAGCTCGGAAGTATTAGATATCATGTGTAGCGACTTTCAGGAACAGTATGAGGAATATAGAAAACATATGCGTGAAAAAGCAGCAAAAGAGCATTCAAAGAAGCAAAAAGAACTTTCAGCAGCAGCAAACGCTGAGCGGAATAGAATAGATTTAGCCGAGATGGCAATGCAATCGGCGCTTTCGTGGAATACGTGTTTGAATAAAGCGCGTCAAGATTCACGTAAATGTAGCTTAGATCTACAAACATTCACCGTTCATATGCCCAAGCGATCTATCAAATTAGATTCAGCTAAGAGTGTCAGCCATTATCCAGTGGCTCTCATACCAGGACAGTACACAGATTTCTATAGGGACTATACACCTGCTGAGCTCAGGTATTAATGTAGAGTTTCATTTTTAATTCTAATTCTTTATTTGAAGTAGTTCATTTTAAATTAAAGAAATATCATTTATAAATAAATATAAACTATAAATATTGTTATATATATATATATATATATATATATTTAAATATTTTTTTCTATAATTTGCTTCTGTTTATTTCAAGTTTTTACATTAATGTTTAAAATAAAGCATGTATTTAAATAGGAAATATTTCATCCTTGCATGTATTATTAATCATATAATCATATTTAAAATTAGATATTATGTATACTATTTCAAAGCATTTGAAACATTTTTTCACCAAATGAGATATAATATATTTAAAATTAAAATTTACTATTAAATTATTATTTACAATTTGATTATGTTGTTTATTTCAATATTTATAAAACATTTTAATCTTGGAGTTAATAACATTTTTATTAAAAGATACTATCCATTGAATACGGTATTATATGGTCCAATGCGTCCGAATGAAAGAAAGTTTGACAGTCAATCTGAGGGATCACAAAGTGATAGCGACAGCGATTCATCTTCTGATGATTCCAGGTATATTAATCATTTTCAATAAATTTTATAAGAAATTGAAACAATGATAATTATTTATTAATTCTTTATGAATCCAATGAAAGTGCTATTGAGACCTTTTTCATAATTTTGCATAGCTCATCCTCAAGCGAGGGCACTCAAGATACTGAAGGCTCTCAATCAACAATGGATGAAGTTGATATGGACTTGACTCTTCAAACAGATATCAAATGCAAAATGTGTCTTAACAACTTTAACAAAAATAATCGGCCTGAAGTGCTCATACAATGTGGAACATGTAGTGGAAATGGTCAGTTTCTTAAGGTCGTAAGTTTTGTAACGTCATTATAGAATTAAAAAATTTATTAAATTTGTATTTCTTGTTTGCTTAATAATTGTAGAGTTGATATATAATTGATTTTAAACTAAAAAACATTTATCAATTAATCCAAATAATCAGAAACAACTAGCCATCTATATAATATAGTGTGCCCTGCACTCGATGGACAAAATAATCAATATTCAACGGTATTTAGGATATATTTTATTTTAGCAGCATTTTTAGATGTAACTAAATTTTTAGTATACGTTTGAAATATTTATCTGTTTATTCACCTTTGCGTAAATTATGAAATACTTTAAATATTATATAGGAAAATGTATTTGATGGTGAACAAACGAATTATTTCTATTCATTTAATATATATTTTATATATATTACGAAAGTAATATAATTATTTAAATAAAAATCAAAAACTATTCAATAAAAATGATATCTTCATTTAAAATTTAATTACTGCACAAAAAGCAATAAAAGTGAGACAATGCATAATTTTCTAACGGAGCCATGATGGAAAATGGTTCATACATTGTTAAAAATTAAAATTGTCAACTGGAAATTGTGATAATATTGAATGAAATGATATATTGGCTAACTCTATGTTTTACATTTGAGTACCATTTAGAAAGTTGTTATTTGTAAAATCTATAAATTTTATATAATATTTACCAAGGTTGCTAATTGCAATAGAATTATAATTTAGAATAATGACTTGTAAATTATATAAACTCCAAATTTCCAACTACTGCACATTGATTGATTAATGTTTTAAAATTAATCAGAAGATGAATTAAAAAATGTATTAGGAATTAGTTTGAATAATATATTTGGACTTTTTAAGATCAACTGATTTTTTAACATATGATAAAACAAAACATCATTTGCAAAAAGTAAAAATAGCTGATGTAGAGACAAAGAAAATTCGTTAAAATGATAAGGAAATTACTTCACACGTCTGATGATAGATTATGAAGAAAATTTGATTTTATCTCTTTTTAATAATGTATGAATTTTAAAAAAGAAAATAGAAAATGGTATTGAAACTAATAAAATGAAATTGAACTTATCAGTGTCATACAATATTGTAAAATATTAAATATATTTTATATTAAATTTGAAGATTCTAAAATGTTTAAGGATACAAAATTTATACAAATTTTATAACCAATAAAAAAATTATTTATATTACAAAAAAATACGCATTCATCTTTAAAATTTAAAAAAACAAGATTTTGAAGGCAAATAATATCTAACAATCAATTTTAGTAATGAATATTTTATTAATTATATCCAAGCGATTTATTAAAATAGTTTTTTGTGGGTAAAGTAAATAAATAAAATTGGAAAACATTTTCTAAATTATCAATATAAAAATTTTAATATGAAAAAAGACTGACAAAAATTCATGGAGTTTGTGGTAAAAAAAAAACCATTTATGACTTAAATATTGCTATAAATTAACACTTTTACAAGAAGCTTGTGAAGTATTAAATTAATTTATAAGAAATTGAGCTACAATATCTTTTTGGATTTTTTTTTAAAGAAATATTAAAATCAATTTGTTATAAAAAATATGTTATAGAAATTACTTCAATTATTAATTTATTATCAAGATTTTTAAAGTTTTAGACTTTATTAGACACATAACAATGTAACCAATCAACAAAGGTAAATAACAAATTTATTTATAGGTTTACAGTTATTTGAAACATTCAATTCTATGTATCTATATGCAATCTAAGTATGTATCAATCAGTCACTATTCATATTCAGAACTAGTTTTTGTTTTAGGTCCAAATTTGAATGTGATACACTACCAGTTTCAGAATACCTGATGGAGATCATCGCCATAAAACTAAAACATTACCAGTTTGATAAAGAATATTTTATAAAATAAAGAAAAGTCCATATAAAATGAAAATATGTCCATTTTCTTTTATTGTTTCGTAAAAAAATATTACAAAATTAGATTTACTATTATTAAAGTAACATTAACCCTTATTTTTATACCTTAATAACGTACATAAATTAATTATTTGGTAGTTCAAAACTGTTTTTATATAAAATTATTTTTTAATTAAAGCACTTGTATGGTAAATAACATTAGGATAAGAATGTATGTAAGTTTGTTTCATATAATATGAATTACATAAAAAAACTTATGAATACATGATAAAAATTACATAAATAATTCAATTAAAAAAAATAAAATTAAAATATATACATCTATAAAATTGTAGTTAATTATTTAAATTTGATAATTCCAATATTCAATAATAGATACATTATTACTTACTGTCCAATTCTTTAAATTAAATTTTAAAATAGAATCAAATAATATAATTTCTGTTTATTCTTATTGTACTCTTATTTTGTTCAAAATTGTTAATACCATAATATAGGAATGTACTAATTTACAAATAAAAATTACATATGCCTTTGAAATGATAATGTTTTTATTATTGTTATATTAAAAAGAATCTATATTAGTAATATAATTTATATTTTTGTTTGTCAATATATTTTTATTGATTTATAATATTTTATAACTTATATTTTAAAAATATACATCTCTTGTAGTTCATCCTTCGTGTATAGATTTAACGATAGACATGGTACCCCATATTCGAGCGTATGCCTGGCAATGCACAGACTGCAAAACTTGCGCTCAATGCCATGATCCTGCTGATGAAGATAAGATGCTTTTCTGTGATATGTGCGATAGAGGGTATGATTTCATTTAACATTAATGACTGACTATAAAATTTGAAAGTACATTTAAATATATGTTTAATTAATTTTATATTACAAAGATATAAAACTTTCATTTAATATAAAAAATTCTGTTTACTTCCAATCTGTAAGCTAAGATATATTATAATGATTAGTAATAAAGTTATAATTGATTTATTTTAATCATAATTTTGTTTTGATAATTGTTTAATATAAATATTTAAAAAAATTTTAGATATTGAAAGATTAAATGTATTCATTAGATAATGGAAAAAAATAAGAACAGATATAAAAATTAATTTCTATATTAATTAAATTGACAGGCTAAGAGATAAAGATTGATTTTTTAGGTATCATATTTATTGCGTGGGCTTAAGAAGGGTTCCACAGGGCAGGTGGCATTGTCAAGAATGCGCAGTCTGTGCAAATTGCGGATCTAAGGAACCAGGTGGTCCGAATTCTGACAGAAATAGTGTTGCACAGTGGCAACATGAATACAAAAAAGGCGAAAAAAATATGAGAGTATACGTTTCTACTTTTTGCGTACCATGTTCAAAGTAAGTATTAATTTCGTTATTTGTATATTTTATTTAATATGCTATTTGAATTGAGTAGGCCTTTCAAGTAAAATTATTTCATACTATTTTTTATAATTAATTTTTCGATTCTATTTAAATAAATAAACATAAAAAAAGATTTTTATTAAATTATAGAAGTCGTTGAAATATATGTATAGAAAGATCAATTTTAAAAACTATATAAAAAATATTTTACAAAATAAATTCTAATATTTATGTTGGTTTTAATTTTTATAATTTTTATATAGCAAGCAAATGATTTTTTTAAGTTCATTTCTAACATTAATATTTAACATTTGATTTTCTATTAATTTATTAATTCGATCATTATTATGAAATCAAGAAATTCTTTATTTGTAAAATGACTGATTTTAATTCAATATTTTAATAGCGAAAATATAAAATGTATTTCTAATCATATAATTAATATCTTCTTCTAAATAGATTTGCATTAATAAACAAAAAGTATTTCTTACTAACGGAATTACAATACAAAAGATATTTCAAATAACGTTTATTTATTAATTGTTAACTTGATATATTTTATTTTAATAGATGATAAAAATTGAAACTTTTTTCTATTTCTATATTAGGAAGTGCATAACAAAATTGAATAAATATAATTTCTAATTATATTATTTATTATTTTTAGAAGATGAAGTTTTTATATTTTTCAAGATATCTATTGATAGCATTAATTTTATCATATATTAAAATTATATCTATGTGAATAAATATTGGAAAGATATATTAAAGTAAATAAATAAATTAAAAGAAAATTCTGAAATCCTAAAATTAAATTATTTACATAGACGACCAATTTTATATTTCTTACATGAAAAATAATGTGGTTTAAATATTAATATCTTGTAATATCCTGTACTTAAATATTTACATATATTTTGGAAATAACATAAAATATAATAATCTATGAAACGCAATATATTTATTTATTCTAAATTATTAACTTTTGAAGTATGTTAAAATTAAAATTATTTATATAAGATGCTACATAATATTTATTTATAATTATTAGCATTATTTTTTAATATATATTTTATCCATTGATAAGTGGTCAACATTTTTTTATTTATTGTAACATTTCTGTAATTTATTAAATATATCTAATACGTATATTAATAAAAAAATAAACCCTTATTTAACAAAAATACTTAAATGTTTATTATCACTCAATAATTCACCATAATAATTGATTTATCATACACAATTCTAATTAATATTCATTAAATAGTTTTGTTTTAAAAAACTATGTAATTATTGTAAACAAAAATTATTTTTAAATTATGGAAGGTGATATATATATGTATATATATATATATATATATATACACTGTACTAACCCATAAACTCATTTTCACCATGACAAGGTTGTGGCGAAAAGGTCGCTATTGTCCGCACTGCAGTCGCTGTCATAATGCTCCGAGGCTCGACCTGGAAGCTAATCTAGTTCATTGCGGAGCGTGTGATAAATACCTACACCTTGGTAAAACTCTTGTCAATCATGACTTTTCAATAAGCTTCTTGTTTTTAGTTGCACATATTCTTATTGCGCTGGAATCTCATAATTATACTTCATTGAATTTATTGTTGAAAAACAAGAATTATTTTCATTTTCGATAATTAACTACAATTAATAAATTATTAGCGAAAATTACATTTGATTCATGACTATTATTATTAAATTAAATTTTGTACATACTTAGCATATATATTTAAATATCATTATATATTATATATTTAAATATTAAGTTAAATATATATTTCAAATAAATATAAACATATTATAAAATGATGACTATAAATGTTCTTAATAATATATAATAGCAATTACTAATGAATTAATATTCTACATTAATAATTTTCTAATTTGAGAGGGTGTTAAATAAAGTTAATTTAACTTTAAATATTTCAAAATGTGATTATGTACTTTTTATTTTTCAATTAAATTCATTTATCTTAATTTTGAATAATAAATTTAAAGCTCAGAAGACAAACGGGAAATTGTCTGAAAAAAATAATTTTTTTTTATTAAAACTTGTTCTAATAATAAAATTATTAAATAAAATATTAAATAAAATCAAATTATTTTTTATTTAATATAACATATATATAACGTAAATAAAGTAATAACTTGACATGAAAATTGTTGAAATATCTATTACTTAATTTATCCAATAATTAATGAATAATACTCGTTATTCTTATAAATACTTGTATAGGCCATTATGACATTTACTTAAAATTAAAAAATCTCTTGTTATTGCAATATTGATAGAAAATATATATAATATTATATTAATAATTTTTTATTATATTTCAATAACTGTTTGTTTGGTATGTCGAGTTTATTTAAAAGTATATTTAAAATAAAATTTACATTTACATAGCTACATCTACATAGCTCAACACAGAAAAACCAAATCCAAATAATTTCTTAGAAAATAAATGGTTGTAAATATTTCATTAAAATTTTATATTCGAAAAAAACATAGACAGAAAATATAAAAGACAAAAATAATGACATTTTTCATTTACTGTAATAAATATAGAATATTTCAAAAAATTTAGTATTCAATTTTTAAATAAAACGATGGTAACAAATTGTTATACTTTATTTTTGTGCAAGAATAGTATATTGATGTACTTTGTTTTAACAAGAATTAGTATTTATAACTATTTATAAATATCAGTAGAATATATTATTAAAATATAATTATGAAAAACTACATGAAAATTTGTTTAAAAAAAATATACATGCTTTTATACAAATTTTAATTTTTTCGTATATATATTTAAAAATTTGTATGTATCCATAGTAACTTTTGGTAACTTGCTCTTTAATGCATTTAGCTGCATCATGAAGTTTTATTATACCTAATATGTAAACAAACGTCTGTGTATGCACACGTACAACATATGTATGCATATTACTTTTAGAAAAATATTCTTTTTTAAATTTTATTATATTATTTATACATAAATAAAATTATCGATATTTCTCAAAGTTTGTTAATCAGTTATTCGATTAGTTGAAAAGGTTCACGTTCACACTATATAAAATTAAATGTTTTAATTTTTCTAAAAAGGCATCTTTAATATACTCAGTTATTAAATAGTTATTATGTATTAGAAAAAATTAAAAATGTTAACATATATTATGTCTCTTAATATTTATTTATATGTAAATATAAATATCACTGATTGTTGGTATATAATTTACAAAATTGAAATAAGATTACCAATCATAATTTTCTTCAATTTTTTCAGATTGCGTGGAAACCAAGGGACAGATAATTGATAAGCAACGTTATTATTGTGAATTTTGTTCTCCAAATATTCAACAATTAGCCAAATCATTAATATCTAAAATATTCAAGACATAATCATTTTTGATATTTAAAATTATAAAACAATTTTAAATTATTTAAACATCAGAGACAATGGTATTGATCTGTGTATTTTTCAACAAAAGCGAATAAAAAATATAATACAAGTGTAATAAACATTGATATTTGGATGACAGATTTTTTTTAGAAGCAACTTGAATGAATATCTGAAATATTTTTTTGTGATAAACTTAATTTTAATATCAAAATTATATGAAATATTGTATAATCATTATGTGCATTAAGATAAGAAAAATAAAAAAAATATATATCTAAAGAATTTGGCGTTAAATAATCCTTCTATTATTTACTTTTTTTATTAAGTAGTTGAAGAAATAAATTTTAGGCTTTTTTATGGAAGAACCATAATAGAAATATAAAATATATACCAATAAATATAACTAACAATTAAAAGCATGTTTCAATTCATCTTACACCTTGTAATAAACCTTCATTTATAGTCCATAACATTTATTAGTCAAAATTTCAAGTATTTAAAAGTATCAAGAATTTCTCTAAAATATATTTTAGGAAAAAGTATAATACTTTGTTCCTTTTTCTCATAATTTTAACTGCATATATTTGTTTATTATACACATAAAAACTGTTTGTTGTACCAATCATATTAAAAGCAAATATTTACTTGTAATAGTAGAATCTCTTCGGTTAAATAATTCTTGGTTGGAATCATTGCTTTAATAGTCGTCTAGTTATCAGTTCTAAATATTGTCAAAATTTCACTATTTAAATAACATATTCCATTTATCCATAAAGAAAAATTTAACTGAAAAATATATTTGATATTTCAGTATTTTTTATTAAATGAAGAAATTTACAATTTTGCATTATATCATTTCCATAATATATTTATTTATATGTTTTATAATTTGTTATCACATGTAATTCCATTTTATTACGCCCCACCTCACTCTCTCATACATATATATATAGTTTTTATTTCTCAAATTTTTAGAAATAAAAAAATTTAAATATATATTAATGAGTAATTAAAATCTTTTTCAATAAAGTTACTTCTCATAATACATTAAGGTGATATATATACATATATGGTGTTCTAATAATGATGTAATGTATATATTTAGTTCTTTACTTACTGATATTGGAAGTTACAGTGATCATTTTTGTGTACTTTTATTATAGAACTTATTTAAACCTTAATATTAAATAAGAATGAAGAAAATAATATATAAAAAGATAATGAATATATATATATATATATATATATATATATATATAAAATTTTGTATTTAGTGCACAAATTATTTTGAGCGTATTGTTATGAAGAGAAAACAAAAATATAATATAAAAGATATCATTAGTATTGCACATAACCTAATAAGTATGTTTAATTTACAAGATAGTTATTTACATATTTAATAATAAGTGCAATAATTTAACAATAAATGAAGTCAATATATTAATTATTAAAATTATTTGTTGAAAAATAAAAAATGTTTTTTACTGTTTTTTTCAGGCAAAAATTGGAAATTAAAAATTACGTATTTTCATAAAATAAAATTAGTAACTGGGATTGATTGTTTTTTAAAATTTTTTTTAATTTTATTACTATATAAATTTTTGCTTATATTTTGTTATACGAAAACATAATTTTATATTTATATTTTTAAAAATCTATAAAAAGAATATTTTAAAAGTTAATGCAATTATATAAAATAATTATTTTTAAAAATATTAAATAATTTAAGTATTTCAAAAATTAAAATTAATTATACATATTTTTATTGGCATGTACATAAGATATTTGAAAATATTACAAATACGAAATTAATAAAAACAAGTATGAAAGAAAATATGAAATTAAATCATGGAATTGTTAAAAATTTCAGATAATTTGGTCATTTTAATTGCTAATTTATGTAACATAATTTTTAAAGTATTTACAATAACCAAAAAAATTCGATATTAAAAATAACCAGTTTTTAATTAAAATGCAGAGTTTCAAGCTTTAAATAATATTGCAACATTTGATATTCATAGTCTATAATAATAGTTTCTATATTTTTGTTTTTATCTTGGCTTTTTTTCTCATGTTCTATGTACACATATGTACATACTAAACTTCTACAGATTACTATACGTATACTTGTACACATCTACATATGTATATTAGAATATTTTGCATGCTTGATTTTTACTTCCCGCTTTACTGTATTGTTTGCTAAAAATACAATTATCGATTTCTTCTCTTTAATAATTAACATTAGCAAAAGTATATCAACTATTAATTGAATTTATTACTCTTGCCTGATACCACAGACTGATAGGAAGGTACTGTAATTGTATAGGTGATGAGTAGGTATTACGGTCGTTACTAAATTGCGATTTTTAAAATGAATAAGAGCTTTCTGGATAAAATTTGGCCCAGATAAACTACCAATTTTATAGAAAATACGAAGATTACATGGTGGGTTATGCGTACGCGAGTCTTTTGTTAATTTACAGAGAAAGTATTCGAAAATTTCAACAAATTCTGTCATTGTCAAGTTTGCAGACAAGGTATTTGTTTCCACAGTAAGCTTGCCTGTTGAATTGGATGGACCTATAACAGAGTTTTTGATTTTTAATTTTTGCTTTCAGATTCTATTATATGTAAATAATACATTAGTCTATTATTACCACGATTAATTAAACACAATTAACATTTCCTTTTAAATATTTTTGATAATCATAATTAACAATACAATTAATTGCTCAGAATATATAATTTTATTAGTAAATATAAATATTGCCATGAAAACATGAATGATGACGTTCTTAACTAATAAATATTCATAAATACTTAAAAAAAACTTACAAAATTATATGTTAAAATTGTTTTTTTTTTAATTAAAATGTGTTCATTTTTATACATTATTTGTTATAATATTTCTTAATAATTAATTTATTAATACTTTAAAATAATTGTTTAAGTATTTATGATAAAAATTAATTCAATTATAAAAAATAATTACCAGTTGATAAATAACAAACGATCGCAGAAACATTATTTTCATAATTCCATCTTCTTCTAATTGCAACTTTAAAATTTCCAACACATTTGCCAGTCTCTTCATCTGTATAAAAACAAAGAAAAAATTGAAGAAATGATTAGTTATAATCTAACATAAATATCTAAATTTTATAATTATATCATTCCAATGATTTTCAAATTTACATTCGAATCTATTATTGTCACGGTGCGCCCAAACGCACCACTCGACTTGAGCACCACGTGGGAGACTCGACACGACAACGTAATCAACAATCGCATTGTTAGTTCGCTTTTCCCATTCTTTACGTGCTGATGATATAAAACTAGGGTGTGTAAGGAAGCAAATACCCTGGACAATATGTCTTAGTTCTGTATTGGAATCCATCGCTTTAACGATGCGATTGATATGTCTTAAAGTAAGCCGACATTGTCTCTTTATGCTCGAATCAAGAATATTCATGTTACCTGGTACCAATGGTATTTGTCCAGCTACTGAGATTATATCTCCAATCTATTAAAAAAAAATCTAATTAGAAATAATAAGAATTATCTGAAAAACGTATTTGCTTATATTTTCTAACATTGTACTCAATTTTATTACATTTTATGCAAAACTGATAAACTAATTATTTGCCTTGATTATCTTTTCTTTTTTATTGTGCAGTTCCACATTGACAATTTAAATACAGAAAACACAAAAAAGAAAAATCAAATAGAAAAATAAAAGAAAAATCAAATAGAAAAATAAAAGAAAAATAAAATCATTTTTTAGAAACAAATTAATTAAATTCGATATTAGTAACATACATAAAATATAATTTAAAATAAATTAAAAAATTTTCAATTATAATATTGTATAAATTTCATATATTTTTAAATTACTATAAAATTACTGATAGTTTAATTGATATGAATTTAAATAAGCATATATATATACTGAATTAAATTTATTAGAAAAATTAATATTTCATGAACTCACACGAATGGCATGCGAATAAGGTCCAATATTGGCAGGTGCCCAATGACTTATACTTTGAACATGCATAGTATGTTTTTTATGTTTTTTTCTATCATCCTTTTCAACTTTTTTGTATGCCAATGCATCTAAAACAACATGACAATTAATAGGAATTTCCGTACATACTCTAACAGGAGGATTCACTTTCACAAGTCTTGATACATAAACTTCATTTATATCTGCATAACTTGATAAATCCTTTAAAAATATTGTCACAGCAACAATATCTGATATTTCTAGATCTTCTTTTTTAACTAGATCTCAAATTAAAAATACTTTTATAAACTTATTTTTCATTCAAAGAATAATATAAAAAATTTTATATAGTATTTTCATATTACCAATTAAACCATCCAATGCTTCTGCCATAGCAAGCTTTGGTTCCACATTTTTACCAATTATATTACCAAACCAGTGCCAACCAGTTTGATTTTTATTAATGCTTGGAGTATTAAAATATTCTTCTTCTTTACATGTTATTTTCATCATACTGGCTAAATTACATTTACCTGAAAAATATTAATTATTATTATATCAGAATAAAATGCTTTCAATATAGGTTTGTTATTTTTTTACAATTATATTTAATTTTTAGTTTACATAAATAACTTTATAAACTTATACAAAAATATATATATTATTATATTATTATATTACTATGAGATTAAACATTGAAATTAGTTTACTAAAATAAACTTTGTAATTACATAATATTATACACTGTAATAAGAATGCCCTATTGCTAACTATGTGAGAACGAGTACACGTTTTCTAGTCACGTCATTATAAAATATATAATATGTAATATATATGTCAAGAGAACTGACGAAAAACACTATAACTCTACCACTATACACGGGAATCCGCAGAATCTTACGCGATACGTAAGCCACTAACTCAACCAAGGGCCCATCCCGAAAATAGAAAAATTCCACACTACTCTAGAAAAAGGTTTTGTACGAGAATCATCGATTCTTTTGATTATCTTAGATGTCAGATTATACTCAATCTGCTAAAAAGTGGTATTTGTAAAGAAAAAGTATTTCAAAATTTTCTCCGCATCCGACTTTGAATTTTTCAGAATAGCAGGAATTCGCTGTACTCTTCCATTATAGCAGACGTTTACCTTATCCTTTCGCTCAATCAGGATATCGAGTATTAATCACACCATTGCTTCATGTTCACCCCCCTTCCTTAGAACAATTTGCTACGACTGCTGGTTATCGTCGTTGTACTAGCATCGGACGCTTCCTACCATCGTCCAGCCTCGTCTGGAGATATAAATTAGGCTTAAATATATTTGTTACATTTAAATACTTAGTTTTGATAAATTTCAATTTTTCATTAATTTAAATGAATGTAAATAGTGTTTCACGTTACATTTAAGAATCTGTGTATTCTCGTTAATATTAAAAAGTTATAAATACTTGTATTTTATACAAACAAAATTACTTTATAAATTAATTAATAAAGAAAATTCACCCTCTATAAAATAAAAGTTCTACTCCAGCTAAAAGTAAAAACATGCTCCGAAAATAGAAAACTTAATTAGTGTAACTATCACTTATTCTCAAGCAGTATAACTATCGCTTTTTTTTTGTTATTATATTGTATACAGTGTATATTTAATACCATTGAAAATTATATTCTTTTATCATAATTTTTTATTTTAATTTTATATCTATTAATTCTGAAATATAATTATTTTTATTAATATTGAAATGTTTTTTGTATTAGATATTTTCATAATTTTTTAAGGTGGATTCTACTAAATATTAACTTATTTAATTTAATCAAACAAACTTTTTTTGTAAATAAATATAAATTTTACCAGAATTTGATATTATTAAATCTCTATTATCTTTTGCTAGATCATCATTTTCGTCATCTGATAAATTGCATTCATCTTGGAAGTCTGGTTCAACTATTTCAGAAATATAATCAAACGAGGCTTTTACTGCAACATTTTTCAACCTTTCTTGAAGTGTCAACTTTTCTTCTCCACTCTGAAATTATTATTTTCCATTATATTTCGAATATAATGCTACAATGTTAATAAGCTATATCTAACATTTTTATTCTGAAGATGTATCTTTTTAAAATTCAAATACCCAGCAGGTGCAACTTCATCATTTGAATGCACTATACTTTCATACTCATCTCTGAAAGAATTTATAGTTTTATAAATAAATTATAAGATATATTTATATTCCAAATTAAAACTTACATCACAATACTTTTGATATATAAAGGACAATCTAGAGTAAATGTCTCATATTCTCCACCTTCCCCACAAATATTTAAACCATATTTTTCTTTCTATAAAATAAAACAATAATACATTTGATTTGTAAACGTCATAGAAATTAATTTTATTAATTTAACATATAGGCATAGGCACGCAAGAACATACACGCAATCGATTTTCTAAATAGACTTTCCAAAATAATTTATATAAGAATTAGTCAACTTAATAATTTTAAAATCAAATTTGTTACTTTCATTTTATGATTCTCATCGGAAATATTGGAATTTATCGAAATTAAAATAAAATAATATGTGAATTTTTTAAAGCTTATACTAATCAAGACATTTATTTACCATTTTAGCCAGATGCGGTTGCATCTCAGAAATAGATTTCCCCAAATGTCTTGGTTCTAAGCCTAATGATGCAACTTTTATAAGAACCGCATTTACAGAGCATTCAATCATTTCATTTAACAATTGTTCCTGATCTCGCCTCCACAAATATGATAATGAAACTAATTCTAATCGACTACATCTATAAAAAATAATTTTTCAAATAGAATTTTAGTTCCAAATCTGAGTGTTAATAAAGAAACTGTTAAAATGCATTATTACACATTTTCTACTCTTATTCGTTGATAATCACTTAAAATAGCACCAGAAGCAACAGCTTGAATATCTTCCCGATCCTACAATTTAAAAATAGAGGTAAATATTTCTTGAGAAATATTTGTTTCTATTATATTACCTTTAAAGTTAGATATTATTCTTTAATAAATCTTAATAACCTATTACAAAATTTATGAAAATATATTCATTACATTTTAATTTAATTATTGCAAAAATAAAAGAAAAAATCTAGCATAATAAAAGATACAATTTTTATTTAAAAATTTATATATTGTACATTAATTTTAATACTTTAACTGTTTTTAGAAGCCTAAATAAATCTTCTACTTCATCATCAACAGTAGGTAAATAATGTTTTTCTTTCATTTTTGATTTTCCAAAAGTTGGTTCACGATATAGAGGTAATCCCATTGCTTCTCCAATAAATTCTACACCCTGGTGACCAACAGTTTGAAACATATATGAATCAAGTTCATCTATAAATAAAATATCAAAAAATATGTCATAAATTAAAATTTTTGTATTATACCATATACCATATATAAACGTAAATAAATAAAAACTTGTAAAAATAAATCTTTCATTTAAGAATTATATAAATATTTTTATTAATTTAGATAATATTTAAGGTTAATAATTTACTTAAACTTGAAAAAGACAAAATACATTGAACATATAATATAAGTTTAAAGAATAGGTGATGTTTAATATAATCAATGATATTTTAATACAAATTTCATTACTAAATAAAATATATATAAAATTAAAAATCTAAATAATATATATATTTTATACTTATTTATCCATATAAATATTAAGTTTCAAATAGTCTAATTTTATTATAAATCATGAACTTATTTTTAATGCAAACTATGTATTATTATTATTAAATACAATTATTAAATCAAATCATTTAAATATAATTTTTGTTATATTAATATATAGCATCTGTCAATATTAATATTGATTATATATTAAGTTATTAAAATTTAATAATTTATAATATACTATCATCAAAATTCTTTTATAATACTATTATTAATTATTTTAACTTATAACTATACCTTTTCCAACTGGATATAAGTTAGCCAATGCCACAATTTCATGTCCTGCTGCTATACACTGCATTATGTTAAAACAAGAATCTTTGCCACCGCTAATTAATGCTACAACTTTCATTATTTTTTCCTAATGTATTTAAAAGTTGTTTTAAATTTAAATAATCTGTGCTGAATTGAATTTAAGTTCTTGTATGTTTGTTATACAATCATCTGTTACATAATTAGTGTTATTTTGTATTAAAGATAGAAAATAGAATTTTATATTTACATAAATTTGACATAATCATGGACTATTTTATTCTATAACTATATATATTTTTTAATATTTAATAATACATAAAAATATATAGTAAAGCAATTAATATTTACACCTTTGACAAAAGTATTTATTCCTAAAATATTTTTTGTAATGGTTATTTTAGGATGTTTTATAAAATGCGTTTTATGATATATAACCTTTATAATGTTACTTTATTTCATAATACTTTATAAATGAGATTTATATTGAATAAATAATCAAATTATTAATTTTAAAGGTCAAAAAATATGATGACCAATTAGAAAACAAAATTCTAAAAACTCTTTTTAAGATAAGAATGATAAATCTAAATAAAAATCTTTAATAAAATATTAAGACAATATAATTAAAATTCAAATACCAATGAAAATAGGGGCCAAGTACTTATTATAATCTAATATAAGCAAATATACAAAAATTTTAAATAGATACATTATCTTCTTTACATAAAGATTCAGAGTAGCCTATAATGAAATAAATTTATCTTCTAATAAAATAATATTCGTATAATTTACCAGAAATAAAATTAATAAAATACACAAAATATATAAATATATATAACATATATGAAAACACAAGTGAAATAAAAAAGAGAAGAATAACAATTAACTGGCAAATATTGAAAAAAATTTGTTGGTTATTTATAGATAGTATATAAAAAAAATTTAAATAAATTAGAATTGCCCACAATTAATATTCACCAGTAGCATTATTAACAAAATAGTTGACTATACTAACGTTCTAAGTTTTTGAAAATTAAAAATATTACTGACGATCTATATTTTGTTGAAAGCAAAGTTCAACGATGCAGTGATAAATGATGATTTTACTAAAAACAGATATTTAAGGAGGGATGTTCACGCCGCAAGAGTAATTTTTTCGTGAATCATATGCATAAATATATGTCTTATATGTGTACGTGTCTTTATATGCATGTGTTTTTGCCTGCGTGTGCATATAATATTTAATATAACTTAATATTTGCAACATATATATTATTTTACAGATAAAATTATTCGTTAGACAGATTATACACACTATTTTTTTTATAATTTATGCATACACTTATAATTATTAATGTTATATAACTAGAACAATGTATTATCAGTTTTCATTTTTTATGAACATCAATTAATATTACAATTTTGTCTTATAATAAATCTGAGAGTTTTATGCTTATAAATTGATAAAAAATATATAAGTTGATTTGATCGAACCCACTAAAAATAATATTGAAAACATTACTTATTCACTTACCACATAATAAATCAATCTATATTAATATATTATTTTAAATATTCGGATTTAAAAAATTGAATAAGTATAATAAATTTAATATTTTAATATGTTTCATAACGTATAAATATAAAAATACCTTAATTTTGTTATATTTTTATAATTTGTAATGTATAAATATTTCACAAACATACAAACAATTATTTACAAAATCATATAGAAAATATTATCTTTAATTATAATTACAAAAATAAAAATTATTTATATATTAAAATAATTCGTATAATACAATAAGTAATTCACACTGTGCTTTATCTACTTTGCATATTACTTTTTTTAAATATATCTACAATTAAGTTAAATATGAAATGAAAAATAAATATTAAATTTTTTAATCGAATTATGATAATTTTTTTTAATTTGTTTGTATTTTATAATAAATATGAACTTTTTTCGTAATTGACGCATAAACTTGAGAAATTTTTAAATCAATGATTCAATCGACCGTAGCTTGGGTTTCCAACGTCAATCATATAGTCTATAAATTCACTTCATACACATGATAAGCCAGCTTATGCTGATGCTGGATATACACGATGAAAGTGTTTATTATTCATATAGAAATATTGAATATATTGTAGACGTTTTATAATTTAGTTATTAAACACTCTAAAATTTAATTTATTATTTTTACACTATAAATTTATTCTCGTATAAATAAATTATCGAGTGCGCGAGTGCATGTTTATTTGAATAAACTGCTTTATCGTTATACATTAACCACATTCTATTTTAAATGATCATTATAAAATTGAGTATATTAACTTAAAAATTTTATTGATTTTCTAAGAATACTATTATTTTATTTACCGTTTCAACTATTTTTATTACAAGTAATTGTAATAAAAAGAAAGATATACTATACATTCCCAATTTGGAAATTTTATTGCATAATCATTAAATGACCTTTTGTCGAACTTCAATTTTATTAGTAAGGCTTTTAATTCTATTTTCTTATTAATTATAAATTCTAATTTGAAATATTACAATGATATTTTGTACTTTCATTTTTATATATTCTCATTGAATAGAAATTAATTTTTTACTATTAATATTTTATAAAATTTTATTTTTAAATTTATAATGATTTTTATAGTTCATTTAATTACATTATCATTACAATTATCAAAATAATAGTGAAACTAATAAGATATTAGTTTTATTTGAACACTAGTACTAAATAAAACATTTATACATTTATGACCGAATTATATGGGCACTTAGTATTTAATTCATTTGTTATAGAAAATGTATGATGTATTTTTACTATAATAGTAGAATTATATTTAAATTAAGTTGGTTGACGAAGAAAAATATACGAACATGTAGATATAAAATTTTGAAAAAATGTCATGTTTATTATTAGTACTATAAAAATAAAAAGTTTTCTTACATATAGTAAATTATTGTATTCAAAATAAATACTTGAATAGAATTTTTTGAATATGTAAATTAAAATATTAGAACTAGAATATAATGTTAATAATACATTATTTGTAATATAGTTATAATATTATTAATTTAATTCTATAATATAAACTTAATATTTTCATAAGTTTTTAAGGTGTTGAAAGGGTATACTTATAAGTATGAGATATTTGTATTTCTTATAAATATAATTATATACATATTTTTTAAATTTGTATAAGTATCTATATTGAATCTGAAAATTATAATTAATCTATGTTATTATATACATATATAACAACATAGTTAATAACAATATAGAAATTAAATTTAATGAAAATATAAAATGAGATATTTTCATGAACAAAAAAATTAATTTAAAAATTGGCGCCTTTTTCTATAGTCAAATTAAATTCATGATTCTATGATTGCTGATACATCCAGCTGTACACGCCATGCACATATATTTCTAGTTTACGCACTCCCCTCTCTTTTTCGTTATTTCCTTTTCTCCTTACATCAACCCATATTCCACTTGGTAAGAGAAAAAACTACGGTCGTGCGAAGCAGTGTATGCGCGCGCGTTCTTCTCGATTCTGAAGCAGCAGCTTAGTATAGTCGACTAAATTGTATAGTATTATCGTTAATATAATTTTGAGTGGAAAAAATTCAATGCATATTTAGAAATAAAGTAGTAAATTTAGTCTAAAATTAAATATTTTTGGTTTATATAGTGGGTAATGGAGAAAAGATATAGTCTCGTCCACTACAAATTCACCATACGTAATATTTGATTTTTGTACTTTTCTTGTGTCGTAAAATAAAAGTTAGTTAACATAAGAAAGAAATTAAATAGAAGAAAATTAATTTGTTGTACGGTGGATTTTTTTCAAAATTCGAGGGCGGAGAAGAAACAGCGCAACCGAGAAAGCAGGATGGTTCTTGCCGAAAGAAACTCGGAAAGCGTAAGAAACGGCCGAAGGTCCAGGGGCCCCAGCCCCAACGGTCAATCTGAGTCTTCAAGTGAAGAAGACGGAGGTATGAAAAGCGTGTTTTTATGAATTTTCAATATATAAATACAGGCTAGTATTCACCCACATAAAATCTTGAATACATTGAGACATTTCTTTACTGTATTATCTTTGAATCATTTTTTTAATTAATCGTTAAGTTTTAGTATACTAAACAATCAGAAAGAAAAATGAAACTCATATTTATCATTTTAAATTTTCTTTTAGACTGCTTTCCAGTTTTGGATATCTTTTTACTATTTATCAAAAATCCTAAAAAATTTTTAAAGAACTATACCTTATTTGTAAATGAGTTGGATTTCTGTTTGTTTATATTTTGAATTTGTTAAAAATCACAGCTTTAAGAAAATTTTATGATCTATTATTTAAATTAAATATTAAAATAGTTCTTTTTATACTTTTAATATAAATTATTATTTGATATATAAAAGATTATTAAAGATCTCAAATTTCCTATTGGTTTATAGTACCAGCTGAGAAGATACGTGTTGGCAGAGATTATCAAGTTATTGTGCCTGAATTGATACCTATAAATGGTAAAACAATAAATGTCAAGATAAGAATGTTTGAATTTATAATACTAATTTTTTTTTAGAACGTAAGTTGGACTTGTGTCCTGAAAAAGCATTACTTGTATGGTCGCCAACCAGTGATATACCAGATAAAAAATGTAATGTATTTAATATTTTATTTTAATTATAGAATAATTAAAATTTTATAGATTTGATTTTTAAATTTTTTTAGTGGATGAGTACATTATCTTAGCGAAAGAAAAATATGGTTATAACGGGGAACAAGCATTAGGAATGTTATTTTGGCATAAA